ACTTATAACATGTGCACATAAACTCTTAATAAGAAATTAAAGAGACAATTTCCAACAGCTGGCCGGCCGGCTGAGAAAAATTCAAGAAGTAAGGTGGCTGATAACATGTTATAATTAGTGTGACTCGTACAAGGCTGGCCACCAAGGCTCATCAAGAGAGATCTCATGCAAGTCGGCCATTGACCATCCATCACCTTTCCCCCAAAAATTTCAAAAATATTTGTACGGTGCAGAAGGGGAGTTTGACAATTATAATAAAAACCGTGTGCAATGAAACTGTTCATGTCCTACTACTAAACTAACTAAAACGAAAATTTTAATTTTGCAGGCTCATCGCTGGTACACTCCCGGTAGGTGTGGCCACAGCGTTGCTCACTTGCTCCCCACCCCTTTCCCTCCAACGAATCCACGCACGCACGCCGCGTCCTCCTTCAGCACCCGGGAAAAATATTTGCAGCGCGTCCACGGTTTCGTTGATCATTGGTTGAGACGGTGGAGTTAATTTCTTCAACTTCTTGTTTTTTTAAAAAAGAACTGTTTTGGAGTAGGGTTCTCCAGTTCATTCCTGACAGATTGCCACGCTGCCATGAAAGAAAATTGTGTGCATTGCCACGATGCGTGTCACGTTTCAGAATTCTAGGAGCTGCAGGGTGAGTCAAATTAAAGCCAGTCGCGTCGTTGTTATCCTGGCCTCAAATTGAGGGTCCGGCTTAAATTTTGCTTTTTAGTCCTCCTTTAAAACGCAGAACTTTTAAAAACACTGAAATAGAAAAAGAAAAGAAAAGGAGTTAGAGTGTCGTAGCACTTGAAATCTTATGGACTAAGAGCCGCATCGTTTGGTTTATCTGCGAAATAAGTCAAACAATATATTTGCAAACGAAAAATAATTTATGAATAAAACTTTTATATACGTTTTCTTAGCGATGTAAAAGCAAAGGCTAAAAAATAAACTTCGATAAAAAAACCTTAAAATCAGCTTCAATTTAAGATTAAAAATTCAAATTTTGGTCGATAAGCATAAGCGTAAGTGAAAAGATGAGGCTGTAAAAAAATACAGAAAAACCATATGAATACTTGTTTGGTTGGAGCATAGTAAAAATACATAAATTATAAGATAGGCCTATGTTTTGAGTCAAACCAAAAGATTTTCATAGGATTTTTTTACGAATATTCCTTTGATCAATGAACCACGTAGAAATTTTTTATAAGATTGAATTCCTCCAAAATTTCTTAAAAAACCCTTTGTTCCAAAAGAGCCCTAAAATATTTTGGGATTGGGTTGTGGCTGATAACTTGTGAAAAGATAAACTAATAGGGCTCCTTTGAAACACATGATTGAATAATACAAAAGGCACAAAATTTTAATAGGAATATAAGTGCAAAACACAGTAAGTGTCGTTTGATGATTAAGTCGCAGGAAAAACACATGAATCAAATAAAAGAGATAGACTTAAAAGAAAACATATGAATTACCGTTTGATTAGGCCACAATACAAACACATAAATAAAACGAGAGAGATAATCTTAAAAACTTTTATCTAATTAACATCTCTATAAGAGTGTTTTAAAGAAAAGTAATACTCCCTCCATCCCAAAATTTAACAACTTTTAATCTTTAGGATTTGTCCCAACATATAATAACTTCTTCACCAACATTCTTTTCCCAAGCAATCGCAACCCTCCACCATTCACTTTTCCCACCTACCTCCACTACTCATCCAATCACAACCCTCCACCATTCACTTCTACCTACTTTCTTAATAACCGTGTCCAACTCTAAAACTTTTTATATTATGGGACGAAGGGTGTATAATTCAATGCTTTATTTCTAATTAATGTCTTCATAGAAATTTCTTCCATAGGATTAAAATCCTCCGAATTCCTCATATTTTCCTTATAAATTAAATGGGCCTAAACAATCATAAACTCAAAACTTGCACGTATGAGTTTATAAAAGTTGATACTGAAAAAATAAACTCTTAATAAAGAAAACCTTAAAATCAACTCTAAAGTTGAATTTTAGCTCGGATGATAAAACATGAACAAACGATGACAGCAAAATCAAACAAATTGTTTTTTTTTCATTTTTCTACTTAACCGATCAGAGCCTAAATTGCTAATGCAATTTTTTTCAAACACGCAAAAGAATTGCACGTCAATATATTAGAAGAATAGATATTTTGTTACACAATGCACTCGGCCAGACAAGCCTATGCCGGGAGGGAGAAAACCACTCCAACAACCAACTGCGAAAAGAAAAAAAAAAGGATGGACTACTACGAAAAGAAAAAAAACTACTCCAACAAACAAGAGGGAGGGGGGGTGGCGCCACACTAAGCTCTCAGCAAATCCCCAAAAACGGCGATGTCCGCGGCAGACCATATACGGCCTTCTGAGTGGATGGAATCAATAACAACGGGAACTAAAGAGAGAACGGAGTCAAAAACACTAGAGTTCGGCTCCTTCCACAGCTGCCAAGAAATCAGGAATACCAGGAAGTCAACTACATATGGGGACTATTCGTAGTAGAAATTTGATGCCTTTTTGGGTTCAGATTATTTGCAGGGAGAGCATTTTGTTGGTAATTACAGTAGTAAATTTGGTACTATTTACATTGTGATATTATCTATTTACCTTGCTTCTGCAAAACATTAGTTGCATTGAGGACCGCCTGCAAGGAAAGATGAGTAGCACTAATGACTGAGATATTGTCTCCTACAAAAACCATCCTACTTGCAGATTGCAGCAGTAAAAAGGCCCACGCTTTTAACCCAAGAAAGGGTGGTGGATGTAAAGATGTAAGTAGGGTTAATTTATTAAAGCTAAAGGAGAAAGAAAAACTACTATGAGTGTTCCAGAAGCAAGCATGAATGACTTGGCCTTTTCCTTCTTGGATGACTTGTCCATAAAGATTTTATCATTTTAAGGCAAAGGGGATCAGCTTACCTTGCCAACCCTGTGATTCTAAAGTGTTTTCACATCCTCTTGCAAACAGAAACAGAAATGGTACGACACATTTGCAATAGGGCAGAGATTTTTACACATTGATCGCCACTGTTTGGCTTGTATACTGCAAGAGGCAGCTCTACTGTTTGTACAAATTGTCCTCTTTGAAACTGTCCGGACAAATTTGGGCTAATGTTCCCGTATTCCCGTTCCACGAAAAAAAGGGGAGCTTGATGATTAATCTTTGATTAGCATTAGCGTTATTCTCGAGATAGATGTTGTTTGGCAGGTGAAAGAAATCTCAGTCCAGTAGGTACTGCGGAGTACCACCTGTCTGAAACTTCTGAAGAACAGATTTTATTACTGCCCCCGTACTCATAACAGTGTAATTAAGCTATTACTCCATTTTCATCAAGATAGTTTTAGTATATGAATTTTGTTTTGTACTAGTTGCTCAAATGCATTATTCAGGTCTAGTAATAAATTGTGTTCTACGGCAGCTGCAGCAGCAGCAGCAGCAACTGGTAAGCCTGCTGCCCTGCTATGGCTGCCGAGTGGTTTCAATGCTCTCATCAGTGTAGTAGTATACAGTACTATACTACAGTATAGTACGTATTTATATGTTACAATAGCAGATGAGTTGAACAAATCTCGCGGGCCAATCATAAAGCTCTTGCCCTTTCTGTCCGCATTCCATGCCATTTGCATGCTTGTTTATGCAACTATGTCGGCTAAGTCTAGCTGAACTGGTAGAATTTACTTCCTGATTGAATCGATTAAAACATAATTTTTGAATCGACTCAAGCTTTATTTAAAAGATAGTAGAGAATAGTATATTGTGTTCACTGAAGAGAGTGCAAGAATACATTCAAAGAACACAAAACGAAGTGGGGCACAAATGAGAAAAGCTAGCTGAAGAAATTATGTGGGATACCAAATAGTAACACAAAAAATACAAATTTCACCGTCAGGCTAAAGGCACAGACATCATCGAACAGAAGGGGCTGAAAACCCCAATCAGCCTCGAACAAATCTCGCAGCACAAAAACAAATCACACGGGTTTCCATCCAATGGGCTGTTGTTGTATCCCCCAAATTAAAAATCAACAAGGGTTTTAAAATGTTTAAATGTTTTGGCAATGGGCTAGAGGTAGTAGGATACAACCCAAACTACCAAGCATCCTTTGTCCCCTTCCCCTACCCCAATTTAATGATTGGTTGATCTCTCAATTTCATGAGCAAAAGAACAACACCCCTTTGCTTCGGGACCATCACCTTCAGTCATTCACCTCCTTATCACTTAGAAAAATACTACCAGTATCAGAAAACAAAACACAAAAAAACAACTATTATTATTATCTCCATTCTTAAAAGACGATGCCTTCAAACCTCAAATTATTATATCATTAATAGATTAAAAATATTATGATTCATATGAAAATAGCATTAATATATTTATTATGAAGAGTACTTTCATAAGTTATACTTTTGATAAGGTTTATATATAATTAGAAAAAAGCAATGATTAGATATGTTTGTCAGACTATCAGTGTCCATAACGCTAAGTAAAAAAAGAATAGATTTACTTTTTCCGTTCTAAAATATAAATAATTGTAAAGTATTTTACGGTGATTAAGGAGATAATAAAATTAGATGATGAATGATTGTAATTGGTTAAGATATAGAAGCTGGTATAGAAATAAAATAGAATATGATTTTTAGTCATTCGAGATGAGTAGGTAGATGTAGAGAGTAGCTACTCTTATATTTTGATATAAAATTTAAATGCTAGGAGTAGCTACAATTTACTCTATCCAGAACTCCAGATTAGTGCAAAAGCATATACCCCCAGTATAGTGCTCCTTCAGTCCTAAAGCATAAAATATTTTAGTCGGATGTCATATATTTTAGTATTATCAATCTGGACAGCGTTATATCTTTAAAAAAACTATTATATTATTGGATGGAGGAAATACTAAGTAACATATATTTTTTTAATTTGTTTTTGTTTTGCAGCACAAAATAAAGTCAGCAGCAAGGCAGCAATTCATTCCCCTTTCCCCTCTTCCTCTCTTCACTCACCTCTTGCCTGTGCAAGTAAACTCAGCACCACTACCCCTACCACCACCACCACCACCACTACTCCATCTACCATCTCCAGTGCCTCTCTCTCTAGCTTCTTCCTTCTTTCATGGCAGGAAAGGCTGGGGTGATGATGCCCATGAGCCCATCCATTTTGACCCATGCCATCCTGGTCCTATATACATACTCCCCGTAGGCTCACACTCCCAATCTCTACTTGCTGCTGCTTCTGCTTGCGATTGCGAGCTCTCTCCTCTCTCTCTGTTTTTTTTTTTTTTGGCTTGCAAAGCTTTTGCTTTGTTTTAGGTGCTTCTTTTCCACTCCTTTACTGTTCCCCCACTTTTCCTTGCTTTGTCACGCACACGAAAAGCTCCTGCCTTTACCTTATCTCCGCTCGCCTTCCCTCACCCCCGTCGTAGTGGGATTTGGTGGCTGCTCGCCTCTCGCGTTTCTTTTGCTGGATTGGGGCGTTCTTGGGAGCTCGGGAATTCGGGTGGTTTGGTTGGGTTTCGTGGAGAATTGCGGCAGATCTTTGAGATGAACTGCGGGCCGCCCGACCAGTTGCCGCCGGCGACGGCGCCGTCGTGCTTCCTCAACCTCAACTGGGACCAGTCCATGGACGCGGCGGCGGGAGGGCACCTCGACCCGGCGCTCAGCTCCATGGTGTCCTCGCCGGCGTCCAACTCGACGGGCGCTCTCCACGGGATCTCGCCGCAGCCGCACTACGGTGGCGGGACGCCGCTCAGCTCGCCCCCCAAGCTCAACCTGTCCATGATGGGGCAGTTCCACCACTACGCCGCGCCGCCGCAGGTGGGCGGCGGCGGAGGCGGAGGCGGGGGCCTGCCAATCCTCGAGAACCTGATGCCCATGGGCCACCTCGACCAGTTCCTCGCCGACCCTGGCTTCGCCGAGCGCGCCGCGAGGCTCTCCGGCTTCGACGCCCGCGGCGGCGGCGGAGGAGGAGGCTACGGCGGCGCCGGCCCGGCGCAATTCGGCCTCCCTGACGCCGGCGCGGCCGGCGCATCGAAGGAGATGGAGCTCGGGAACACCCGGGACGAGTCGTCGGTGTCTGATCCGGCGCCCGGCGGCGCCGAGATTCCGCCCAAGGGGGCTTCCGACGGCAATGCACGGAAGCGGAAGGCCTCCGGGAAGGGCAAAGGCAAGGACAGCCCCATGTCCACCTCCGCCGCCAAGGTACGCGCCGAATTCCGCTCGCCATGGCCGCGCCGCACCATTCTTGGACCGAAAGATTTCATCTCTCGAGCGTTCTGCAGGAGGATTCCAGCGGCAAGCGTTGCAAATCGACGGAGGAGAGCAATGCGGCCGCCGAGGAGAATTCCGGCAAGGGGAAGGCCGCGCAGAGCAACAGCGAGAATGGCGGCGGCAAGAAGCAAGGGAAGGACAGCTCGTCGAAGCCCCCCGAGCCGCCCAAGGACTACATCCATGTCCGCGCCCGGCGCGGCGAGGCGACGGACAGCCACAGCCTCGCCGAGAGGGTACACACACAAAATTCTTGCAGCTCTAGCTTCCATTGCTCTTCTGATCATCATCTTCCCTGTGCATTAACATGCTGTGTGTATCTCCTCTTGTTCGATCAATTCAGGTGAGAAGAGAGAAGATAAGCCAGAGGATGAAGCTGCTGCAGGATCTCGTGCCGGGTTGTAACAAGGTAACTGAAGAAAAGCACTCATCATTTGCATCATCGCCCACCTGTTTGTTACTTGAGTTGCTCGGTGTGCTCAGATTGGAAACTGGGAAATGCTTACTTGTTTCAGGTGGTTGGAAAGGCTGTCATGCTCGATGAAATCATAAACTATGTGCAGTCGTTGCAACGGCAAGTCGAGGTATTTGTCCAGTGTCAAATTCACAGATGCAGAATGATTGTGAAACTGCAGCTTTTGCCGATTTAGAGCGCAGCAAGCGCGGGCGTGCGCCATCTGAACCTTTGCCTTTCACATCCATTTTGCAGTTTTTGTCCATGAAGTTGGCCACTGTGAATCCCCAGCTGGACTTCAACAATTTGCCTAACCTCCTTGCTAAAGATGTGAGGGCAAGCTTATGCGATCTCATTACTACATTTGTTTCCTCTCTTATTGTGCCAATCATACAGTTCCCAACTTACCTCGTGTTTCCGATTTTCTCCCTGATCAGATGCACCAGTCATGCAGCCCGTTACAGAGCTCACATTTTCCACTAGAGACCTCAGGTGCGCCGCTGCCCTACATTAACCAGCCTCAGCAAGGGAACCCTCTCGGTTGTGGCCTGACGAACGGCATGGACAACCAGGGTTCTATGCACCCATTGGACCCGGCATTTTGCCGGCCAATGGGCTCGCACCATCCTTTCCTCAATGGGGTTAGCGATGCGGCTTCTCAGGTAAAAATGCACACCAATGTCTCGATCTCACAAAATGTTCGAATGAATCGATGCTGAATATGAGGAATGAATGCTTTACAGGTTGGTGCTTTCTGGCAAGATGATCTCCAAAGTGTTGTTCAGATGGATATGGGGCAAAGTCAGGAGATCGCCACCTCTTCCAATAGCTACAATGGTAGGCAAGTTTCCTCATCCTATTACCTGATGCCATAGTTAACGTCACCTTAACTGAATTCTGATGTGTAAACTGCTATGGATCAGGATCGTTGCAAACAGTCCACATGAAAATGGAGCTTTGACATGACCAAATAAAGGTTCGATCCAAAGCTCTGACGCCCATTGTACATACAGAGAAGTCAGCTTGCCGCGGCAGCACTCTGAGATTCAACCCTAACAATGTTGGGCCCTAGCAGTGTTTTAGCTTCTAATTTCCCATCTTGGTGTAATGATTCTTTGAACAAAAATGAAACGCACCATGTACGGTAGTCGGGTGTAGTATATATATGTATGCTACAAGATCGTACATAAGTCGGGTGCAGTATATGATGCTTCATTCAGACCCTTTTACCCTCTCAAGCAGAGAGGGACGACGTGTAATATCATTATTTGTATTCTCATTATATTTGTAGCTGATATATATCTTTAAGATCCTTCTTCCTGTCCATGGATCGATCTCCTTAAGCTGAAATTATCCCCTTTTTTTCCCCTCTGAAGAATGGTCAGCTTCTTGGTTGTGCATTGTGCTCATGCTGAACTTCATTTTTTTTTTCACTCGGAAGAGATGTGTTCATGCTGAAGTTCACTGTATGCAAATTCTGGTTTAGTACTTGAGGGGTCAGAAAACAAGTTGAATTTTAGAATCTGTTTATCCCAGAAGATAGTTCATGTAAAAGGACATGGACAGAAGGAACAATCAAGTTGTGAGCTGGGGGACTGGATTTGTGGCTGCTTTTGAGCTGTATGATAAGTACCCAGAGATAGAGACAGCAGTAGGACAAGGCTGAGGAGGCCTTCCAATCCAACTCCAATATATTATCAGATTGATTTTATGCAGAGATGCTAGCTAGGCGTACATCAGACAGGCAGTGCAACGGCATTCACTGCGTTGCTATTCTGCTCCTGTTCATCTATAGCTACGTTCAGAAAAGAAATACTACTATTATTTCTGCATGTCACTTTCTCTGCTCTCTCTGAACAACCCTTTTATTGTTAAGAATTCGAGCTCCCAATCTACTTCAGCGAGGTCCAAATCATCCAGGCTGTGATCACGCTCCAAAAAACGGAATCAGCGGAGGGAGTTGTTCTGATCACTCGTTTTCTTGAATTGGACCAAACAATTCTGTAGTAGCAGTTGTTTATCTTTATAGCTCAGGTAGCTCCAAATCATGACTAATTGGGTCACAACATCTTAGAACAGTGTTCACTGGTCCCAATCCCAAATCCATGCACTTGGATTACTCAGTTCCAGACCATAATTACTCTTGTACTACCACAGATGAAAATTCAAGATTACCTGACAGCATCTCCTGCTGATTTTTTCAGCACAATAAGTATGGGAATTGACAATGTCATGAGGTACAAGAAAGAGACTGCTCTGCAACAAATGAGAAGGTCCCATGGAAAAAAAAGGGGGGCAAAGGGTGAAACTGGAACAGTACAGTGAGATCGTGGTTTGTACATGGAGGGACAGACAGTGCAACTCTCAGGCAAGATCGTGGTTGTCATGAGGAGTAGGCACTGCATCTTGCAAGCAAGATCATGCCTCTGCAATTAGCAAACACAAAGATGATTTTTATAATTTTTTTGACATGGTGAGATGCATGATATGGTCAGATTTGGTGCTGCGTGTACTGTTAAGGAGGTGGCCATTATCTTATTGCCGTTCGTTCGTCCTTCTTTCAGCTTCCAGGGATGGGAACTGGAGTGAGATGTAGTTTTTCCTATTATTATTATTATATCTTTGGAGCAAACACCGGTGTTTATCGCATTCAGAGAAAAGTACGTTGTGCATCACAAAGGGGAGATGTGATGCAATGACAGCCACAACAAAGAAGTCAAAAGCTGAGCTTAGATCTAGCTGCACACATCACGCCTGGAATTACTGGAAATCTTTAAGTGTCCCCAAATATTTATTGATTTCTGACCTCCTTTTTCTTTAGAACATTGAATTCTGAACTATTACTGCAGATTTCTTGGTGGTACTACTATCATTCTTGCAGCATCCATTCACACAAGCAATCAATCATAAAGCCATGCTTGCGTCTGCTTGCTGACAACTTTTACTCTCGAAGGTCAGTAGTTATGCGAGCATCATCAAAAGCCATCAAAATGTTGTGCAACTTTGCAGGGACATTCAATCCTGAACCTTTGTTGCTATGCATTTACATGGAAATGATCTTGAACTGCAACAATGAACACCAAAAAGACTCTGAAATGTACTTGTACCCCAGCCATGTGATCCATCTCAGTGGATGAGATTACTGCAATTTAAGTGCAGCAGCATAGAACAACTGGGTCTCGCACGAAAACGAACGAGGCTTGAGGAGTTTGAGACCTACATATGAGGCTATGCCCACATCCACCATAACAGTGGCGTTCGTTGCCACCACTAAGCCGGTAGGGCACCATGCAAGGTGGCCACTCCAACAACTGGATGTACGTACACAGGTCTCCAGCACAATTAAGTTGCTCCGTACCTGAACAAAAAAATAAAAACAAGATTAGTAGACAGTGTAGTAAGTAGCACTCCCACATGAGGAGGAGGTTTGTTCATTCAGTTCAGGGTGGTTTCAGATCGGTTTCAGGGCGCTGCAGTAACCGGGGCGACCCCAATGGCTAGACTGTCTGCCCACTAGCACCCACGCGAGCGTCGCAAACTGGATCGTAGTTGGCGTGATGTAGATCCCTCTCCTAATTACGCTAAATCATTCATTCATCGTCGCCGTCATCATGGTCGTCGCCTCCTCCGTTTTTCCCAATTGCCATGCGTTTCGCCCGACACAAGCAATCGCGCGAGACGGGGGGACGAAACAGTATGCGATCGCGCGGAGGGCGCGCGCTGTTGGTGAGCAGTCGTGAGACGAGTCGTCCCCCCCTCGTTCGGTCGCGCCGCGTCGCCATCGGGCAGGAGGAGGGGAGACGGACGACGGGGCCGGAGGGACGCCACGCACTACGTACGCCGGTGTTGGGGTCGTCGTGTCGTGTGGGCGCCCCCGCGCGCGCGCACGCAACGAACGCATTATTGCGGGCGCTCTCGCACCCAACCGGCACACAATCCCCGTAGTAGCCCGCCCTCTCGTGCAACACGAACACACGACGACGCGAGGGGACTCGGACTCGGGGAGGGAGCGGGTGGGTGGCGATCGATCGAGCCGGCGAGATTCCCGTGCGCGACACGGTGGTTGCGCGGGTGGTGTACGTGTTCTGTGGTGGGGAGGTGCGACGTTGCACGGTGAGGTCCGGGGACACGTAGTAAGGGGAGGTACGTACAGTACGATGTATCATATCATATCGGTCGGGGTGGAGGCGAGGCGAGGTGAGGCGATGATGATGATGACGACGACGACGACGCTGATTTGATTTGAAACGTCGACCCCATGCGCGCGCGGCGTCGTGTGTGGTGGTGGTTGTGGGCCGTGTGGACGGGAGCAGTGTGTGTGTGTGCCGTCCTTTCGCGGTGGACGTACCGTGTACGTGCTCGCGTTTTCGTGGTGATCCGACCCGGTGAAGTGAAACCATTGGCAGCGACTTCTCCTCCGGGCTGCTTCTCTACTAGTCTGGTCTTGTTGTGCACACAGTACTGACTCCTTTCTTTTTCCCAACAGACATAGTTTAGGATTTAGGGGGCTGAAATTTCGAAAGTAAACATCGACACATCGTTACTGCCATTTTTTACATACCGAATCGTAATCTTGCATGTATTAATGAGTCAAGATGATGAGATTCAGTTTCATACGATACTCAAAAACTTAGGAGTGTTTGAGAACGGACAGGGCAATAAAAGAGGTACAACCGACTCGTACTTTGCATAAAAACAAGACCTGGAAAGTACTAAAAAAACAATCAACTTTACAATAGAAACCGAACAAAAATCAAAGACAGCTTCACGGATCCTCATGCACGATGTGCAATCAACTGCCTCTCAGTTCCTCAGACACGAAGTACTTTCTCACGCAAGGACTCAAGAGGTCGATCTTTGTGATGGTCTTTGGGTTTCAGACTTGTCAGTTGTACTCACCTCGCTGTAGGGAGAGAAGGCTAAAAATGGGCTTGTTGTGCCATTGATGGGCTCAACAGCGATGACTTGACCAGAAGAATCATCCCCAAGCCCAGCCCAGCCACACACGGCTCAATCACGACCGTCCAAAAAACGCCGCGACCACCGAAACCCAATCCGACGGTCTGGGTCCCCTCCTATCGTGGCCACGCACGTCGCGCGCAGCACTGGTGTTCCGGTGTGCTCCGCTCACCCACCCGATTTCCAAACCCAGCGGCGCCGCACGCTGACCGCGTCACACGCTTTCCCAATCCCCACGAACGCGACGACGCATCCGAAAAAAAAAGGAAAAAAAAAAAGAAGGCGAAAAGGCGATATCGCCCGAGAGAGTCCAACCCCCTCCCCGACTCGTACGCGAAAGCTCGAGGCCGCGCGGCGCCGTCGCGCGGGTTAGGTTTTTATTTTTTTTTACTTTTGGTTCTCCGATCGTCGGAGAAGCTTTCCGGCGATGCTCTCGGTGCGCTGCGGAGGCGGAGGCGGTGGCGCCGCCGCCGTGGAGGAGCACGGCGCGGTGCGCCACCATCGCCCTCTCACCCCGCGCCAGCAGCAGCAGCTGCGCACGGTGGTCGAATCCCTCCGGCTCGACCCCCTCGAAGGTTCGTTTCGTTCGTGTCGATCAGGAACCCCTGGCCTTCTCTTCCCCTCTCTGATGATTGATCGAGATTCATCTCGCTGTTCCGTGATTCGATTGCGCCGAGATTTTCATTTTCGTCGTGGGGTTGTTAACCCGTCGCGGTTTTGGTGGGTTTCAGTTGACGAGGGCGCGCGCCTCGAGATCGCGCGGCAGAGTTACAGAGCAGGGGATTACAAAGCGGCGCTGGAGCACTGCAATGCCGTGTACAGGGCGAACCCGAGGCTCTTGGAGAACCTCCTGCTGCTCGGCGCCGTCTATTACCAGGTTCTCCTCGGAATTTTGGGTGCCGTGGTTATCCGGTGCTGGCGTGGGTGTTATACTGATTTGGGGATTTGGTTTAGCTACGAGAGTTTGACATGTGCATCGCGAAGAACGAGGAGGCTGTTGCAATCCAGCCGAATTGCCCAGAGTGCTTCAACAGCATTGCGAATGCCTGGAGGGTGAGACCATTTCATTTTGGAAAAGTGTAGGCCATAATCGTTGGGGTTATTAAGTGTTGGCGTGTTTTCAACTTTATTGTCTGCTGCAGGAGAAAGGCGATGTTGATAATGCCATTCAGTTTTATGTGCATGCAGTACAGGTAGATTTACTGTCTGAGTTAATTAACCTTTTTATCTAAGGTGACACACATAATATGCTGGTACATGCATTTTATCATTGTAACTATCTGATTTTTTTTTTATCTTGCGAGCTAACAAATTCTACTTCTGTAGCTCCGGCCTACCTTTGCTGATGCGTGGACAAACTTAGCTAATGCTTATACTCGAAAAGGAAATCTCAGTCAGGCAGCTGAGTGCTGCCATCAAGCCCTTGCACTAAATCCTCATCTGGTAACCAACGCTTTTATTTACTGCATTCTGATGAATCACATGTTCTCAATTAATTGCAGCAGTGTGGAACTTTTAATTGATTGTGTTGTGACTATAGGCTGATGCATATTGTAACCTTGGTGATGTTTTGAAGGCACAAGGATTGTACAGAGAAGTAAGTAGCAAAATAAAAAAATCGCAGATCAAATTGTTTATGTCCGTAGTATCATTAGTTATTCTTTCATTTTTACAAGCTCTTCATCAAATTTACTTTGTAACTTTTTTTTTTTGCTATCCATCATGATCTATTTTGTACCAATCTAGCATGTTTCCTAATACACTTTTTATTGCCCACAGATGCCTGATGTTACCCTGATTTTTCTTGCTAAATGACAGCTTTAATTTCTCCTAGCATCTTGATAAGTGGCTGGTTAAATGACATATTTTGTAGCACTATGTTGTGATTTTAGTTCAGAACAATTCTGTTGAACTAACAGAATAGGGTCTAATTATAGTGGAGGATCCTCCAATTCAGTTCAAAGTAAAAATTACTGATGCTGGCCTGTTATGCTGCATTGAATTGATGATAGTAATAAGATGACTGATGAATGGTCAAATTATTTTCATTTGCAATATTTATGTGATTTGCATTTTATTCAGGCATACAGTCACTACTTGGATGCTCTAAACATAAAGCCTACTTTTGCAAATGCATGGAATAATATTGCTGGACTTCTCATGCAATGGGGAGATTTCAATAAAGCAGCTCTCTACTACAAGGTATGCGGTTTGCATTGACTTTGACATTTATTAATGTTGTAGATGCTTTGATGCATTCATAGCTTGTCATTGGAGCCTTGACAATGCTGTTTTGTCATGATCAGAATTCATTATATCAAAAAATTTCTGAAACGAATCAATTATATCAGGGGTTCTACAGCATGCAGATTCTTTTATTATAGCATACTTTAGGATAATGACAGGTCCAGCAATATTCTGATTCTTTTAAGATTTTGTGAAACATCAGGAAGCAATCAAATGCAATCCAGCATTTTACGATGCACACCTGAACTTGGGAAATCTTTACAAGGTATTTTTCATTTCATCATAAATTCTGGTTTCATTGTGGAAATATCCTTCTGACAACAAATATCACTTTTAAGGTTACTGGAATGCGTCAGGATGCAATTGTATGCTTCCAGAATGCTGCTAGGGCAAAGCCAGAAAATGCAGTAGCTTATGGTGAGTGTAGATGTTTGTTGTGGTTGGAGTATGGCAAATATGATTGAACCCATAATCATGCTCCAAAGCTGCTTCCTACGACATTTGATATGTTGCCATAATTTATTGTTGTTTAGCATTTTGACACAGTATTTTTTGAATAATTGCTTATTTTTGAGGTATTGTTCTTGAGGGTTATGCACTTATCAGTAATTTCTAGGTACTGTTTGCTGCAATGAATGGTACACTTGTAAAACGATTATTTTTTTTTTGGTTATGATTGAGGCATTTAGGTGTATCATGACCTGTTTTTTCATTAAAAAAGTGATTTTGGTTAACTCCACTTCTTTTAATATAAGTTTCAAATGGATATCTTATCATGTTTCAAATATCAAATCACGTGTAGTAGAGTCAACAGTTGGACTCTAGTTTGTTTGTTTTTATTTTGGCAACTGCCTTTTCATAATTTATTGAAAAATAAGTACAAGACAGATTAGCATATTAGCAACCACTAACTGACCCCGAATGATGGCTCTGTTGTGGAAATGTGGATTAATTTTTAGTATTTTCAGGGAATCTTGGTAATGCCTACCATGAACAAGGGCAACTGGATCTTGCTATTCTAAGTTATAGACAAGCCATCCATTGCAATTCATCTTATGTTGAAGCATATAATAATCTGGTTGGTTTTTCATTCTTGTATGCCTACTAAATCGTTGTTCCTTTTGGTATAAGACCTTATATGATGTGTTTCCACTGATAGGGAAATGCTCTAAAAGATGCTGGGAGAAATGAAGAGGCTATTAGTTGCTACCAGGTTACCATAGAAGATTAAACTGCTGAATTTTGTCTTCAATAGTTTTACTTTTTTTTTGTTATAGTTACGTTGATGTGAGTCATGCCTTTTCTTGTTGCAGACATGCCTTGCTCTTCAGCCTTCTCACCCTCAGGCTTTGACAAACCTTGGGAATGTATATATGGAAAGGTGAGTTTTTGATGGTGTGCATTTCTTTTGGATTGTGCAAGAGTTTCATTTTGGAGTACTTGCAGGAACATGATGGACATAGCAGCTTCACTGTACATGGCAACACTGACAGTTACAACTGGATTATCTGCACCTTACAACAACTTGGCAATGATTTACAAACAGCAGGTACTTGTGATGCCAAACGCTCCTGATTTCGGCGAATACGTGTTTCATACACCTTTTTGTTTATATTGATGTTATACTTTTGTGAACCGTTTATACCATTTAACAACACAATGACAATTCTCTTCCTCGTTACTGAAAAAGGGAAACTGTAATCACGCCATTACATGTTTCAATGAAGTACTCCGCATTGATCCAATGGCTGCTGACTGTCTTGTCAATAGAGGCAACACATTTAAAGAAGCAGGCAGGATCACTGAAGCCATTCAAGACTATTTTCATGCTGTTACAATTAGACCAACTATGGCTGAAGCTCATGCAAATTTGGCGGCTGCTTACAAAGACACGTAATTGCATTTTCTACCACATTTATTTTCTGGTGAAGTGTGATTCTAGGGCATCAGTTCTGATGCTACATGTTTAACATGTTTCTATTATTTTCAGAGGCTTGCTGGAGGCATCAATTATCAGTTACAAGCAGGCCCTACAATTACGTCAAGATTTTCCTGAAGCTACTTGCAATCTCCTGCACACTCTACAGGTATAGACTCTTACCTTCTTTCCTTTATTATGTGCATTCTTTGATGATTCCTGTAGCGGTAAAACATTGAAGTAAATGGCATGCCAAAAAAAGTAACTCTTCAGTTTGTGTAGCAAGCAGATTATAATGTTTAAAATCATGTTATAATTACTATTATAGTGCCTGCACAATGGTGAAAAATGAATATACTATAAGATTCAAAATAAAATAAAAAAGCTAACAATTGTATGCATGATCACATGAGATTTTTTTTTTGCCAGGTCGGCTGAAGGAACCGGCCGACCAAATATCATTAAGTATACAAACTTGAGGTTACAACGACAGAAGGCTGTCGAACCGGTATTGAGGCAGAGCCTCAGCTCCAACAAGCAAAGAACAACAACAGCACCAAGGCTGGTCCGCTAATCGTTACATGCCGCGAAAACTCTTGCTGCCTTCCACACCATGATTTCTTCTTTGACGTCTTCCACCAGCTGCTCTGGTCTTCTCGACCTTTGTTAGAACACCCACTCATTGCTTTCCTTACAAGAGCTAGCATATCATCATGAAGATGCTGTCAAAGGTTGCCCTGTAGCCGGTCCGAAAATAGAGGCTTGCCTGCATCTACCAGTCTGCCAAGCCGAGCCCATCAATTCCAGGGATAGGGAAGTCGACATTGATCCAGGCTTGCATCAATCTCCATACCCTGTTGGTGTAATCACAGTTTACAAGCAGATGCAAACAATCTTCAAACAACGGACAGGGGGCAGTTGTCGGTGTGAGGCCACCCTCTCTTCTCTAAATTGTCCGCTGTCAAACAACGGACCTTCACAGCCAGCCACATGAAAAAACGTATTCTAGAGGGGGACTCTTGTGTGCCAGATTAACTCCCCAAAGGGGCAGATGTCTCTTGCCATGAAGAAGAGATTATACGCCGAGGATACCGAGAACTGACCATCTGGAGTTAGCTTCCAACGGATGGTGTCAGCTTCATGATGGAGCTGTAGCACCTGAATCTCATCCCATAACTAAAAAAATTGAACCATGGCTTCATTTGACAGTGATCCCTGCAGATCCCGTACCCATCGGTGGTTCACCATGGCCTGTGCCACTGTCAGCTTTGATCGGCCTACATAAGTTGAAAGGATAGGCCACCTCCAAGCCAATTTGCTGTCCAGAACCTGGTGTCAGTGCCATTGCCCACACATAATTTGACTGTGGATTGAAAGATACTATCCACATCCGCTCCCAGTTGAAAACCTGCCATCGTCCACAGCATGTCTTTCTGCTCTAGATTCTTGGCATGCCACTTCAGACGATCACATCAGATCAAAGCTACCTAAATATATATATATTCAAAGCATGCCAATTTTTGAAAAAAAAAATCATGCAACAACTAATGTGTATGAATATACAACCACAAAAGATCCTCTAGTGTTGTGTGGGTGCGTCTGGGTGTAGAACACACCATCACCCCGAAATCCTCTAATTCCATCTATAAAAGTAAATATGTTCCTCGTTGAAACATTGTGCTGGGGAATATATGTAACTTGGTGAAATGTAACTGGAACATGCAGTTTTCTTATAATCGCACCAGAATATGCGTAGTTTTGCAAATTTTCTCTAGTTATTTTTAAAACATGGATGCTCATTCACATGAAACCTGAGTTTTTATGGAGATTAACATTTTTTTTCATTCACCTATTTGCAGTGTGTATGTGATTGGGATGATCGAGCAGAGAAATTCGTGGAGGTGGAGGGAATCATCAGGCAGCAAATAAAGGCACGAGCTTTTATTTCCATTACTGTTTACCTGAATTACCTAAGGAATACTTTTCTTGATATGTATTGCTCTTATTTTCATTTTGTTCCAGATGTCCTCTCTCCCAAGTGTACAACCATTCCATGCTATAGCATATCCAATTGATTCAACTCTTGCACTGGAAATCAGGTGAGGCTTCTCTTGGTAACCTATACTGATCACTGTAACCTTTATAAGGTATGTTTTGATGATAATCATGCTACATAGACCATATGTTACAACTTTTCCCCTTTTCAGTCGAACATATGCAGCTCATTACTCTTTGGTTGCATCACGTTTTGGGCTTCCTACATTCACACACTCCTATCCTGTTCCAATCAGCAATGATGGCAGAACTTCAAGACTTAGAATAGGGTATGATATCTACTTTGCTACATATTGTGCTTGATTGTTGCTTCCTGATGAAATCAATTTTTCAACTTGGTCTTAGGTATGTGAGTAGTGATTTTGGCAATCATCCCCTGTCTCATCTGATGGGTTCTATATTTGGAATGCACAATCAAGACACTATCGAGGTTAGCCTATACACACCGAGAGTATGTATTTTGAGGGAATGGTTATTTATAAATATGGTTGCAGGTTTTCTGTTATGCCCTGAGCCAAGATGATGGTACAGAATGGAGGCAGCGTATTCGATCTGAAGCTGAGCACTTCATTGATGTGTCATCAATGTCATCTGATATGATTGCTAAAGTTATCAATGAGGATAAGATACAAATTCTTATTAATCTTAATGGCTATACTAAGGTATGGACTTACTAAGGCTTCCCATCACAATTCTATTCATTTTCTGCTCATCATGGCACTTTTGCAAACCCCCACTTGGCTTCTTTTTTTTTTTTTGTTCATTCTATTTTAATCAGTATTTTACAGCAGCAGATTTAGCAATATCCTCTCTGTTGTTATAAAATCACCTGCTTATTTTGGGGATTGTAAAAGCCATAATGTATTACAGCGGGAAGCTACCAACAGGATCCAAATCCTGGCCTTGCACCAAAAAGGTCACTCGATGGTTCCCTAAAAACATGGATTAAGAATTGACCTACAGAGGGTGGGCCCTCGTGTATGGGGCAGTGGCCTCAAAGCACGGGTTAAGACCCAACCCATAGGGGGCTACTCCCCATTTTTGGGAGGACCGGCTTTCGTGACCTTTCTCGGCCCTGGTTTTAGATGCTTCTTCTTAGTTGCAATACCTTGTGGCCTCAGGGGAGATCTTTCCCCTTGGGGCTGAGTTTTTTTAGGTGATAGATAACTGCTTTATCCTAGTGTGGTTTATTAATCCTACCTTTAGTTTTTCTATGGAACTTTATCACTTTTAGGGAAGTTTAAATTATAAAATATTGGGCATGGCAATATGTTCAGAAATGTAGCTGTTATTTTGGTGTGCCACTATTGCACTGTAATATTTTCTTTATGCATGCTAAATGTGTGCGATATATTTGAATGCCACCGTATAGTTTTCAAATCATGTGTTGTCTCAAGTGGGAGATTAACTTTTAATGTTCTTGGAATTTTTTTCTTATCGTAAAATTGCTTCTTGTTTCAGGGTGCACGGAATGAAATATTCGCTTTACAACCAGCCCCAATCCAGGTTTCTTACATGGGATTTCCTGGAACCACTGGTGCAGATTACATTGATTATTTGGTTACTGATGAGGTGAAATATTGAAATTTTTAGCCATTTATTGTTTCAACAAATTGTTGCTCTGCCTATAAATTGATTGGCCATTTGTTGTTGTTTCAGTTTGTTTCTCCACTGAAATTTTCACATATATACTCAGAAAAGCTTGTCCATCTTCCCCACTGTTACTTTGTGAATGACTATAAGCAGGTATGTTAAAAACATGGTACCAGAGATGTTTGCAAAAGATATATTCAGCTTTTTAACATTAGGCTCACCTCTGTTTTTCAACCTTCAGTTTGATAGTCTTTTTCAACTTTCAGTTTAATAGTCTTATCATCCTATGACTTTCTCATTGACATGTGAGGTCTTTGGGCCAACCTATTCTGATGTTGATGGGTTCTTTTTTTTGGATGGGTGTGCATTAATATGGGGACATAATCGCTCATCTGATTAGTTTAGTTATAAAATAACCAGAGATAAAAAAACATAAGGTTCAGGACTGAGTCCTTTGAACTTTTTGTATAATACTATTATTGAGAAATTCTTTATTCCTGCAAAATTCATGTGAAATTCCTACATTCTTAACAGGCCAAAGATTGAATAAGGTTGTTCTTTTATGAGTTTAATAATCAACTTTAAATTGATTTGTAAAATAGAAAAATCGAGATGTTCTTGGTCCTGTATGCCCACACAAGCGAGCTGACTATGGTCTGCCAGAGGACAAATTTATTTTTGCATGCTTCAATCAACTCTACAAGATGGACCCAGACATATTCAACACCTGGTAAATTCTTTCTATATATGCGTTTGTTATGGTAAATTTATAATATGTGACCATACGTGTTCGTTGAAACAATACCTACCATGCATGCTTTGTTGGAAGTATTGATCTTTTTTCCTTTGCTTTTTGTCAACCCAGGTGCAATATTCTGAAGCGTGTACCAAATAGTGCATTGTGGCTATTGAGATTTCCAGCAGCTGGAGAGATGAGATTGCGCGCATGTAATGTCGTATTTTCCTATTCTGTCTCTATATCTCTCCCCACTTCTAACGTTGTAGCTTTGGCAGATGCAATCTCAAAGGGAGTAAGAGCAGATCAAATCATATTTACAGATGTTGCTGCAAAAAATGAGCACATCAGACGCAGTGCCCTAGCAGATCTATTTCTTGACACGTAACCTTACTTTCCATCCATTATTGCCCTTGACAGTTTTCTTATTTACCTGCCATACTCTTATTTTCTCAATTATATTGAATGAGCAGCCCGTTGTGCAATGGCCACACCACTGGTACAGATATATTATGGGCTGGTCTCCCAATGATCACTCTTCCACTAGAGAAAATGGCAACTAGGGTTGCAGGTTCACTGTGTCTAGCTACTGGAATTGGGGAAGAGATGGTAGTCAATAGGTTAGCCATCTCAGCCAATTGTGTTTTTTCCCTTATGGTTGAACTCTTCTTTTAATCAGCTTTGCTAATCCAGCCTGGAAGAATATGAAGAAAGGGCAGTCTCTCTAGCAGAAAATCCATTGAAACTCGAAGCTCTTACCAACAAGCTCAAGGCTGTTAGGATGACCTGTCCTTTGTTTGATACAGCTCGATGGGTAACTTTTCAGTCTTGAACTCCATGTCCATATCTGTTGCAGGGTTAGCTTTTTCACTTCCGTAAACAAAAATGGCAGGTAAAGAATCTGGAGAGGGCATATTTACATATGTGGAACCTGCATTGCTCTGGTAGGCATCCTCAACATTTTAAGGTGCTAGAAGATGATGCACAATTTCCATTTTGAGAGATAAGAATCAGCGGGTCGTGTGGTTGTGTAAATATTACGAGGTAAGTTTATTAAGATGAGTTAACTAGGCAGATCTCTTGCTGTTTCATGTGGCTTCTACCACACAGCTAACATGAGTTACACCCTGCAGAGAGAGAGGTAACATAAGCCTTTTCACCTTCTTAACGCACAAAAACTGAGAAAGAGTTGTCCGCGTCCAAATCTTGGGGGAGAAACTAGTAGAAATCTTGGGGGGAGAAACTATACTTGTAGGACTTTCTATAGAAAACTGTTGCGTCAAGTGTTAAGACTCCCTAGGGGATCATATTTCTTCCAGTTCTTGTCACCCCGTTCTGAGTTTTGCAGAGTATTCTTTTCATAGTGAACATTAGACAAGTAAATCAGAGGGTTGATTCTTTCTTATCAATATTAGGAGTGGATTGTTGGACATTTCTTGAATTGATCGACAGTCAAAAAAAGGCATGCAAAATAGATATATACTTTTTTTTTTCTTCTGCAACATGTATGCGCGATCAGGTTGTTGGTCTGGTCTGTCATCGTGATAAGTGGACCTGAAGATTGGTGGCAGTTCAGGTCGTGGATGGTTTGTTGCTTTCTTCCTTACAAGTACTAATTACATTTGGAGATCTATGCAGATTTCATGCGCAAGCTGGAACGCTATGCCTGGGCGCACCTTACTGCAGGAATTGCTGTGACTGAACTTTTGATGATGTCCCGTGGCTCTGCTGCATCCGCCCTTAAACTTGGTTCTCTTGTAGGCTTAACTGTTTTTGCAGGTTGTCGTTCTCTTCTCTGAAATTGTTGGTCTCGACAGTTTCAAACTTCAGTACCCGCCCTGTCCGGTGTTCGTCATTCACGGATAAGTTGGAAGGCACGGGTAAGATATATTGGCACGGTCCATGGAAACGTTGAACAGTGCACAAGGCTACTGCTGTTTGAGCTCCACCCATTCCGCCAGGATCTCCTGAAATGTGTTTCAGGGGGAAAATGAACCGGACAGAGTGGCACCATGCAGTCATTTAGCACCTGCCAGTGCGATGACTTCACTACCAGAAGTGCCCAAGTAGCTAATCTTAAGGTAATCTGTTTCTGGTGCTCGGATAAACGGACACACCAGACCATAAGCCAGGTAAATACCATCGAATCACATCGTTAACGGCGGCGGCTACAGAACCATACGCGCAGTTTGGTGAGTTTGGTGTGGTTGATGACGTGGCTGGTCCGATGATTGGTCCAAAATGCCAGCATATACCGTCAATGATGATATACCGCCAAAATCAGGCAGGAAACGAGCGATCGATTCTTTGCCCGCTTCATTACTCTCTTCCCAAGGTACGCATCCGTCAATGATGATATACCGCCAAGTCTGCAAAACTGAGGGCAATTGTTTCATCGTCGCGGTTATTAACCTTAGCTATGGGCGAATTACGGATTAGTGGGATTCGATAAAATCATAAGCAATGAATTTTCAGACGATAATAGAGCGGCTACGGTGATTTGCTAATGTCAAATTTGAGTCTTAATTAGCTCTTTTAGAACACCCAAAGTTTTTTCCACAAAAATCCTTCAACATTTATCTGGTACCGTTCCAGGAGGAGCCTTTTGGTTAGAGTGGCTTCATCGACCTTAGCTCACGCTAGGGTTTAGCTGACGACACGATCAGTTTGTACTGAACTGGATGCACTTGATAGTGGTAATGGATGTGTGGTTTTAATTTTAAGGTCCTGTGTTTAATTCCTAACATATTTACATTTTTTTCTTAAAAAATGTTCACAAGTTTTTCTTTAAAAAGTTTGGAGGGACATATCTTCCTCCGAATTTCTCTTTTTTAGTTTGTACAGAGCTATAGGTGTCATTGAGGAACAGGATTTACAGATGCTACAGAAAGAGAGAAAACTGAGAAGCATAAGCTACCATCTTACACAAGTTGGACTCTGCAGCAAGCAAAATTTACGCCAAACATGGTAGATGCAGTCATGCTGTATGCATCTTACATCAGTATCATATCTAATTAGACATTAGATCACCTCAAAGATGATGACGCACACCCATCTTCCATCTCCATCAAAAGGCATGCGTCCATGGATAACCAGCCGATTCAGTATCCTGGCAGCTCCGCCGCCGGCACGAAGGAGACCATCTCGCGGGACGGCACCCAGGCCTTGACGACGACGACGGCGTCGAACACCAGCTCGTCGTCGGCCTCCTGGGCAGCGATGCGGAGGTAGTACTTGATCCCGGAGACCACCTGCGTCTGCGCCGCCACGACCCTGGAGAAGACCAGCCCGCGGCCGCGGGTGGCCGACCCCCCTCGCCGGTTGTGTTCCACGACGCAGAAGAGCCCGAGCTCCTGCACCTCCCTGTTCCCCTCCACGTCCTCCACGTCCGTCCTCCCGCCGACCTTCCTCCCGCGGCCGCCGCCCGCCGGCCACTGCCCGTCGTCGTCGGCGGCGGCGGCGGCGGCGAGGCGCGCGGACGAGAGCGGCGCGAGGAGGAGAAGCACCAGCACGAGCGGGGCGACGGCGTAATACAGCTTGGAGGCCATAGTTTTGTACTTTCGCTTGCTAGCTAATTATATGTTTGGATTTCGCAGTTTTGCACAGATGTACAGAGGCGAGAGATGATATAGGTAGGGTGGTGTGTACTGCAGTGCAGGTGTTCGCGTGACCACGTAGCGACGCGCGCGTGTGTGCATGCGGCGCCACGGCGCGGCATCACGTGGACCCTGCAGCTGCTCCGCGCAACAGCAAGCTCGGCCTTTGTCCGGCGTTGCGTGACGAGGGGCGGGCGAAGCTAGCGTTTGTGGACTAGAAAAAAGGATGGAGTTTGTTCCATCTTTTTGTATGCATGTTGCATGGATATGAAAAGTAGCAAAGGGGTGATCATTGCCGTGTACTCGCACTGGAAACGGAAGAAAAAGAGAGGGGGAACGAGAAAGGAAACGCGATGCTTTTATACAGTACTGTTTCACCAAAACCTGGCTGGCTGCCGCATGTTGAGATTTATTAGCTTGGGGTGGTATTTCGGTATCGATTTTGCTATAAATCTGTTGACAAATTTCTTCCTTAGAATTTGTCGATTTTCGAACCGCTTGATGAACCTCAAGATTCGTGCTTTTGCGTCGACGTTTTGATTTGTTTCTTTCGACGGCCGCTGGCTACCGGCACTGGCGCGGCTCATGCACGCGTAGATGTCAGACGAAGGGCAGAGATAAAGCGGCAGGGCATACCCGAACATGCATGCATGAATGATGGCCTCCACACGCATCGTACAAACAGACATTGCGAGTTCGTAATCCCTCTTTTACGTGAGCAGTGCCAAACATAAGTTTTATAAAGGTACATCTCACTTACATGCAAGTTATATTATAGTTACAATGTAATTACATATAAGTAACAATGTAATTATTATAGTTACAGTGTAGTTATACTAAAGTTACAGTGTAGTTATACTATAGTTACAGTATAATTACATATAAGTTATAGTGTAATTATTCTATACTTACAGTGTAATTACAGTATAATTATATTGTATTTATATTTGATAAATTTTTAAAATTTATCGACAAATGTATAGATAGTCCCTCGGGATATTTGCCGTGAAAGATACTGTCAGCCGTATTTCTGGAAGAAATAGCTCAAGTGGTGTCTATAATTTTGCATGTTAGGTACGAGGGTTGCAAACGTAGAGACGAAAATCCTCGTGGGGCGCAGTAGGGATGAAAGCCACGTAGATGCACTGTGAATGGTCTTATGTGCCTGGTTTGTGCATGGGACCACCAGACAAGACTATGCTTAGCGAAACACAACTTAGCTTAGTTTATCGCAACTTCTTAATCTCTTAGTCTTAGCTTAGAAGCTTTGCTTGGTTTAAACCAGTTTCTTATGTAATGGGGTATGCCCTTCTGTTGACCAGTGATTGCCTCGGTGTATCACAGTTGCGCTAGTTATTTTTTTCTAATATATTAACGTGCAAAGGTTTTTTTTGCATCGCGAAAAGACAAGGTTCTGGTTCTCAGTTAGTAAGAAACAAGGTCGTTTTTTAATTTAATTTCGTGACAGCCATTCCGAGGAGAAAAAAAAAACTAGAAAATCGGTAGCACTAGGGCTTTTATTAATTGATGATTTCGTTCGTTCAAGCTAGTCACTACACGCGATCACCTCTCAGCATTATTTAAGCAACGTGAGCTCCTGAGCCTGATTGGCGATCGAGTGGGAAAAAAATAAGCATAAGCATATGCAAATTAAACGAAGAAGATGTAGAACAAGTATAGTACTTTATTGCCACTCTCTCCCGTCTCTCTACACAAAAAGCCTTCGAACATCTATTGCCGCAACACGCACACGTACACTTACTTTGTTCACTCTCTACTGAATACGAGTACCCCGTTCGGTGCACAACTGCACCTGAAACTTGGTACATTTTTTATTCTTACACCAGCTCAGCTGTGTCCTGTGTGACCTTGCCTCTCTCTGCCTGCGTGCTACGACTCGTTCGGCGAGTCCGCGGCCGGGGCGAACGTGAGCAGCGTGCGCGACTCGAGCCAGGGCTTGACCACCACGACGGCGTCGAACACGCGGGGCTCGCCGCCGTTCTGACCCGCGGCGCCCTCCTCGGCGGCGGCGACGCGGAGGTAGTACTTGAGCCCGGACACCACCTGGCGCTGCGCGGCGACCACCCTGCCGAACTCCAGCCGGACGTCGCCGCAGTCCCGGCTGCGGCGCCGGCGGTTGTGCTCCTCGACGGAGAAGCGCCCCAGCTCCTGCACCTCCCTGTCCCCCTCCACGTCCCTCACCTCCGTCCTTCCCCCCACCCTCCTCCCCGCGCCGCCGCCCCGCAACTCCCGTATGCCCCCGCCGCCGCCGCCGCCGGATCGCGCGCCAGACGCCGCGGACGCCACCGTGACCAAGACGATCAGCAGCAGCACAGAGGCCACACCGACCGGACAACGAGCCGCCATTGACACGCAACCAACGTGCACGATGTTTTTGTCTGCGACGATGTTTTTTGTTGTGTTTGTGAGAAGTGAGCGAGAACGATGGATGCGGGAGCCCGTGGTACGGTGGCGCGGGGATTTATACGGGGGAATCGGAACGGAAAGGACTCAAGGACTCGCGGGTTGGTGTTTGGAAGGACGCGCGCGCGCGCGCGGCGCGCGGGCGGGACGCGATCATGGATAGGGACGAGGTGGTGTGAGGACACGTCGAGGGGGGTGGCGCGTGCGCGGTGCCGCGTAGACGGGTGCGCGCATGGGCGTGGGCGTTGGCGGAATTGGCAAAAGCTTACGTGACGTCAGGGTTGGGAAGCTAGCCAAACTTGGGTGGTTGTCGCGGCGCTGGCGTGAGAGTGGCTAGGGAGTGTAGGTTCATGGCCCCCAGCTCACCTGGATATTGTTGTAACTTGTGTCGCTGCTGTCTGTGTGCTGGGTGGGTGGATATGTGCGGCGACGGTACACCGTAATGGCCGTACACAGCATAGCACCGAAACGAACGCAATGATTTTTCGCGAACGCAGCAGCACCGAAGCGGCACACGTACGTTATGCTTATCTTGGTGACGCATGCAGTAGTCATATACTCCATTTAGCAGATAAAAGCTTAACAATCGAATTTCTAGGCGATAATGAATAGGATTTCTCCAGTGGCAGGGTTTTCGCGATCGATGATCGATCGATCGAACGCGTGGCGTGCGTGACCGCGGCTTCGCTAATCGCTAGTCCTCCGGTGCGGGCTGCAGGGCTACAACACAAGTCCAGGCCTGCACCTGCGTTCGAGGCATCTCTGTTAACCGGCCTGCGCGCCGGGTATCCCTGTGGGCTCTGGTCGTGCGATGGGCCGTTCGTCCACGAGAGGCTGCGCCGCGTGCTCCCTCCGGGCCCATCTAGCCGCGTCACCTGCAAGGCTGCAACTTCCAGGAAGTTGGGTGATTGCTCCTGCCCATGTTCTTTTTTTCGAAAAATGCTCCTGAACCATAACTCGTTCAAACGGGATGATACCTCACAAATATCGTATGATACCTAGTAGGTATCAACTGATACCCCATTTTAACGGGATGATACCTCGCAAATATCGTATGATATCCAGTAGGTATCGATTGATACCCCATTTGGACATTTGGACAAGATGAGGTGTCATCCCGTCGGAATGGGATGCTGTCATGCAGCATTTCTTTTTTCTAAAGAAAAACTCGCCTGACAATGTTTTTTTAAGTCCAATTGTTTCGTTTATGCTTATACCTAGAAGCCAAAATTAAATTTTAATTTTGGAGTTGATTTTATGGTTTTTTTATAGATTGCTTTATAACATTTACTTTTAAATTGGACGTGTATATAAATGTTTTATTTACAAATTTAAATTGTTAGTAAGCGGATCGAATAAGCATAAACAAACAGCCCCATCGTTCAAACATCATATTTGCAAACGAAAAGTAATTTGTTAATAAAACTTTTATATACGTGTTCCTAACGATTTAAAAGTAAATGCTAAAAACTAAACTCCGATGAAAAGATTTTAAAATCAGCTTCAAATTTAAGATTGAAATTTTAAATTTTTTTCTGATAAGTATAAGTGAAAAGATGAGGCTGGAAATGATTAAATTGTAGTACTAGCTAGCTCGTCTGATTTGCGATGCTACGGCTGTATTTAGATCCAAACTTTCAACTTTTTCTATCACATTAACCTGTCATACACACGCAACTTTTCAGTCACATCGTATCAATTTTAACCCAAACTTCCAACTTTAGAAGGCCTACATGCTACTAGGACTAGGCTAACCTAGTACTAGTGGTAGTGGCAGTGGGTTTATTGTCCGATCGAGCTGATCGATCAGTTACCATCTTTAGGAGTAAAAATGATAGGCTGACTAGTTTTAACCCGCACTAACCCGACAACAAAATGCACACTAAACAAACGCATAATTGCACGGCAACATAATTAAAAAAAGCATGCCTATATATTGACCTGCTATATATATTATCAACTCTCTTTGGAGGATTACCCTGGAACGAATAATGATGAAAAATAGTGGGAGTGGCAAATATCTCTCTCAACTTTCTTCGGCAAAAAAATAATGAAAGGTTCATGGTCTATCAAGTCAATACACTACTAAACGGAGAAATGCACACACCACGTTATCCAGATGATGTTCACTTTACACTTGTGGCACTACGACCGGTTGATCACTACTGTATGTGGTCTTCATCTACTTGATAGGTAGAGTGCATATCTGAACGAATCAGAAAAGGACCAAACAAGTCTAGGAGCAGATGTATCAATGTGATCTTCCTGATCGTTTGTGTCCCCACTTTAACACCCAGTCCTTACTTTAGGGTGTATTATTGAACTTGATTTAGCTTTATTTTTCGCCAGACCTGATTAGAGGAATGACAGGTATGTGCTGATCATTAGGCCGGAATTAACAAGGACATCAATCATAATAAGTTGTTTATATTGTGGCTAGAAAAAAATGTTTATTGCATCTAGTTTGTTATGCGCATGATATGATAATAATACACAGGATCAAACTTCACTCCTGATCTTGCTGCCTTCACTATCCATGGCGCCACGCATGATGTTGAAGTCACTCAGTTTCGTGTATATTGGTTCAAGAGAAAAAACCTAGATGCAATAATGTGCTTCATTTATGAAATATAAAATCGTCACAAACGTCCGCACCTAATTAATTTTGATATCCTTGGAACACGGAATTTTTCTCATATCCTGTAGAAAATGAAAAAAAGACTGATATGTCGTTCTTTCCAAACTGGATAGAATTATATAATATAATCACATCATTTCTGAGTATATTGTCGTAAATAAATAAGATTGATGGTACTGCGATACGAAACGTAGTAATCCTTTATATCAAATATTTGGTAGTATCGGCATATAACAGGATACAAATCTTATGATACGTAAAATGACATAATGGCAACTTAGATATCTATCATGCATGATATTATTATGAGTAAGTTGAATTTTGGACCAGTTATTTTTATCCTAGTCTCACCATGGATCATCAATATTTTTACGTTGGATTAGGTTTAGATACCAGATTTTGCACTTTAGGCCAGTAACCCATGTATCAGCAAACACTTCCAGACGAGGGCCTTGTCCAACTGGCCTATTCAGCAGGCAAGGGCTGTGGCTGCAACTGCCTTTGTTGCTTGCAGAACTGTTTTGGTTGGTTGCGATATGCCGTAGCCCTGACAACCAAATATGTCAATGTGTAATATATGTAACCAAGTTGACCTAACATGTAATTCACTCGTTGTTGTTTTTTGTTTTTCAAGATATGTTTTTACACGGTAGACACACGCGCATATCAGTATACACGTCACATTAGTCATCATACTCATGTACCCATGAATGTATCCTCTAACAAACTAACACATATTACTCTCTCTATATCTAAATATAAGAGATTTTGGTTAGTACAACGAATCTGGATATAAAGCTATATTATATCCAACTAAAATCCTTTATATTTAAGAACGGGGGAAGTAAAAGAGACTGAAACCAACAACATATTTCTAATCTCACTGGAAATATCTCACTGAGTTTCTGTTGAAGGGGCCGTCATTTGACGGCTGGTTTAACTTGGATTAGCAACACGTCCACGATGATTCGATTGATTTCGACGTGGATTAGCACGGACACGTCCACGATGATCTCGATTCTCGACAGCGAGACAAAAGAAAAAACGGTGGTAATCCTAATCCCGGGACGATTTGACGTCGTGTGTCTGAGAGTGTGATTAGTTTCTGAAAAAAAGTTAGAAGTTTGAAAAAAGTTAAAAGTTTTAAAAAAAAGGTTAAAAGTTTATGTGTGTTTTCTATGTGATATAATGTAATAGAAAGTTGGAAATAAAGGGAAACTAAACACGGCCTCGATCTACTATCTGCAAGCTGCATGAACAGCGTGGACAGACAGCTCCTGCGTGCCGCTGGATAAAGGCCACCGCATCATTGCGCTGTCACCGGTGAAGAATCGCATGCGGCCGGTCTGGTAAAAAATGTCGTACTACGAGTAGAGGTGTACGAGTAGGGGTGAAAACGGTACGGAAATGGACGAAAACCATTTTTACCGTTTTTATTTTTATATTTTTTTTAAATCAGAATCGGAATCGGAAACCTGGATACGAAAACGGAATCGAATATTATCGAAACCGAAAACAGAGCGAAAACGAACCGGCGCAAATATGGTAACGAAAATTTATCGGAATAAAAAAAACTCTCAAACTGATTAATCCAATTCTCAAATCTCAACGGTCAACGATTCATCATAAAACACAATCATATAAGTCTAATTATTAAGTATTAATAGTACATCACAAAACACAATCTATGAAATAAATTATCTATATTTAAAAGAGTAATGATGTTGGTAAATCCCAATGAAGGAAAAAAATATTCTTATGTAATTTTAGATTTGCATAACAAATATTTTCAAGAAAATAACAACAAAACACCATGGTATTCTCTATTAAGTGCTTAAAAAAAGAACCCAGGGTATTTCAGTTACAAAATTTCTGGAAATTCTGAAAAAAATTCCTGAAATTCCGAAAAAAATTCCGAAAAGTTTCCGACCGATTGCGAGTTCCGACGGAAACTGCCCTTATCATTTTCGATTCCGTTTCCGAGAAAATATTTCCGAATTTATTTCCGAAAAATTCCGAAAAAATTCTCACCGACAGATTCCGTTTTCGAAAATAGATCCGGAATCCGAAAAGTTTCCATACCGTTTTCAGCCCTAACTACGAGTCGTACGTGCGCCGCGCTGCGTGGGGTTAAATGGGCTTTTCGCGACCGCGCGGGGCCAGGGGAGGGGACACACAGTTGCTTACTAGTACTATCACTTAACAGTGTTAATCTATGTTTAATTTTTAGCTATGAATCTGAACTTTTGGGACGGAGGGAGTACTCTACTTAGGGTGTGTTCAGTGTCCCATGTTCAACCGGAAGTAAAAAAAAAAAAGTAGCGGTTCATTAGCGCGTGATTAATTAAGTATTAATTATTTTTTTAAAAAATATATTAATTTGATTTTTTAAGTAAATTTCGTATAGAAACTTTTTATAAAAAAACGTACCGTTTAACTGTTTAAAAAATATGTGCGCGGAAAACGAGAAAGAGGTGTTGGGAAAACACCTGCTTATAGAACCTGATTGTACGTGGGGAAATAGTTTATTTGGGAGTACAGAGACGGGATCACGTGATGGTGTAGTCTGTAATAAACACCGTCAAATTAAATCTCATGGGATTTGGTGGTGATTCCTTAATAGGAAGCTCGAGATTTCTTCGGCGACTCTAATATGATCGGTAATGATTCACAAAATCACAAGCACCGATGGTCGAAAGGGACGTTATGTATGTGCATTGTTCTTGCATATTTGTTGGGTTATTCCTGATCCACAAAGTCCAGCACCGAGCTGAGCAAAATCAATATTTAGGTGTAGGAAATCACATGCGCGTATACTATTAGCTCCAAACATTTGGTACAAGAAAAATGCCGAAGATCGAGAGGCGAAGAAGATGATGAGACCTACGTGCCACGTTGCGCCCGCTGGCGACTTGGCGTGCCATCGTTGTTCATTCTCTCTGGTTCTCCTTCACCGCACCGCGTATCGTCACCCACTTGGTTTGCTGATATCTTTGTATCGTGGTGGACTGCATGTTTCTTATAATGGACTTACGCCATTCACGCGACCAGGCCATAAAATTATCCCAGCATGCTACCAACGGTTCCTGTGTAACTATCAGCCTTGAATTTGACCCAAACTTCTGTCCAGATGCTAAAGAACCACGACGAACAATGCTCCTTCGTGATCTTGAAACGCACAGGTTCATTGTATCTAGACGACACGTACGTGGACGCTTTGGAGAACAGGCAAACCCCTTCCACCGCTTTGGAGTAGTTGTTGGCTCCAAAAGTGATCACATCATATTATACTAAAAACTAGTGAATATAATAATAGATTGTATATACTCTCTCCATCACAAAATAAACCAATTTCGTGCAGAATGTGATATATACTAATACATCAAATATGGATATAGGTATATACAGATTCGTTATTTTAAGATATGACACATATCTTGTACGATGTTAGTTTATTCTGTAACAAAGAGAGTACATCCTACACATTTCTCATAGCTAGCTTTGATTTTTCTAGTGTTCACTTAGATTCTACAATTGGCTGAGAGTAGCAGCTTGGATGCATGCAAGAGAAAAATGCACTAACACATCATTGGGAGCAGCGTATCACCCGACTGCAAATTAGTCGTCGAGCTGCTCTCTCTCTTCCATTAACTCTATAATTAGATACTAATTTAAAGTATTAAATATATACTATTTACAAAACCAATTACATAAATGAAAGCTAATTCGCGAGACAAATTTTTTAAATCTAATTAATTCATAATTAAAAATATTTACTGTAGCATCACATAGGCTAATCATAGATTAGTTAGGCTCAATAGATTCGTCTCGCGAATTAGTTTAAGATTATGGATGAGTTTTATTAATAGTCTACGTTTAATATTTATAATTAATGTCCAAACATCCGATGTGATAGGGATTTAAAAGTTTTAGTGTCATCTAACTGGGTCTCATTACCCGAATTTACATGGGAAGCAAGTGGAGTAGTCTACACAACCACACGCACATTGATCACGCGCAACCACACCCAACTGTGCCAAAGAAAACGATGGGACAGGGGCAGTTTCTGTGCTGCACGGAATGGGCGAGATGCCCTCCCCCTCCACGGCCGCATGCTCCCTCCGCAGCTCCGCTGGGCCGCGTCGTCCACTTGGGTTTGGGTATTTTGGCTTCCGCGAAGGGGTGTGTCCGTTTCTAGCAAAAACCAGAGGCGGGCGGGCGGGCGTTCCGCGACGCAAACCGGTGGCGCGCGGCGTAGTACGTGCCTTTACCTACCCGGCCTACGGTCGTTGCGTTTGCTGCGCCTGCGCGAGCGCGAGCACGCGCGAGAGCGAGACTGCGTGCGAAACGGTGGGTCGATGCGGGGGGCGCGAGCGCAGCGTTGGCTCGACCAAACTGTACAGGAATATTAGGATCCCGCGCGGGATGGGAGTTGGGAGGTGGTGGGCCGGTCGCGACGGCAACGAGTAACCAACCTTGATAACGCTGGCCCCGCCTCTCTCCGATCCGGTACGTGTCCGGTGTCCTCGTGATCTCGCTCGCCCCCCCGTGTGCGCGGGGGCCTATGCATGTGTACCACCGCGACCACGCCGTTTACACGTACGCCCTGGCTGGTGGCCGTTTGACCCTGGATGTTTCCACCGCGACCTTTTCTCTTCGGAGTTTGATCCCATCTCCGCTCGAGATTTTACTCCACTGCGTCGGTGAGTTGTCTCCACCGCAATACGGCAAAAGTAACTGTAACTCGTATGCCACCATTTACCTCCAACGCACAGCGCAACTCTGTTCCCTCAGCTGATAAGCGTACAGTAAATACTTGCCTCCTCTCTTTCTGGTGAGTGGTGATAAGTTCAGCGTCAGCTCAGGACCAGGGGGCAAGTAAAAAAGTTTCATTAAAGAAATGTCATGCCGTCAACAGTGTAGATACTCCTGGAAACAGTTGCGTACAGCTGAACCTGGTAGGGCCCCGATCGAGATCGAGACGGAGACGGGGCGAGAAGAGAGCGTCGAGATAGAGATTAGGAAGAGGCGATCACAGAAACGGATATGGATTATCGAGTCTAGTGGCGAGACCGAGACGATCGATCGAGCAATGGGCAGCATAGTCGCCATCCATCTCGTGCTCTTGTCCCTCCCACGGCGACCCCGCGGCCGCGCCAAGGGCCAAACACGGGGGCGCCCCCACCTGCTGCTGACTTGGCCCAATCGACGTCGCCCGAGCCAGGTTGGGGGGCCCGCGTGACAGTGCGGATAGGACAAAGCCTCGGGATGCCACGGCATATCCTCGCCACGCACGGCACGCACGCAGGCGGCAGCAACACACACACGCAATAGTGCAATATGCCAACACACCGCGGCGACCCGGTTTTTCGAGAAAGCTTTTTACTGTTTTTATACAGGTGAAAAAAGCGTCACGTTTGAAACGGGGGCTTAAGGTTAAAAATAAATAAAGTGATTTGGTTGCATAATCGTATATTCGTATAGTGCGTGTGGATTATAAGCTTGCTTTTCCACGCTATTTCCCTCCATTCCCTGGACGTTTCGTGGTCAAATGCTGTAGTAGAAAACAGCATATATACAGTGCGAACGCCAGCTCTCTCGTGTGAGTAGTATTCTACATGGTTGAAGATGGAAGATAATTTTTAAAAGATGCAAATAACTCGTCCATTGATTCGGAAACAACTTAAGCACGTGCTAACAGCTGCTAATTACTGTACACCTGTCACCTCTGGCAGCAGAAAATGCACTGTAACAACATTAACCCTGTCAGTATGGATGGACCTAGAAAGAAAACAGAGATAAACATTTATACATGTCAGCCATCGAGCCATCAACCAACACGCTCTATCTGTTTACTCTCTCCCGTTTCATTTTAATTAACGATTTAGACAATGACATGATTTATAAAATATATCCTTGACATTATTTTTCTATTATAATATATATAATAAATAAATATATGTTTATGTTTTGAAAGACAAATCTATATATGTTGTTCTAATTTTTTGGAACTAAATATTTTTAAAGTTACTTATGGTTAAAGTTATAAAAGTTTAACCTCAAACTTGTTTAAAAGATCAATTAATATAGAATTTAAAAGATCAATTAATATGGAATTTAAAAGTTCAATTAATATGGAACTGGAGGGAGTACATGGCAGCACCAAATTAGCTTTGATATGTAATTTTTTTTGGCGCACTGCTTTTGCCTACCATCTCTCATCAGGAAAGCATATTCCATGGTTAACTTCCTCAAATTCGTTGCTCCTAACTTAAGCGCCCCCACTAATCACTAATGATCCAAAGGAATAAACCCTTCCTCTCTCTCGAGTTCGCCTCATAGCCAACCACCCTATAAAAACGAGTCACCCGGGTGTGCGCCTCCTCCCCTCACCGCGAGCTCAGACACCTCAAATCCACGCACGCCGCCGGCGAAAATGGCCGTCTACATCCGCCTCGACGACGCCGTCCGCGCGCGGCTCCGCGGGGACGCCGGGTCGTCGGCGAGCAGCGGCAGCGAGCACGAGGCCTCCGCGTGCCTGTCCGGGCTCGTGCAGGCGTTTCTTGAGACGGAGGGCGCCGCGGCGGGAGAGGACGGCGCCGGGCCGGCGAGCAAGGGCGGCGAAGGGTATGACTCCGATGATGGCGACGGTCCGGAACGCGCGGCGGCGGCGGCGGAGTCCGTGAGGGAGCTGCTCGACCCGCCGGTGGAGGAGGACCCGTTCCGGGTCAGGCTGGCTGCTGCCGTGGCGGCCGCGATGGAGGCGGAGCCGGCGCTGAGGAGGTACGGGGCGGCGTTCCGGCGCGCCGTGGCGCGGCGGCTGCGGGCCGCCGGGTACGACGCCGGCGTGTGCAAGTCGCGGTGGGAGGCTTCCGGTGGCATCACGGCCGGGACGTACGAGTACGTCGACGTGGTCGCGCCGGCGGCGAGGGGGCAGAAGAGCAGGTACATTGTGGACGCGGACTTCCGGGCGGGGCTGGAGGTCGCGCGCGCGACGGCGGAGTACGCCGTCGTCGTGGCCGCCGTGCCGGCGTCGGTGGTGGTGGCGCGGGAGGAGGCCGTCGGGCGCGCCGTGCGCGTCGCGGCCGACGCGGCGCGGCGGTCGCTCCGTTCGCACGGCCTGCACGTCCCGCCGTGGCGCAAGACCCGGTACATGCTCGCCAAGTGGCTCGGCCCCTACAAGAGGTCGACGGCCACCTCGCCGTCGGCCGCCGGAGCAATGCCGATGCCCGCCGCCGCCGCCGGGATGGACGTCAAGTGCCGCGCCGTCGGGTTCTTCACGCCGCCGCCGGCCGCTCCGGCGGCGAGGATCAAGTAGACTCGGCGATGAAACATCATAATCAAGGCATTAATTAACGGTGTTTGTAGATGTAGAGATTAATTAGAGCGAGAGTTCCTTTCAACTTTGAGTTGCTCTCGAATTTGTTTTGTACAGATATTTTTGGTCGAGATTAATTATTAAGGAGCAAATTGTTCTTGCAAAAGGTGATGATATATTATTGTGTAGCATACTTGAACTTGATCTTTAGCTAGGGAAAAGATTATAATATGAAGATCTTGCAGGAAAACAAAGCAAGAAACGATGTACGCGGCGGGTGGGTGTGGTTGAATTAGCGTGGATTGAATGGTGCCACGGATGTTTATGCTTTACTAATGGCGCTTGTCGGCGACGATATGTTTAACAATAATAATACAATCAGCCTAATCATCCTCTCTCGTTGCTGTGATCTGCGTACGTTATTTTTTTTCTCTCTTCAAGATTCAGCATCGTGGATTGTCGATCATATGATACGCATACTTGCTCCCCCTTGATCACCTAGCCACGAAATACTCTTTAAATCCTGAGTAACGAGTTGCTTGAAATTTAACCGAAAATTCCATTTCAAACAAACAAGAATAATCCACTATACCATTTGAAGTTTTTTAATTTTAAAGCGGATAAGGAAAAGGGCGATCAGAGGAGAAAAAGAATTTGTCAGTGGTCCAGGACCATCAGATTATTACGGATAATAAATAATAGCGTGGGGCCCACTTGCAAGGAGACCTGTCACTCGAGGCTGCGGTGGGCCCGCCGCGTCCTGGACCAGATATCCACGTGGCAACGAGGAGGGCTTGAGCTTCTTGGTGAAACCACCAAACGCCGCCACGGCTAGCGAAAGGGACCTTGTACTGGGCGTGTCGCCCAGTACACACGTGGACTCATGTACCGTTGCTATCTCTACTCCCTCCCTACTACTCCTACTAGATGCATCTTCCAGCTTTGCTTGTGATTTTGCTCCAAACTTTGCAAATTCTGGCCAGGTAAATGTGGTGTCGTACTGTCGTTTCAAGCCACATGCATTCAGATCGAGAGAGATGTGTTTTTCCTTTTTTTAAAAAAATGAGAAAATTGAGAGAGATTTGGTATGAGACTATGAGCCGGCCACGGACCACCTGGTCTGATTCTGATATACTGCGATTACAAGCACTCATGCTGGGCACAGCTTGCCTGAGTTGTATACAGTATACCCACGGAGATATCTCTCTCTTCTCTACCACAAAACTAGGGAGATTTAATTAAGTGCAACACAAATATAAAGGCACGTGTACAACGATAAAAGGGTTGATGTGGCTAGCTAGATGTGACAGCATTGGGAGAGCAAGCTGGGATTAAAGATAGGGAAAATACATGCGAAATCTCAGTGCTCAGAGATGAGAAAGCAAGAAGAAAGAGAGCTTATTGGGGGAATAATCAAATGGATATTTGTTTTTCAGCTAGTGGATTTGTTGGATTAGGATTAAGCATTTTTTTTCAGACTTGGATGTGAATCCGCGTTGAAGTTTTATTTTTTTTTCGTTTTCTTTCTTTAATTTATCCTTTGATCTCTCCGGCTTATACAATTTACATGCAGCACAGTACTTGATTTGATACAATTGTTTGAATTAGTCTGTGATATAAATCCATGGGTTTGCACCAATAACATACTACTCCATAATGCTGTAATATACTACTAGTAGTACTACCTCCGTCCCAAAATAAGTGCAGCCGTGAATATCCATGTCCAACGTTTGACCGTCCGTCTTATTTGAAAAATTTATGAAAAAATTAAAAATATTTAGTCACACATAAAATATTATTCATGTTTTATCATCTAATAGCAATAAAAATACTAATCATAAAAAAATTTCAAATAAGACGAACGGTCAAACGTTGAACGTGAATAGTGTAAAACTGCACTTATTTTGGGACGGAGGGAGTAGTAGTTTTCGCATTCTGCTAGTATTTTTGAAGCACGTGTGTTTATTTGCTTCTATTGACTTTTCTCGTCGCACGTTTCAATTCATTGTCAGAATGGAAAGGCCGAGGTACTGACATAGTACATTCACAAGAAGTGGTCCAACATTAAAAGAAATTAGTAGAACCTAGATAATTAACACACAGTTCACATGGTCACTCAAAAGAAGAGCAAGGAGCACCAGTGATTGGTACCATTGCACAAACTAAAGTTTAGTCCTTCTCACCCAAACACTCCCTAGAGACTTATTTTTTGGTGAGAGGGAGTCCCTCTCACCCAAACACCCCTAAGTCCAAACAAGGATCAAATATATGAGAGTTGTTTCATACTTTTTATATACCAATGTCTGGACCAGTAATCTTTAGGACAAATCTTGAGAAGCAGATAATATACAGCCAAAGGCAATGTGGCATATTCCAAGCATATATGATTAACCTAATAGATTAGATCAAAAGCTTAGATAACTACTTAGATATAACTATATTATCTTCCTCCTGGATCAATTGACGTTACTGACTCGGGAAGGGTCACAAGAGAATAGTTTAAGCTCTTCTAAGTCTTGATGGGAATATAATTTGGTTGGAGCCTACTCTTTTCATTCCTTTTCTTTTCCTAATGAACAAACAAGCTAATTGAAACTTTATTCTCAGAGCAGTGAGAGAGCAACCAGATTGCTTCCCTTTCAAAAAGATAACTCATGAGGAACTACATTAATATTCTCTACTTTACAGTTCTTGAACAACTCAACCTGTCATCTTTTCTCTAGGTTAATTACTCTCTGAAAGACTAGTACATTAGTGCATTACCCTATTATTTGCTTTAACCTCTCTTGAGTAATAAGGCATAGCGTTTGATGCTAACTATTCCAGGTAATCAGATTTATAGGATAGGTTATTTCCATCAGACTTGTTTTTCGAGGACAGTTTCACTTTTCGAAGAGTGCCTTTCAGTTTTCTGCACAGTTCATACAAAATCCTATGTGCACCAGCTTCTTGTAAGTAAAATTATGGCAATTAAAAAGGAAAGTTTCTGTAACTAAAAACATAGGATTACAATGCACGAACCCTAACCTTTTATGTCTTGAGGGAGAACAGCCAGTGTAGTAGCCAAGTAGTTCTGTGATTACCACGCAAGTATTCAAGCTTTCAGAGTTTAAAATACTTCCATCAAGAAAAGCTAATCCTGCCTGCAGAACGTTGCAGTACAGAGTTTACATCATGAGCCAGCGGTCTCAAATCCTATACTGCTATTACAATTCAAATACTGAAAGCTTATCCTTTGCTAATCGACAACAAAAATTCAGTCAAAAAAAGTAAAGAACTGAAGAGGCACCCAACTTCATCCACTGTAAATAGAAACCAAAAGGATTGCATATTTTATGGACCTTGGGAAGATATTATGATTGTGTCACTAACAACTAATCTTTAATTTATCCCCCTGAGACATGACCACATGAATAAATATATATACTCACAAGTACCATTGTAGAATAGAAGAAAAGGGAGGCAAGCAAGAATGGCTCACATTCTGCTATAGGCTAGGCATAGTAGGAGGATTCACGGCGTAGGAGGTATTGTGGCTTCATGGTGAATGCAACTGTTGCAGCAGGATGAGCCAATCTGATCCAAGCAACAAAAACATGTAAGACCTCCAATTCTCCATGTCCTTCTAACTAAAAGGACAGTGGTCTACACAAACACATATATTCTGCTAAAACAGTAAATATACAGAGCTCTGTAATGCCTATAGCAAAGATGAAATGTAGGTAAAATTTTATTGGCCAGCTTAAAGCGTAGTGGAAAAATGCGACTTCCTAGCTTCAATTTCCATGAAATAGAATACATGGAATCATTGACATATATGCACATCAAGATATATCGATGTACATTATAATACAAACAGTGAACATCTAACAAGTAACAATATATATCGATGTACATTATAATACAAACAGTGAACACCTAACAAGTAACAATATGCATCCATGTTTTGCTTAATGAACATGCTTCAAGAGTTTCGCTACCCCGTAATGCCATCAAGTCCAATCTATTCTGCCAAAACGGCTACAGCGAAAAATGTATGTACAAAAAAAAAACAATATGATGATGCTTTACCATAATTTTAGGTTACGGTAACTTGGTAAGGATTAACGAATACACGAAGAGTCGAAATAGTAGTGGAAAGTTCGCATAGGGGACCTGGAGAAGACGTAGAGCAGGTTCCCCGTCGAGGCGGGGCAAAGGTGGCCGCCGCCGCGGCCGTCTCCTCGTAGTCCCAGCACGGCGCCTGCAGATCTACCTATGTCGCATTGAGTTACCCCCCCTCCGACGATGGCTTCCCGGACGCGGGCGAGCGGGACGGCGAGGCACGGGGGCAACTGGGCAAGGGATTGGCCATGGGCCATGGCGGATGCGGGGAGGAGGAAGAGGAGCAGGGAGGAGTGTGTGGTGTGGGCAGCCGGCGCCGCGCCGCCGCGTCGCTCTCGTCGGTGGAAGTGGAAGTGGAAGTGGAAGGGGAGGTGTGTTTCTGACTTCCTTCTGAACTGAGCCCATCTCGTCCTAGAACTTTGTTAAATTTGGGCCATATTCTGGCAGGCTTTTAGCCGTAGAAACGTTGGGCCTAGAACTAACACACTACTCGATTTGGGCTATGTCCGCAAGAGCCAGTTCCCAAGCAAATATTTAATTAATCACGTGCTAGAGGATCGGTTCCATTTTCCGTGCATACTGTTTAGGTTGGGAACAGCTCTTGCGAACAGAGCCCGGTCCCTAGGGGGCCATTTAGTTTCCCCTTTGTTTCATATCATAAGTCAGTTTGATCTTTTTTTAAGTCAAACTTTCTTAAATTTGATAATGTTTGTAGCTAAATATAGTAACGTTTTAATACAAAATAAATATTGTATCAGAATATATTTAACATTATGATGTAGAAGTTTTTTTTTTCTATAAACTAGGCCAAACTAAAAACTTTAACTAAGAAAACAAGTTATAATATGAAACGGAGAGAATATATGTTTCTTATCCCGTGAAGTTTGAGTTGTACCAAATATTTTCGAAACCCTAGATAATATATATTTAAAATTTACGGTAAAAGCAGCATTCACGCCGCTCCCCACCTCCGCTCCAATGGATAATATACTCCACAAGTTACATTACGAGAGTAAAGCAGCATTCTCGCGGCTCCTTAGCTCCACTTTATCCTTGGAATAGGAATTGTATCAAACAGTCCCTATGAACAAGTTCATAAAACTTAAGAGAGGTGTAAACTGTAGTGGCAGGAAGCGAACCGTGTGAACAAGTTCTCTTTCATCTGTTATAAACCAAAATCAGCATCTGCCTCATAGATTGACAGGTGCTCGAGATATGAGATCATATGTAGTTCCACAAAATTCGTCAACGGATCATATCTCCAAGAATGTGTCAGACAAAAAACTAGATACAGATCAATTGCACAGTATCATCCATCATAACCTCTCTCTCTAACTGTCTACCCCTCTGTACTTCTATCCCGACTGTTGACAACATGCCTACAATTTGTTTTTTTGTCCAACCAAAAGCTATATTTCCTTCCTATCTGTGGGAGAACAACAACACGATATGTAATGAGGTATACACCAATGCTAGAAGCTTAATTAGTTTTTGCAGGTCGTATCACATGATAGAAATCAAGCAGCCAATGAGTGTTTTTCTTCAGCTTCTCACTCCCTCGAACTCTCTTCGTATGGTCTCTAGCAACATCTCATTCCATGTATCTACAGGTCCTGGCATGCACCAATGTAGGCAATCCTGAGGTGGAGGCCTTCCATCTGGACCTCTTTGCGTCTTCTTGTTTGGGTCAGTACTTCTATATGGACCAGGATGCCCATCAGGCCTCAGGGCAAAGGGCTCAGTGATGTCCATCAATTTCAACCTGGAACCATGTTTCCCAGAATTCTGCACTGCTTTTGTGAACCCTGAAACCTGCTTTCCATACATGGTGTCCGTGAATCCATTCCTCACCACCACATCCAAGGGCTTAGTCTTTCCAGTGCATGATCCACCGGTATTCCAAGCCCCACCTTCATAATGATCTGGTGAATATGTGCGCACGATAGCTATACCTGTGAAATTTGGATTGGTAGCTAGAGCAGTTAGGCATGTCTCAACAGATATACCAAAAGCATCAACATTGTTGATCTGCATATTTCCAGCTTTACGAGGCCACCAGAGCTGCCCTCCAACAACATTGCCATTCAGGATATAAGCAGACCGTTTGGCAAACCAGTGCCCAGAGGAGAGGACAAGCACATCAAAACGTGGGATAAATTCCATAAAGGTCTCATCCGGGATATCCAGGAAAACCTTATCGATACCCTTAGGAGCAAACCCCACAGCTTCAGTTGACCTGTGCACTAACCAAGACGACCAGATGCGGACGATAATTGTTGAGGTTGACCTAAAAATCCACTTGCTCATCCTGCGGCTACCACGGTTTACTGGGGCCTCTACCTGCCAAAAAGAAGGTAAAAGAACAGATCATGTCTCTTAATGACATAGCCTACAAAATCATTTAACATAGGAAAAGAGGTATAGGTTGATCTTTGTGAGACATTTCTGCTACTGTAAGGAGGAAAGCCCAACCAGATGTGTTCCACTATATAACGACAAAAGATTTCTCAATCAGATGTTTGAAAAACAAGACTCTGCTGCATGATAAGGAAAAGTAATAAACATGGTATCTGCTTCAATCTTCATAAAATTTCCTACGTGAGACCACAAGGTATGCTATTAGTTCACAAAGCAATTCTAACTCATACAGTTTCTTATCTATAAAAGACTATCATGTACTACAGGACATTGATTTGCATTCTTCTGCTTATTAGCTGCTGTTCTGATGCTTTGGTAGGCATTTTCAATAGGCTAATCTTGCAATATCCTAAATTTGTCCACATTGAGAAAACAAAGAGCCGATTGAAATCTAAACTCTAAAACAGTTTTCTTCTAGAAACCATAGGATTGGTACAGTGTCAGATTGCAACAGGACAGCATTGGTTTCTCTAGTTGATATCAGACAACATCAATAATCCAGCAACTGAACCCACACCAGCCAATACAGTTGCAGTATCTCGAGCAAAAAACTTGGCTGACAGATGTACTACAAAATAAGTAGATTTCACCAATTTAAAAACAAATCATGTAGAACAAATGACTTTGACCCTTTCTCCATTTATTTTAAATAAATCGAAATAATGTTGTTATGAACATCACAAAACTATATAAAAAAATTCATGGTGTCATCCACAAGTTTGTAACAAACCTAACTCACATGAATAACAAAAATGCCTAGTATTTTAAGTTAATAATCAATATCCAGGTCAACAAAAAATTGTCATATATAGTAATGGGCAACTTGTCATCAGCTTAACTAATCATATGGCCAAAAGAAAATCATGAATAGTATCAGCACCTGCCACAGAATGCAGAGGAGGGATTCCATCTGATTTCTGGCAACTGAATCACCAACAAATGCAATTGTCTTGCCTCTCATCAACTCCAGGAACTTTGGTCCATCAAAGCGTGGTAGGATGCACTGTTCTGGTTTCCATCTATAATTTTCATAATCCTTATCAGGTCGACCATTTCCTTGACAATTCTGCATCTGCGTGATGATCGGGCAAGAGTTGTTTGTGTATAGTGGTCCAGAAGAATCAAAAACCCAATGTCCATGGTATAGATCACAGCTACCTGTACAATTACACCATACCATTTTTTATCCCAGTCATTCAATTATCATGAATAATCAAACAAGCCATTACACTAAAATAGCAAGAAAACAATATCTCATTCATGTTAGTCAGTGCTGCCGAGAAAACAAACAGGAAAGTGTACTAACACCGCACCTTCATTAGTCTTCTGAAGATTGTCGGATGAATCCGATGAGACAGGGAGATTTCTCTCATCAGGCACTGACGCGGTATCATCGGTAACAACTGGATCTTGTACTTTGGTATCGATTTCACCCGTCTCGCTCGAATTCACGCCGCCACTCTGAACACCGTGCTCCACGGGTACTTCCTTGCCACCCTGCAACACTTCCTCTTGTAATGGAACACCAACGGCAGTACCATTCATGTTCCCATCAGTAAGCTTGGATGAATCACTAGGTCTGACAAAGAGGTACTCGTGTAGCGATGCCCCGGTCAGAGACGAGCCCACCGATAGCGATATCACTACTAGGGTTAGCACAAGAGCCACCACCGACACGACGACGGTGGAGAGCCACCGACGGATCCCGCCCGCACCGGCCGGGGCCTTCCTCCCCGGCGGACTCATGGCGGCACCAAGATCCAAACGCCACTGCCACCACGCATCAAAGAAATCTGCAAACCAAGAAAGGACGGATTAATCGCGTAGTAGCAAAGAAGAATTCGACACAAAAATTCCTCCCCACAAAACATAAACAAACAAGACCGGAGCAGAACTCCCTAGACAATCCAAGGATGCTATGGCCTAGGAGTTCATCCCAACAAAAAGAAATGAAATACAAGTTGGATCTCCACCCTACACCGGCTCGTCGGCGAAGGAGGCGGTTTTGGGACAAAGAATACCTTCGAGACGAGGTGGCGCGGCGGCGGGGAGGAGGCCACGAGGGATCGATGAGAAAAATGGGGGAACCGATCGACGCCGCCTTCGCGCGTGGCGAGGACGAGGCGGAGGATAGATAGAGGGAAGGAACGGAAGGAAGAACTGCTAGAGGGCCCAAAATGGGCTATTTTCTGAATCTTAAGGGTTGTTTTCGCTCACAAAATTGGACTCGACGCGCAGATGCGAACATACATTTCCACTGATCCACTCACGCTCGCATTCACGTTGGTGCTGTTCCACGCGCTTGGATGGGGATCGGACGACTCTGGACATCCGGTGCGTTGTACAGTACGAACATACAATACATACATCATTCATACAGTGTCTGTCCATACATGTACTCCCTCCATAAAAAATACTCGAGTAAAGACCATCACCGGTCTCTAAACTTGCACCGTTGTGTCATCCCGGTCCCTAAACTCGCAAATCGATCGTTCAGATCCTCAAACTTGTTCGACTATGTCATCTCGGTCCCTAAACTTGCAGATCACTCGTTTAGGTCCTCCAACTTTTCCAGTTGTGTTACCTCGGTGCATAAACAAGACGGTCTAAAGACTTTATATCAAAAAATAATTCATAGCTTTTTCATGTGAACTCTAATGAAGACAAACTTTATATCAAAATTATAGCCCTCGACGCGACATACAACTTTGTAGTTGAAAAGTTTTTGAAATAAAACTGTTTAGGGTCACAAAATATTGTTGCATGTTTATATATTTTGAAATTTTAATTTTAAAATTACATTTCGGGACCAAAATGACTTAAAATAAAAAAAATCAACTACAAAGTTGTAGATTGCGTCGAGGGCTACAAGTTTGATATAAAGTTTGTCTTCATTAGAGTTCACATGAAAAAGTTATGAATTATTTTTAAATATAAAGTCTTTACCGTCCTATTTGACCCAAATGATATTCAAATCCAAGTTTAGGGACCGGGGTGACACAACTGAACAAGTTGAAGGGCCTAAACGAGTGACCGGGATGACACAGTCAAACAAGTTTGAGGACCTAAACGGTTGATTTGTGAGTTTAGGGATCGGGATGACACAACGGTACAAGTTTAGGGACCGGTAATGGACTTTACTCGAAATACTCAATTCTAGCAATGAAACCTGAATATCTATTCAGAATATGCATTTATCTTTTTCTTAAAGACTGAGGTGTACATACTATATCTGTTTTTTAACACGTGTTTGACAAAAAAATTTCAATAATTAATACTTATTTTATTATGATTTTTTTTATCATTAAAAGTAATTTAAGTATGATATATATCTTACGTATTTACATAATTTTTAAATAAAACGAATGGTCAAATATGTGTGTAAAAGTTAATAGCGTCATCTATTTAAAAAGTAGAGGGAGCATATATAGATCCAATATTCTTGGCCCGTTCATCGTTTGTACTCCCTCTATTTTTTCTTTTTTGGAAGTTGGTTAAACATCGCGATTGATTTACTATGTTGTATGTGTTCGCTACTCTTGGTTGGGAAACACTTCCCTCCGGCACGGAAAACGGAGCAGTCCATTAGCACATGATTAATTAAGTATTAGCTAATTTTTTTAAGAAAATGGATAAATATGATTTTTTTAAAAACAACTTTCATATAGAAACTTTTTTAAAAAAACACACTATGCAACAGTTTAAAAAATGTGCGCGCGAAAAACGAAAGGGGAGCGTAGAGAGCTTGGTCTTGCAAACTGCTAAGAATCAAACGTAATGACACCCATGCACTATCTTAGCGTTTACGGTCGAGTTCATGTGCTATCGTACGATGACTGCAATGCAGATAACCTACTGAGCATTGGGATCTGCGCAGATCTCTTGCCCTTTTGTAAAGTTCAATTTGACGACACTTAAAATTACAGTCGAGAAGAAAGGAACACCGGAGTACAGATACTTGAGCAACATCTGAAGTTTCTGAAACAAAGTGGATTTTTTATATTACACCCAGCTAAGAACACATCAAGACACAGAGAATATAATTCTGTTCACATTTACATCACAGCCATGACATTTACAGCCAGAGCATACTGCTTCGCACTAATAACCACCATTCATGGTAAGTGTACACTGAAAAAAGAAATCTAACCAAAGTTCGTGCAGATGGTTGGCATGATATATTTACCAACAACCATCAGATATTCTCATATACAGATCAATGATCGCTTCTCTAACTAGTACAATGCTGCAAGACTGCAAGCAAGTATCAATATTTCACAAGCTATACTTTAGCATTCCAGAGCTGACTTAGCTCTCCTCTTTTCGCACCTAGCGTGACAATAGTTCCTGCATAATTTCAGAGAAGAAACAGGTGTTGGAGCTCAAGATTTCTGTACTAAAATCTCAGCAGAGGAATCGATGTGATACCTAGTGTTGATGGGACTAGGTAGAGGAGAGCTGGCTGTCCACTCTTCATTAGGTACAGGCCAACATATGTGCATGACAAACCTGCATTGAGATGACAGTGTTGATAATTGATGTCAATGATTTTGTTCTTCTGTGATTCAGAAATGCGGATAATATTACGTACCGAAGGCGTAACCGATCATTAGGCAGAGGAAATAGCCGTCAGTCAAGTCCTTTCCATTTGCTCTGTCATACCTGCAACTCAAGAACAGTAGGTAAATATTATCTTGAAAAATAACGGTAAATTTTCAGGAGAATGAACAGTTGATCACTAGAAGTATCCAGTAGACTCTGATATTAACTGAATGCATTGACGGATTCAGAGAACAAAATCTTGGTTTTGACCTGAAACTGAAAGCAACAAGTAGTCCTGGGAAAAGAATGTCCCCAAATCCGATCATGTCATAGCCATTCCATGTATCAAACTCCTTTGGCATCTTCAGAACCATGGGAAGGCTAGGTCCCTCATCGCTACCACGAGCAACCTGTATGCCCATACCAATTGGATTAGGATATTTTTGCACTAATATTTGCATTATTTGCACTTTGTCAGAAACAAACTTACTGTGATCATGACACTTTTCTTGAATATGAAAGGTGATATGAACACCCAAAAAATGTCATACATGAAAGCGCTCACAAGAAGCGCTGTTGCAACCTGAAAATAATCTCAAGTACATCAGTGTACAAAAGATGATTACAATTGCCATATTTACTAAACCAAGGCATCATATGTTCTTGATGATCTCACTTTGATATTTGGCAGATGGACCACTTGCAATACAAGAATCATCATGCAGATGCCCTGAATGAAAAGGAACAATCCATGAGCAAACATGACAAGGAAATCATCATTGCACTGTACCTGGTGCACACAACAAACCATACCATAAGATCCTGACCAACCCAAGCAAACGGTGAATTCTGGTGTACAGCCCAAACGACAACGAAGATCAAAGCTAGTGGTAGGATGACAAGTGTAACCACTGTCACGTTCCCTAATACAGGAAGAGCTACTTTTGCTTCGCGGCACCGATCACAAGTTCTGTCAATCAACTTTGCAGCAGTTAGACCAGCAAGCAAGTAATAGCACTATCAGAAATTCAGAATCAATGGTGCGATGATACAAAAGGTTGCATGGTTTCAGTGATCACACCTTACAATTAGAGTCGAGGCAACATAGTGCAATCCCTGAAAAACAAAGGATCCGTCAAGAGAAGATATGAAACAAAGCTATACAGTATTAGTTAGTTTACTGATTAACTGAACCAAACTATGTCAGATTGAGTAGGCAATTGCCATGCACCTGGAGACCACTGAGGCAGAACAGCACAACCAGCAGCCATGCAGACCAGGTGGATTTGAAGAAGAACAGGAACAGCAGGACAAGCGACGCGGTGACGATGAACACGAGCGCGGTTTTGGTCTGCAGCTCCACGATTTCAGAGTCAGCAGCTTCTTCTCCACCCAGTGTAGGAGCATTCTTATCCTGGACCAAATAATATCGCCGCCATATCAAAGTCATATTTTAAATTCGCGCCATTCGTTTCAGTGAAAAATGCATGTGATGTGACATGATCGATGCATTTTGTCTCACTCTTTTTCTTCTGCAAAAAACGTATAATACTCGTAATTTATAAAATTAAACTTCTGAAACGTATTTTTTGTGGATTGATTGATATACCTCGTCGCCGACGACGACGAAGGACCAAACGGACGCACAGGCCACGCTGCCGACGGCCATCAGCCAGAGGAAAGGTATAGCGCCATCGAAACTCGGCTTCTCCGGCGCATACATCAGAATGTCAACTGCAAATTAAGCAAAATCAGAAGCATATGGTTCACAAAAACAGCAGCAAGAAATGAATTCAGCTTCTCGACAGACTAATTCTTTTTTTCAGCCTCTCACCCTTTGCCCCACCGTCCATGCCGGAGAGGATCTTGCGACCGGCAGACTGGGATACCATCACGACCGGGATGCCAATGTTAGGGACCGTGTCGTTCTGGGTGCACACCATCTTCTGCAAATCTACACGAAGAACCCTAATGTTAATTGGATAATTTTACCATTTAAAAAAATATTGGAGGATACCATATTTTTTAGTGTAAAATTTGATATCCTGAGACACTGATATCTCTAAGTACCAAATTTTTAGGTATCTCAGGATTTTTTTTAAGTACCATAAAATTTCTCAATGTTAATTACTTTCATGGTATGCACAATGCACGATGGAAATGCAGTCGTTCGGTTAAAAACTACACGTACTGACCGTCCTCGTCGTTGATGAGGAGCAGCGCGGCGGCGCCGCCGGACTCCGCCGTCTTGGCCTTCTCCAGGAACGTGCACTCCCCGCGCTCCGCCACGGCAATGGAGCTAGCAAGCGGCGCGGATGACTTGGCGCAGCCGGTCTTCGGGGCGGGGACCACGGCCTTCCGCTTGTCGCCGTCGGAGCCGGTGGCCGGCAGCACCTCGCCGAACCTCGCCGTGATCCCGGTCAGGCTGCTCCTCTCGTCGCCGTCCACCCAGTACGTCACCTTCACCTGCACACACGCGCATGCCACCGTCACGTACGATCGATCGTCATCTCCTTCCTCTCCGACGAGATCGACGCGGCGATTTACTTACCTTCTGGAAGGGGTTGTCGCAGCCGGGGAACTTGGGCGAGACGCCGTCCTCGAACTCCGAGTCCGCGCCGGCGGCGCCCGGCACGCGGGACGCGAGCAGGAGGACGGAGACGAGGAGGTAGGCGAGGCCGCGGCCGCGGCGGCGAGGGGAGGAGGAGGAGGGTGCAGGGAACGCCATGGCGTGGTGGATTTGCCGGCGAGCGGCGCGGCGCGAGCGAGCGAGGTGAGGAGGCCGGCCGTCCCGTCGTGCGTGCGTGGGCGCGTAGTACGTCGGGGTCGTACGTCGTCTTCCCCGACGAGGGAAGCTGCATGCGTCGGTCGCCTCCCGCGCTCATTGCCTATACTATAACTGGGGGGTGGCTGTGGATTCATCCGGCCCCTATGTTCCCGCGCCCCGTCAACTCTAAATCGAAGCGTCTTTCTCTCGTCTTTCAACGTGAACACCGTAAAGTACTCTAACATCCAAGTTTGCACTGTGGACATCGCGCTTAAAGATATACAAACCAACGATAAATTCCTGACTTCATTGAGGGTTTGTATCCAAAATAAACCTCGATGATATTATTAAAATTTCGACAGAATTTTTTATGTAGTATTTATCAAAGTTTGGAAAAAAATTAATGTATGTACATCGTTGACAACTTGGTATGATTTGAAATGGTATTAATCTGAATTGTCCCTAAATCTATATTACCCATGTAAACGTGCGGGTTTATGAGTTTCGTACAAATTCCGCAAGAATTTCACACCAAACAATCCATCTTCCGTATATCTACTATGTAAAATAATCTAGTGATGATGATGAATCTAACATCATCTAGAGTTGATATGATTTTTTAAGGATGGATAAATGGTCTTTTTGTGCATGTGGCTTAAACTTTTTGGTTGGATATTTGCTTGTAATTCTATATGTTTTTTTTCTGAGTATTTTTAAGCTAACAACTTAAGACATATAATTAGAAATCCGTTATAACAAGCAGGTATTTTATTAGTCAATGCAAAGTCTCACATTATAATCAGGGCTAATTCTCTAGATGGAACCATGAAATTCACAGTATTCTCACTAGAATTTGACATAAATCAGTTTTGTTTTCTATAAGAACCAACAGCGATTCATACACTCTGAATGGAACCTGATCCTCTAATCTACTGGCTACTGCCCTTAAGTACTCCATCCGTCCCAAAATGTAAATATTTTTAGCTATGAATCTGAACAACTGTGTGTTCAGATTTATAGCTAAAAGTTGTTATATTCTAGGACGGATGTAGTAAACTTTAAGTAGCTAGCAGTAACATTTACACATGAGAGTGCAGCATGTCCACCACTACCATTTTTGAATCAAGAAATTCAAAATGAACCATAATTGCCCTTCTTTTCGGCCCAACTGATCATTTTAGGTACGGCCCATCTGGAAAATGACCCAGGGGCCGAGGCTAGAGTTCATGTACAAACGAGTCGTTTTGTAACTGCTTCCTCGTCGTCCCAAATCAAACTTTGCCATGTCTCGTCGTCGTCCTCCTCACGCCCTCGCCACGCTCCTCTCCCGCCTCCGCGCCTGCAGCTCCGCCTCCCACGCGCTCCAGTGCCACGCCCTCCTCCTCACCTCCGGCCACCTCGCCGCCTCCCCGGCCCGCCTCTCCAACCTCCTCCTCCTCGCCCTCGCCTCCGCCTCCGCCTCCCCCTCCGCCGCCGACCACGCCGACTCCGTCTTCGCCCACCTCGCGGAGGAAGCCTCCCGCCACGCGTTCCCCTGGAACACCCTCGTCCGCCTCCACGCCGCCGCGAGCCCGCGGAGATCCCTCCTCTACTTCTCGCGCATGCGGCGAGCCGCCGTGGCGCCCGACGCCTACACGTTCCCGGCCGTGCTCAAGGCGTGCGGCTGCGCGCCCGGGTGTAGGGTGGGGTTGGTGGTGCACGGCGAGGCGGTGAGGACGGGGTTGGACGCCGACCTGTTCACGAGGAACGCGCTGATTAGCTTCTACTGCAGGATCGGGGACTGCCGTTCCGGGAGGAAGGTGTTCGATCACGGCGTGCGGGACCTCGTCTCCTGGAACTCTATGGTGGCGGGGTACGTTGGGTGTGGGGAGGTGGATCTGGCGCAGGATTTGTTCGACGAAATGCGGCAGAGGGATGCGTTCTCCTGGGCCACCATGATCGATGGGTACGGAGAGATGGCAGGTGGTGTAGATCGTGCACGTGAGTTGTTTGATCAAATGCCTGACAGGGATTTGGTGTGCTGGAACTCCATGATTGATGGTTATGCCAGGCATGGGAGAATGGATGAAGCGAGGGTTCTGTTCGAGGAGATGCCTGAGAGGAATGTGATCTCATGGAGTATTGTCATCGATGGCTATGTCAGATTCGGGGAGCCAAATGAAGCTTTGGAGTTTTTCCAGAGGATGCTAAGATGTGGTATCAAGCCTGATAGAGTAGCTGCAGTTGGGGCTGTTGCAGCTTGTGCACAGCTGGGAGCTCTGGAGCAAGGCAGGTGGCTGCACTCATACTTGGAGAAGAAGAAGGTGTTGTTCGATGTTGTGGTGCAAACAGCTTTGATAGATATGTACGTGAAATGCGGTCGTTTGGATCTTGCCAAATTGATCTTTGAAAGCATGCCCAAGAAGAGTGTGGTCACTTGGAATGTGATGATTGTTGGACTTGGAACTCATGGTTATGGACTTGATGCCATCAAGCTTTTTAACCAAATGGAAACTGAAAGGGCACCAATGGATGATCTTAGCATACTTGCTGTGTTGACTTCTTGCACGCATGCTGGGTTAGTCTCAGAGGGTTTGGGGATATTTTACAGAATGGAGAAGGATTTAGGACTAGAACCTAAGGTGGAACATTATGGTGCATTGATTGATCTCCTTGGCCGTGCTGGACGAGTGGATCAGGCTAGAAACACAATAGAGACAATGCCGATGGAACCGACTCCTGAATTATGGGGATCTCTTCTTGCTTCCTGCCGAAGCCATAGGTGTGTGGAGCTGGCTGAGCTATCAGTTGAGCGTCTGGCCAGTCTCGGAGCAGATGACTCTGGAGTCTATGTTCTTCTGTCCAATATCTATGCTGATGAAGGAATGTGGGATGATGTTTTCAGGATTAGGAAGTTGATGAGTGCTGAGGGTATGAAAAAGAACATTGGACGGAGTGTGATTGAGGTGGATGGACAAATTCATGAGTTTGTGAATGGAGGTAGTTCACATCCCCACAAGGAGGAAATTTACTTGACGCTGTGGAATTTATCTAACATAGCAGCATCTATTTGATCCTTTGTTGTGTACCAAATGTGCCAAATCCTTTGTTATCGTGTCTGTTCATTGATTTGACATTCTTGACATGGGACGCTATAATTCTGGAGGGAGCTTTTGAAACATCATTATATCCCAGTTTGTTAAGCTTTTTTTCCCCCTGAAGCTGAACGATGAGTGTTTGCCATTGTGAGTTTCTTGATAAGTCAAACTGAAAAGGTATCCAAGTACGTACTGTGTTGCCCTTTTTTGTGTTCGTATTCCAGTTAGTTCTCCTGATTATTACCCGGCTTCCTTGGTTCAGGAACATGAAGTGTTGTTTTGGAGGTTTGGAACTTTGGCTTTTTTCGCCAAGGAACTTGGAGATTGCGACAAGGTTGAAAATCGTACCAGGTAGTTAAGCACCCTGATGGAAGCAAACTATAGTATAAGTTTTTCCAGCCCAAGCAGGCGCTTAGTTACTCAGATAGTGGTGCTCTTTGTTTTTTTCATTTTGCTTGATTCAGTTGCAGGCTCATTCAAAGTTCCCAAACATATATAGTTCTTTGGCATCCATGGAGTGATCCATCGTATCTGTTTCTTTTTTACTTTCACATGGTAAATAGCATTTTATTTTTCAGATTCCATATGTACTAGAAACATATGGTTGAGCTAAGAAGCTATGATCCTGCTAATGTTTACTATGAAATCTGTCTCAGTGGGTATATTGAAAAAGCGTGGTTCTGCAGCTTTCTGATCATGAAATTTTTTGAAATGATTTCAGGCTGAACCACAATTTCAATCCTGACTAAGAAGCCTCTAAAGTCTGAACCTCTGCTGCGTTGATCTTTTTACTTTGTTGGAATTAAGGCTGAAGGTGTCGAATAATATGCATATAATACTGTAAGTTACTTTCCTTTCCTTTCTACATTCCATCTAATTATTGTTGATGAAAATGGAATTTAGCCGCATGCAAAATATAGTAGTAACTGACATTTAGACATGAGAAAACCTCTTATGCCATTGAGCTTGCGCCAATCCTATGATTTGCTTCCGCATGACACATCTCTTCTATTCCATGACATCCCTTTTCCCAGAATATCTACTCGTGATGTCAAAATAATTAGCCTGTCCTGTATGCTCCTGATCTAGAAGCATATTCTAATTTAGGGTATATTTTAGTGGCACTAACAATTATGAACACCATGGAGATACGGAGGTGCTACAGCCTGCAAGGCTATGATGCTTGGTGTTGTGGTCACGTCAACCTTGGTGCATGACCCGTGTGCCAACGTACTGGGACCATTCTGCCATCTTCTGTCATGCAAAACAAAACAGCTCGAGATGGATCCTCCTGCTTGCTTCCATGTGAATGCCTTCTTCCTTGCACGCAGGACCACCTCACAGAAAGCAACTACGACCTATTCTTAAGAAAAATGGTGACCTCATTCTACCACGGTACCTCCAAAGGGTAGCACTGGAGCGGTAGAGCCACAGGCCACTAAGTGGCAGCTTTCGTTCCTTGTACCATATGCATCTTCCCTCTTGTGTCACTCTCAGAATACCACTCTACTAGTATTTTCCTTTTTTTCTCATTATGAGATTAGCAATGCTGGTCCTTAAGCCACTTGAATTTTTGAAGCTACAATAGGAATATGTGTTATTGTGTTGAAGTTATTATCTTCACATGTAATCGGTCAGAAATAGTGTGATTTACTTGCTTGCAGAGTTTGTCTCCATTGCTGCAAGGCTGACCATTTATAAAGTTGAGTTCTGGGGGCTTGTACACATCACCTGTCACACTATAGGAGCTGGCCATGTTTGAAATAGTTGCTCAGTCTATTTCTTAGCTCAAGACTTCAAGTATCCTATTACCAACTGAATAAAAGAATTAGTATATGTGTCCCACTCCCACCCAGAAGGGCTTTTGATTTTTGTGTGCATAAGAACTAGGAAGTTATGAAGTTTTTCAGTCAACTGAGACATTACTATATATTTCTTTGGACACATGCTCACCAGTTCCTTTGTTCACTAATTGAATAATGTTCAAGCAGACACCATAAAACACCATAATTATCTGTGCATATCTCGGTGTTCGGTAAACCATATATATAGATTATACAAGACCTGGCGTAGCCATCCTAGGTGGCCAATCAGTCAAATCACCATAGTTCTGCTACCTGCTCGTCTCACTCTAGTTGCAGCCGCAGCTTGACAGTCATGTCACACACTCATGCACAAGCAAAACTTCTACGGAGTATATTGGGTGAGCAGTGGCTTATAAAAGACTGTAGTAATTTATGTGACTTGGGTAAAAAAAACTGAAGAGAACACTTCTTGCAAAAGGAAAGTACTGTCTGAATGTGACTACGTTTGTCAGTATCCTCTAATAAGCATGAGTTACTCTTGTCCTTACACCTCCAGTAAAAGAAGTTAGCTAATAAGTGTTTCTTACCAAGACAATTCCTCTAAAAATATTTTGTTGAATAAATACAAGGCACCTCTGCAAGCTCTCTGCTTGCAAAATAAATGCCCTGTTTGGACTGAAACGGTTTCAATTGATATTTTTGAACTACTATTGATTCTTTTTACTGGAATACTATTGATAAGTTTACTTGGTAACTTTAAGGTCAGTGTGCATGTGATTGTCTGAGTCTTGGCAATTTCCTCATACATATCTGCTCGATTGAATTTAGAATGCAATGTCTACTTCAATGAAGGAGTGTGGTCTGCACGAAAGTCTTCTTTATTGCTTACCCTTACTCTTGGTTAACTTCTTCTGTGATTTGTCTAGATGAATTTACTGCTCATTGTACAGATGGTTGTTACTATGGAAAGACGAATGACAAAAGCCCATGAGAGCTGAAGCAGCCCAGAATGAAGAAGGTACTGAGAAATTTCAAATGCAATAGAACATTTACCACATTTATATGCCTTGAAAGGCTAGCACAGTTGCAGACCACTAGTTCCAGATGATCCAGCTGAGAGCTCCAAGGCTATTCTGGCAGACAACTCTATCGAGGTTTGTTCATAGACTAAAAACAGTGGTGCAATACGTAAGCAAGGAACATTTTGTCTGCACAATAGTATAAATAAGCTGTTTTTCAAATTTTTTAACATTTACTTCCAAAATTACCAGTCCACAACCTGAACATCTTAAAATACAAAATGCCCTCTAATCCTCTACTAGCTGGCCACTTGTTAAAACAAAAGGGGAAAAAATGAACCTTTTGAGCCTAGAAGGGTAGAAGGGGGAAAAAGAGAATAAAATGGATGCAAACTACTACTCATAACAGAAGCTCCTCTTAATTATTAATGATCACCTGTGGCAAACACATTTGTAGTGGTAAGCACTATTCATGGGGTCATTTGCATCCACTGGGACCTGCTCGGCAGTACACTTGAATCGACACCCTCTGCACTCGTTGTATGTGCATATTGGAGCAGTCGAACCAATCAACATTCTCCTTGCATATTTGGGCAGCCTCTCCTTGTTTAGAACCTAATGGCATACATTTGAAGATCATCTTAACCATAGTATCTTCCAGATATTTACATACTTTCTGATTTAACTTTGGCATTCATGTTTGTTTGGTCTTGTTCTTAAGTCTTTTCATACTACTTTAGGAGAAAAGATGGGAGGCAAGTTGCTACCAATCATTTTCTCATCCTAGCAAAAGATGCCAAGCAGTGCACAGTTGATAGATGCAACCATTTCTTCCTACTGAAAAGTCCATCCAGAACTATATGGTATGCGCCAAGGAAGCTGACAGTTGGGGGAAAGCTTTTTTCCTTGACATATATAATGAACATAATAAAACATAAAACTAAAGTTTTAAGAAAACATACTTGAGGAACAGAAAAACACAAAACTCAATTAATTACATACTTTGTAATAGCAAGATGGCATATGTACCTTGATGTTCTCCTGCAAATGTATATGTTCTTCAGGTAATGTTTGGTGAGGATATTGTTCTCCATAGTCTGTACCTTGACATCATATGAAATTGAAACATTTAAATACATAGGTTTTATCATGTCAACCTAAATCACAGTTAATAGATGCAGGAGAACAGAAGAAAAGACAAGATATCAATCTGATGCAAAGGGGTACCTGAGATGCTGCCATGGTGCCCTTGATTGCAACGAGCATGACTGAAGAGCAGGAAACAGAAGAGGAAGAAGAGGGGCAAGGAGCTTGTGGTAGATGTGGGGCAAGCATTGGCCATAACCCTTCTTCAAACAAATGGATAGAGAATGGGAGGATGGTGGTGTGCCTGGATTAGAGAAGCAACACAAGGGGAGCAAATGCTGGAGACTATATAAATCGGAGGCTGGTGCAATGGCTCTTGTGTGTGTGCCTGCCCACCCCTGTGGCTCTGCTCATGCCAGGCATATGCATATCCCTGTGCCATACCATGCAGACAGTGTTGTATAGCGAGAAGGGGAGCAGTGGGGACTGCGGAGACCACCAGATGGCTCATCTCCCTGGTATGCACGCGCACACAGGATAAAATCACAGCAGAGGTGTCTGAAACTTGCATTATTTCAATTGCACCACCTTGTCCGTTATACATGTGCTCTTCTGCATCGTATTTTCTGTAATTATTTGCTTCATTTTGAACATGAATAGTCAAATATCATGCTTTTTTGGCCATTTAATTCACCCTCTTTGTTCTTTTTGTTCTACAGAACTAGGGCATGTAGAAAGAGGGGACAATTATTTGTAGCAATCATGGAACATCCGAGCAGCGGATACAGTCAGCGAATCTAAGCAGCGGTGGAACTTATTCAGTAAAAGAAGATGCAGAAGCATTCAGGCACGGCGTGTCATCTGGTTATATAAAAGTTGTATGCAGTGCACTATTGGGGTGGCAGAGGATGGGCGAGAAAGCAATGAGACGGAGATGCTTGGTTCTTGCATTTCTGGCTTTCTGCGGCCGGTTACCTCTTGTTTGTTCATCACTGGCACTTACCGCCTGTTACACGACGGCATGGGCTGCACCTGGATCTTGGGACAACATTCAGAGAATCAGACTATCAGAGCCGTACTATGAACAGTTTGGATATCTTGCAGAAAGCAATTGATGGAAGCTCTGATCTGCGGTGCATCAGTCTATTTCTTTTTCTAAAGATGTTGGTCGTGGTGGATATGGGCAATGTTTAGCTCTTGTTGCTTTCAGTTCCGAAGCAGTCACCACTAGGAGATGCTGGTGATGGTCACCGAGTCACGAGACAGCAACTGGATCTAAACTTGGTCAAACTAACAACAATATTGTTTTTTCAAGCGGACTGCAAGCTTCTGATTTTCCAGGTCAGGGCATGTTTGCACGCAATGAAGCATTCGGTGCGTAAAAATTCTTACTGCCTGTGAGAAGTTACTGAATTTTATGGTCGAGTTCACGCGTTGAAGCCTGTAGGGACTTGCCTTCTTTCCCTTTTTGTCTGATTCTGCATGTCGTAGAGTGCTGAAATGTTGCACAACCACAGGCTACTAGCATAGGACATTGATATGTGATTACGTTTTTCCGCAGTTTTTCCCTGAGCTGATTCACGGTTGCTGGGATGAGTCAGAGATGATTGGCTGTGGTTCCCCCAACTGGGGTTCTTCACGGCCCTGCAGGTACGTGTCCCTTCTAGCACCTAAGAATATGATCTAGTACCGAAAGTTACACTAATTAACACTACGCGTTAATTACAGTTCAGTATTAAAAATATTCGCCAAATATATAGGAGGCTTTTTTTAGGAAGAAAGGAACACTATAGGTAGACCCTCGAAGTATTCTTTCTGTAACTAGAATAGCGTGGTGTAACCTTACGGGATGACGGAATCAACCCGTAAGAAAAAGGCATCCAAATATTTTTTTTCTAGGACTCATAAAATGTATTTAAAGCTTGAGGAAAAAGTATATAAGCGGGAAATATATTCCCTGATACATCGCCTAGCAAAAGGATTACACCAATAAACTTGGAGAACCATCCTTCTAAAAACACTGAATGAAGGAAGCAAAATTCCAGATTGCATGGAGAACCATGCACCAATAAAAGATGCAATCGTTGGGGACTTGTGGCATTGCCGCGACTATCATATTCTAGGGCCTCTATAGACGTGCTTCCCTCTTGACATGTCAACGATTCCTATGGCTACTTTCACGGATTCGGCACTAATTGAGATTTAGAGTTGAGTCGCAGAAATGTTGGTTGCTTCACTGGATCTAACTCAAGGTTACCACGGAGGTCCTTGTCAAATTTGAGGATCCTGTCGAACAAAGTCTAATAGATTATCAGTGCTCAATCCAAATGTTATTAAGATCGAGGGAAAAAGTTTCAAGAAATACTGTAATCAACAGAAGGCTATTGAGATTGTTCATGTACCAGAGCACACGTGGGCAGTTGGTACACCTAGGAACCATGTGCCAACCACACAAACACATGCTACTAAGAGGGGAGTCAGGCACCAAACCTGTCATCGCTATGCATGGCCGATTGTCGTTAGGCCTACAACAGTACCACATAGCCACATAGCGGAGTCTCCAAAAAAAAAGTCACCACGAAGGTTGCGATGCCAAGGATGCTGCCGTCACCCATCCAAGGAACCTAGACATGGTTTTCACTTAAAAATTCTTGTCAAGATAGGGAGGAAGGAGGTACCTCAACAGTGCCACAAGGGGATTACCATGCCCAAAGGTGTACCCGCTATTAGCCCAACAAATCATCAGCCTAGGCTTTCGCTTGGAACCCTGTACAATCGTATCATTGTGGTATGTCACTCACTATCTTAGGCTCCACCATCCAAATGTTCACAGCATGCGCCCTCCACCACACCAAACCAACACCCTTCCGCGGGCTGATTTCTAGTCCTACCACCAACAAGACCACCAGCGCACCCTGTCGCCACTTTTGTGCACTAGCTTAGGTCTCCTCCGCCCCACCCGCTGTCTACTAGCCACCTTGCCAGATCTAGCCAAGGAGAGTCTAGAATTAGGCGATATCGTCTTGGTAGCCCGAGCCTTTCGCTATTGACCGACCATCTTCTCCACTCTACCTATATAGGCATATAGCTCGCCACAGAGAAGGAGAGGAGCTCCAAAAGAGAGAGAGTGCCCAGTCGACATCAAAGGAGATTTCATCATATGGGTACTCCAAGGGATTTCATGATATTTAGGCCCTGTTTGATTCAGCTTAGGATTATTATAATCTAGCTTATTAGGAGTAAACTGAAACAAACAAGTAGATTATTATAGCAGATTATTATAATCTGATAAGCTGCTCTAGAGGAGCTTTTTTCAGATTATTGAGTGGCTAAAGACCCACTACCCCTACATACTTGAGAAAAATTACCCACCTATGCCATCAACCGAACATATAGTTGAGGGCATTATAGACTTTAGCTTTTCAAACCCAATAATCCATGCCTTCAATAATCCAGACAAACAAACAACTCACAGCTTATTCTATGCTAGCTTATTATAATCCAGCTTATAGTAATCTGGCTTAATAATCTAGATTATAATAATCATAAGCTGAAACAAATAGGGCCTTAGTTCATTATGAATTGCTTGATGTTGAGTCCGTTACTTCTATGTAACAACGTCTCAACTTGAGTTTACAATCAACGTCTCAACGACATCGAAGGACATACTCATAGACTTTGGACTTGTAGAGATACATTTTATAAATTACCTCGCAAGTATGTATTCCTGGTAAATCCTGTGCCATACGCTCTTCGAATCGAGCCATTGTAGGCTTGTAGCATTGTCCATTGACTATGGGCCCTATCAATGAACAACATGCATAGTGGGCCTAACCAATTTGTTACAAGGTTACGAGTGATAGCACATCGTTCTAGAGATCCCCTTAATCTGGAGGACACGAGTGAGTTATTTTTCAACAGTCAATAGGTCCATGTTGGGAGATTGGGGACATCTTTCCTTCCCCCCGTGTCCATGTGCTGGCCCAATTAATAGGATTGCACAGAAGTAGTAGGTGTTTTACATGCTTCCAACAAATAGAAAAAGAGATAATTCCTTCAATTCCTCTTAAATCTTAGCCAATCTTTTCTATACCCTTGAATTTTCTTCACTCCTTTGTATACTCCTATATTTTGGTTTTGATCCCTTCCACAGCCTTCCCATCAATTCACCATTAGTTGTCTGTTTAATAGTGTAAAAAATATCGCTTTTAACCTTGGACGTGCAAGGAGTATGTAGAAATTTGTATCTATTATTGGGAATATAGTAATTTGTTGTGTGGTTGTAATATTCATAAGTTTGTTGTATGAGAAAGTATTATACATCGAAGTTTTATATAATATTATATATATATATATATATATATATATATATATATATATATATATATATATATATATATATATATATATATATATATATAGAGAGAGAGAGAGAGAGAGAGAGCATTTTCTAAAATGGTAAACATAGTTTTGGATAGCATTCCTTTCATATAATATTCAACAAAACTAGCATCACACAAATATACTGCGCATACTCTTTTAATAAAGAAATAAAATAAATATTAAACCTTTTCTATCAATATGTAAAAATAAACATTACCATGAATATACCTCGTGCAATGAAGTCATGAATATAATAGTCTTCTATAACAACCTTATATACTTCCAACAACAATAAACTATACAAAATTTCATATTTCTTTATACATAAGGACAAAATGAACAGTTTTATAGGAATTAAATGGTCTACTAACAAAATGGGTCCAAAAGGGATCAAAACCAACATTCAAATGCATATAAGGAAGTGATGCACAAAAAAAAAAAATGCATATAAGGAAGTGGACAAAACTTGGAGGTATAGAAGGGATTGGTCACAATTTCATGGACACATAATGAATTTTCGCCCATAACTGATGTTCCAAATTTTGGGGCATTCTGAAATTTCAGAGATCAGAAATCTCAAGAATTTCATGCAATTTGGTAGAGATTATCAAAAGAAAATTCCATGCAAATTTATTTTAGACAACACATTTGGGGAAATTCCAAGGAATTGATTTCTTCTTCTTATGTTGCTGCTACTAAATACCTTATGATTTTCTTACGTTGCATGTCACGAAGAAATTATATATGGAAACAAGAATTTTGATAAATTCATGCAAAAATGGGAAAATTTTGATTTTAGCCAACTGAAACATCCAATTAATCTCGCCATTGTTTAATCAGTAATGCTTCCTGGGCCAATTTCAGATATACAAGATAGCAAAATTATTAGATCAAAACAAGCAGCAAAATTTATTATGAGAACACGATTAAGGTAGACACACAGCAATGACGTACAAGAGAATCACAAGATTGATACATAGAGACAGGCAGACTGCGCCATGCATATATGCAAGAGCAACACGAGCACATGTCAGCTAGCCTGGCGACATTCAGAACGTGAACTACTCAAAACAACAGAACAAAATAAGATCCAGCTGACGCGACGATGGCCTGACATAACACGGCCACTACTAGCAATCGATCGATCACATACTTAGCCCCCCCCTAATTAACCAACCAACAATACTTATTTAACCACTAGAAACACACTAGTGATCATCGATCATCGATCATCTAGCTAGCTAGAGTGTGATTTTGCAGCTGGCTAGCTAGAGTGATCATCTCGATCACCTAATGTAAATTACTTGCAGCTGGAGGAGGCCCCGGGGACGCCGCACTTGGACGGGATCTGCGTGGCGCGGTCGGCGTCGATGTTCTCCAGGTTGCGGAGCATGTCCCTGCGGTCGCAGAGGCACTGGAAGTCGGCGTTCGCCACCGCCTTGCAGCACTCCTTCGTCGGCGCCTTCTCCGCGCTCCCCACCGTGCAGTACGACCGGCACAGCGCCACGGCCGACCGGTCGACGCCGCACATCGACAGCCCGGCCGCGCCGCCCGCCGCCGCCGCCACCACCACCAACGCCACCAGCACCACCGCGCTTACTTTACCGGCCATCGTCGTCGTCGTCGTCGGAGATCGGATCGATCAGAGACTATACGCTAGCTTAGCTAAGTGCGTCGTGGGGGTTCGTCGTGTGTACGTTGTGTGGTACGTAGCTAAGATGGCTATATACGGTCGGCTTATATAGCGTGGGGGTAAGTTAGCGCGGCCCGTGACGTGCATGTGCTCGCGCGCTAGCTTTGTCTCCATTAGCTAGCTATGTCACGGACTCATGGGCAAAGCTCAGATCAAATCGCGTCGGCACGTTCACGAGACGCCGTGGATTCCCGGGCCATGCATATGCATGCACACGGTCGTATATACGCATGCAGGTAGCGCAACTGCGCTAGTACATCTGTACATGTGCATGTCTGCTACTGCAGGCACGTACGGTGAAATGCATGTCTGTATTACGGTACAGTACTCTATCGGCATATTTAGAGAGCTTAATATTCTGAGAAGCAGCTGATTAGTAGCCAGCTTATCATAATCTAGAAAAGCTGAGTTTCTCCGCTTTTGGCTTTTAGTTCATTTTTTAAATTTTATAACTACAGCTTCTCAGAATCTGGATGAAAAGCTGCTTAGAAGCTGCACAAACATGCCCTATGTGAGGACTGCAGCGCGAAGCCAATCAGCCAATGGGCAAGACGGAGGAGGCTGGAATTTTAGTTGGACGTATCTGTGTGGAGTGCCATCTTGTGTGGATCAAGTGGCTGTTATTTACCCAGGTTCGTCGACCGACCGGCTGGCTGGGTGGTGTTCAGAGCTTCGATCAGAGCAAGGACGGCGCGGTGTTAGAACAAGTTAATTCATGGTCGGCGCGAATGGAACGTGCGGCGGCCACCAGATTCAGGCGGTACTGTATATGTACGCGGTAGCAGCAGGACGGAGCAGAAATCGCTAAAAAGGTAGGGTACTACTTAAAAACGATTTTCGCAGATGACCAAAATCCATTTTCATATGTGGGTGATGCGCAGCCAGCTGCATTTAGGTGTATTCCAAAATCAACACATTTTCATATATGCAGCGCGCGCAACAGCGTGCAAATATGGGGTTTTCGTACGTGGGCACATATGTTGTCTGTCTGTGAAAACAATTTCAGTGAAAAAAAATAAAATTCCAAAAAACTAATTCAGTCGAAACCATAGCTCCTGAAGCTACCAACGTCATCGGAGCCACCACCATCATCGCCACAGCCAAAGCCACCATCATTACCGTTGCACCTGAAGTCGTCACCGTGGCCGTCGTCGTTGTCACAGCCGGCACCGCCATCGTCGTTCCAGCTGCCGGTCGGATTGGGCGGATCAACCGCTCCCATTGGGCGGATCAACCGCTCCAATGGGCCACCGCTATCCCATGGCGGATCCACTTAGTTCGAGGTTGCTCCCGCCATCCGAGGCCACCGCTATCACACCCACCGTCTTCGGACTGGGTAGATCTTCCACTCCTATGGGCACTGGCGGCGGATCTGCCCAGTCCGAGACCGCCACTCCCGTCATCCTTGGACTGGGCGGATCTATCACTCCTGTGGGTGCTGACGGTGATAAGTTATCATTGTCTCTTAAGGAGATGAGTTATCGTTTGTGTGGTCTTAATAGTTTATAAAAGGTTTTCAATGCATATCAATGACACATCACTCTACAAATTCTACAAATATATAGGTTTAATTTGACATGTACAAATTGAAACAGGCATAATACTGATATATATGGTTTGTAAATATGCAGTTGGTTGGAGATCATGGGGAAGCTCCTCGTTGGTTGCAAGTAGTTTGCAAAGCGCATTGTCAAGGTAGATCCGCTCCTTATGTGCAATAGCGAGCTCCTCGTCATTACCGACATCCTCTTCGCCTCCTAGTTGCTCCTCCTCCCAGGCTATTCGTCATCCTTGAGTTGTCCTAGGCTCTTGACCTAGCCCTACCGACAATGTCGTGGCTTCCTTCTTCTCTCTCTTCCTCAGGTCTGGTACCAATTGCTATCATCCTGATATCGACGAGTATCGAGTGGTATTAACGGGTATCAACAAGTACCAATGGGGTACTAGATCTAGTACCGATGGATATCATTCGATACCTATTAAGGTCCTTAATACCTCACAAGTATCGATACTTAATAGATATCACTAATAGTCTATGTAGTTGTTATTATCTTGTTCAAACACGATCTCGTGATATAGCAGTCCCCATATATACTGCAAACCAAAAAGTTCCATGATATATATATATATATATATATATATATATATATAGTAAATTTGTTTGGTGCTCCATGGTGCCCGGGCATCATTGTTGAAATTGAGTATATACCCAATTCAAATGAGTATGAAACTTTTTCAATTACTTAGGTATTAACATTAACTACTTTACTAACTAGTTTAAAGCAAGTTTGAACTGAATTTGAACTTGTTTTTGTTAGATTTTGATTCTAGGTATATATATATATATGTTGTAGTTTAAATAAGACGAACGATCAAACATGTTTAAAAAAGTTAACGGTGTTAAATATTTAGGGACGGAGGGAGTATATAGTTTGACAATACCAAATGAAATACTGTGACAAACCAAGAAGCAAATATTGAGTACAAATCTTACTGGACCATTGATTATTTGAAACTAATTAATTAAGTCGGGAGCTTAGCTAGCTAGCTATTGGCTCGTAACTGAAGCTAGCTAGCTAGATCTCTAGCACGACTTGGGCGCGCCCTTGATGCGGCACTTGGACGGGATCTGCATGGCGCGGGCGGCGTCGATGTTGCCCATGACCCGCAGCTCGTCGCGGTACTTGCACAGGCACTTGAAGTCGGCGCCCCTCACCGCGTCGCAGCACTCCCGCCGCGGCGCCCGCTCCCTGCTCCCGGCCCTGCAGTACGACCCGCAATCCGCCGCCATCCGGTCCGCGTCCACGCCACACACCATGAACGGCGCACCTGCGGCGGCCGCCGGCGCCACCGCCGACAACGACACAACCACCATCACCACGAGCAGCACCGCCACCGCCGCCTTCTTCCCGCCGGCCATGTCTTATTAACTGTTGGTGCGGTAGCTAGCTTATTACTGTTCTTGTGATCGATCGATCTCTGCGTTGATGCAGGCTACGATGTGTACTGTCAATCGATGTCCTTGTATATATAGAGAGTGTACGTACATGGGGGATCTCACGCGCGCCGTGGCGACCCGTGACGACGTGCGTCCATGTGCTCGCCGGCTTGTCGCCGGCCGTGAAGACACGGCTCCGGCCATATGCATGCAGGCGCGCGTACGATTTGATGAGATACTCATATATTGCTGCTCGCGTTGTTGCACATGCGCGCTGCGTTTGCAATTGCATGTGTCCATGTGCATGCTGCTGGGCGCAAGGCCGTACCGGCGGGAAAGCCGATGGTGGCATGCAGCGGCGGGGCCTCGGGTTAGAATTGGACTGGAGTTGGCCGCCGTTCTGCGCCAAGTAGGAGTTTCTTTGTATGTGCGGTCGGTCGGAGATGGATTCTAATCACGTGAGTGAACGTCTATCTTTTTATTTTATGTCAACTAAATGATTATGAAACAATTTTTAAAAAAATTAACAAGATAAATTGATATGTAATATATCACTCTATAAACATGTAAGTTCAAATTCAAATTTTATAAGAGTCTTAACAAAAATAACAAATTTAACTGCAAATATATCTATACTGATTTGAGTTTTATTTGTTATTTTCATTACAATTTATAGAAAGTTAAATTTTAACTTACATGTTTGTGGAGTGATATATTACATATTGATCTATTTTATTATTTTTTAAAATATTTTTGTAACTATTCAGGTGATATAATAATCAACGGGTGGATATCCACTTACTAGTAGTGATTAAAAGAGTTTTCCGTCCGGGAATGGGACATGGACCGGGCCAAGTGAAGTAAAAAGTAACCTATCTGCATTCCTGTGAGGCTGTGACAGTTTGTTGGCCTGGCCTGAGTGCTAGTGGTTATAATCTTAGGCCCTGTTTAGATGGGACTAAAACTTTTAAGTCCCTATCACATTGTATGTTTGAAAATTAATTATAAATATTAAATATAGACTATTAATAAAACCTATCCATAATCTTGGACTAATTTGCGAGACGAATCTAATGAGCCTAATTAATCCATGATTAGCCTATGTGATGCTACATTAAACATTCTCTAATTATAGATTAATTAGGCTTAAAAAATTTGTCTCGTGAATTAGCTTTTATTTATGTAATTAGTTTTGTAAGTAGTCTATATTTAATACTCTAAATTAGTGTCTAAAGACAGGGACTTAAGTTAAGTCCCTGGATGTAAACACCACCTTAGACGTGACCAATTCTGATTTTTTTTATGTTCTTTCTGATCACCAAACTATATTATGTCTTCTTTTGTTTGAGTGGGAGAATATGCACAAAAGTCCTATTTTGGCTGTGACACTTTGCATTACAGAATTATTATAATCATATCTTGGCATGATGAAATGCCTGTCAAACTCATGATTACTAAGGCAGACTGATCTAACTGATGAATGTTTGGCTTGCAAGTTGCAACTGATGCTCTGATGCTCACTGTAACTACTACTCCACTACAGTATTGTACTATACTGCTAGGATTTGTGTCTCTAACTATGCAGATGCAGTTCTATTACTGTTACTGTTTGATAACCTGGTGACTTAGAACTGCATTGCAGCCTCTGCAGATTAATAATCGGTTACACTGCTACAGCTTTTGTTCAAACTTCAGAACCGAGAAAACCAAAAACGAAAGCAGGGGGTTGCATCACAGCAGTGGTCCCGGTGCCCCATGTTATGCTCTGCCATGGAATGGACAACAAGAAAGTCAAATTGACCATGTCTATTACCTACACAAAGTAGGGTAGATGAGAACCATCAGAAGCTTAATTACTGTTAGCTACAGCTGCCTGCAGCAGCTATAGCTGGCAAGAAAAGCAGATCTAGATGTCACTTGTGACACTCTGCACTGTCACTGTACCTAAGATTAGGAGGCCTACCCATCAAAAAGAAGGTAAAAAAAAAGATTAGGAGAGGGTACATCAAAAGCCTAAACAGAGAGGCTGTAAACTTTTAATCAAAAGGAGGAGAAGACATGTTAAAATTTGGAGAAAGATAAAGTGGAAAAAGAAGGGGAAGAAGATGTTGGGTAGCTATATATGTGGGCCGTGAAGTATAAAATTTTCGCCAGGTTCCTAAGCACCTGTCTTTGTCAAAGCAGATTCCGAAAGGTTCTTAGCTGGCCCAACAAAAAGGCCCATATAGATGTATCCACATGTACATGGCCCGGATCATTGCTCTATGTAACTTTAGGTAGACAACTTTACATTAGATTTTTGTTTTCTGAAGAACAACTTTAGATTAGATTAGCAGTAAACTTAAGCTTCCATTTGCTTTGCTGAGACCGGCCAGAAGTAATTCCTTTTGTAAACTTTGTAGTTTGTGGTGCAGTATATAGCCTAATTTGAAACCTCAATACATGAAAAATCCAAAGCATTTGCAGGTAGTAATACCAACTTGGCTAAATTAAAGTTGCTTTAACTGATTGCGTGGTAATACATGGTGCCAATGGGGTGATCATACATACATAATCATGAACTCCTCTCTTTACCAAGAATGTATTATTATACCCAAGTACTACCGAGTACCACCATCATGTAACTTCAGCATCATACCATAGTACCACCATACATGCTCTGGCGAACTGACTAGTAGTGGCACACCGAATGACTTTCAGAAAAGGGTCATGACACACATCATACACAAGAGTACAAGACCTCACGCACCTGACTCATACTCAACGTACGACGACTATACACACACGAGCTAATCAGCAGCAATTCGTAACTTGTTTTCCGTAATAAGTAATGTACTAGTTCTTCCATCTACTAGTACTACTAAGTACAGAACTTTCTCCTTTCCTATCGAAATGACAGCCCAGAGCCACAGGTAAGTAGGCAGTTAGGCACTGCTTGAGATAGCTGAAATTGATGATTTTTCTATAGTTATCTGAGAGTATAAACAAATTAATAATTAACTCTTATAAACGTAAAAGATATTCTAAAAAGTATTTAAAGAATATTTTATATAACTTTCTTTTTAGGAAAATCACCGTTTACAAGCTTTGGAGTTAGGAAGCGCCAAATGCCACGGTAATACTGTGTTCGTATAGTGGATTATAAACTAATCCTTCACACTTGTAAAAAAGAAACAGATCAGTATATAATTAATTAAGTACTAATTAAAAAAATTAAAATAGATTACTATGATTTCAAAGCAATTATAATAATATTTAATAGTTTGAAAAGCGTACGCACAAAAAGCAAGCTAGTACTATAGAAATTAGGAAAGGGAGAAAGAACACACCCAAAAGTACACAAGATTACGCAGGTTTCGTCACGGCTGTAATCAAAGCCTGGACCTGGTCACCGTAATGGCGAAGTGGTGAAAAAGGCAGGGGGGTGGGAAATTAAAGGCGCATGGCGCGGGCAAAGCGTGCAGAGGGGGGGCCGGCCAACCAAGGAATCATTGTGATTTGGCCATGGTTGGAAAGAAAAGCGGCCACCTTTCGCTGCTTTCTCGCTAAACATGCGTGTCCTCGAGTCCAGCCGCAGCCCGGCCGCGGGCAGGCGCTGCCGACCGGGCGGCCGGCCGGGACGACCACCGCCCCGGCCCTCCATCGACTATCACCCGGTCAGTGCGTGACAAAAGCATCGGACACGCACACTCATTGTTTGCCATCATCATACAGCCCCAGGACTTGCTCCCAAAAGCCACCACCTTTACTGCCACTCTCCCTCTCAGAGGTTGACAGGTGGTAACAGATAGAGAGGTGTTTACACAGAGTGCTGCTCTTTTTAGGTAAAATAATGCAGATGGGATGAGAAACTAGTGGATAATCTACTTGCTTATCTGTAGGAAAGAATTAAATATTATGGGTCTGTTGGGATAACGGGACATGAAAAAAAGAGAGTAAATTTCAGAAAACTATAGATAGTATGACTAAATTATCACAAAACTACACATTTAACACTAAATTTATCACAAAACTACACATTTAAGATGAAGTATCACAAAACTACATGTTTAGTAACTAAATTATCACAAAACTACAGGTTTAGAACCAATTTAATCACAAAGTAATAATGTTTATAGCTCCACCATAACAAGGGTGCTAAGGATTTAAACTCCAAAAGTTGTAGTTTTGTGATAAGTTCAATATTAAATATGCATTTTTGTGATATTTAACCTAAAATATGTAGTTTTGTGATAAATTTGGTGTTAAATATGTAGTTTTGTGATATAACTCCTTAAATCTGTAGTTTTGTGATAATTTGGTCAAAATACCTGTAGTTTTGTGAAATTTACTCAAAAAAAAAAAGAGAGAAATGAGGGCTTGGATGAAATGATGTGGTAAAATTGGATGGCTAGAACTTAAAGTTATCTTTTAATGGCGGGAAATCATTTTTATTTTCCATCGTCCAAACAAACCATATATCTTATAAATATAACAAATGGCCTATAATAATTGGTATAAATAATGCTTGCATAGAAAGTTTTCAGAAGAAACCGTGTTTTATATGCATGGCATGAATAATCTGTAATGATATCGGGCTGATAAGCTGAAAATACTCTTTATTTAGAAAAAAGTTTTACACAAATATAAGTATAGCCTTCTATTTAGATTTATGTGTAAAAGTTAATTTATTTTGAAACGAAGTAAGCATGGGCCTTGACAAGAGTGAGCGAGCAAGATGGGACAGGATGAACAGTATTATGACTGCACTAAAGACACTAAACTCGTAAAGCAAGGGCCAAGGGGTAATACCTCCGTCCCATATTAATTGTCTTTTCGAGTTTTTGTTTATCAATGTTTGATCATTCATCTTATTTAAAAAATTTTGAAATTATTATTTATTTTGTTTGTCATTTGCTTTATTATCAAAAGTACTTTACATATGACTTATCTTTTTTTATATTTGCACTAATTTTTCAAATAAAATGAATGGTCAAACATTGCAAATAAAAAGTCAAAAACGTCACCTATTATGTGGGAGTAATAGGTAATAGGGTGGTGCGTGAGATGAGAGCGTACGAGCGTGAAGCAAGCAGCAGTAGCAGACTGGCAGTGCAGCACTCATTGCCTCGGTTCAGTAACAGCTAAACACACTGCCCTGCTTGGCTGCTTTGGGCGCTTGCTTTCTTGTGGGCTTTCTGCAAAGTTTCGGTACGTGTGTGCCCCCACATTCTCTTTACCCCCTCTCCTCCTCGAGCTTTTTCGCGTGGCTATGTATACATGCACACAGCCACCAGCTCCCTTGCTCATCTGCATGCGGCCGTGTTGCTACTGACCAATGCCTAGCTAGCAAGCTCCACTACAGCTTTGACCACTGAGCCGTTGCTGCTGCTCACCTGTCTCCTGAAATCGTTGGGAGTCATCGATCGTCTTCTTCGTCTCCTCCTCCTCTTCGCGATCTGATTCTTTTCTGTCACTGCGTTATGGAGGTGAGCCATGGAGAAATGCTTTGCATTTCGTTGCCTTTCTCTTCTTCACTAATCTCTATCTCAGTTCTTGGCTTCTTGTGGCAAAACTAGCTTGTGTTCTACTATCTAGCCTTGGATCCTTTTTTTTGCCATGTAGAGATGTGGTGTTTGTACTGCTCTTAATAGTAGAGCCTTTTCTAGGGAGAAAAGAACGGGTGATGTTCTGCTGCATTGGCATATACTGTTCTGATTTTCTGAATCTCCTGATCACCTCAAAGTTTTCCTTATCCAATGAGAGGTTGACTCAAAGATTCAGTTCTCAGATGCCTCTTTATCAACGTCCCTGCTTCCTGCATATCTTTTCTGTTTTTCACAAACATATATGTAGGATGAGTTGCTTACAGAGATAAGTTAACAGTAAAGATTGTTCCATTCTCTGACAGGCGCTCGATGACTGCAAGTGGCGCCAAATCCCGGCGTTCGGCGACTGGAATATATGGGATGATATGCCCGTCACCCAATACTTCGAGTCAGGGACTTTCTTCTTCACAGCACAAGCAGAGAAAGATGAGGACCTCTTCAAGGTGCCCCAGTTCCCTGCCAACCCCTACAACTACAAGAAGGTCTGACAAAAAAAAAACTTGAACTTTTCTTCAGTCTTCTTCACCTAACTATTATCATATCAGTTTAGTTCAGTTTTAAGTCATAGCGTTGCTGCAAAAGAACAAACGGTTAGACTGATGATTTCGTGACCAAAATGCAGTGCGTTGTTCGAGTGAAAGGGGAGAAAGAAAACGCGAATGCGAATGCGAATGCTGTGCGTGTGAGAAAGGGAGGAAGGAAGCAGCAGTATCTGAATGAGCAGCAGAAGTGGAAGCCAAAGACGGCAGTGGATGAGGACCTGTACAAGATCTCACCAAAGCTAATCTGCAGGGTGAAGAAGGCAAGTAGTAGTACACTGTAATTGTGTTTTGTTCCAAAATCTGTGCATCTTTGCTGGGCCCTTGTGTGTGATGACCAAGTGGCTTTTACTTTAGTTACCTTCTAGTACTATCATGTGATTGACACAAACCTTTTTTGAGATAAGCTGAGCCTTTGCAATTAGCTTTTCTTAGGATAATAGCAACACTCACACACTACCCTTTTTGTTCAAAAAGCTTAAGTAGTGCATTTGTAGAACACTTGGAGCTTATTAATCGAGATTAAAGTTGGACTGTAAATTTCAGGGAGATCTAGTTGAACTTGACTGCGATTTTTTTCCTAATCTAATTATAATCTTTTGTTTGTGCTGCAGAAGAAGTTGCTGAGGAATTTGCTAGGAGGGTGCCTTGGCGTGAACTGCATCGCTTGAAAAACAACTAGCCTCAATAAATTTCTCCCAAGGGTTTGGGTGTTAGAAAGAGATGTATGTACATTGTGTGCTGATATGGAAGTAATGGAAACTGATTACTGTTTGGACTCGATTGAATGTGATGATGTCCGTTCAAAAAAAAAATGAATGTGATGATGATAATAATAATAATAAATACGCTTTCCATTATGCACCTCCACTGATCGTAGCTCGTTATAAATCTTAATCGAAATCTTGTCAAGATAGCAAAATTAGGAGGCATCAGAACAGATCGAATAGGATACGCGTTGCAAAGTTAAAGGAAGGGCCTCACGATACCTAACGCCTTAACGGTGGTGTGGGCTCACCGGACTATCCGGAGAGAGGTGCTTTCGATCGTCCGTTTTCAAGACCGATTTTGTTATACATTTGTCGACAAATTTTTCTCCAAAAATTTGACAAATGTAATTACAGTATAATTGTAGTGTAATTACACTGTAACTTGTATGTAATTACAGTACAATTGTAGTGTAATTACACTGTAACTTGTATGTAATTACACTGTACCTATAGTGTAACTTGTATGTAACTTTCAAAAATCTCTCCGTAACATGTTATTTCGGTAAAATGGAGGTCGTGGGAACAAATTCTTTCATATATGTGTGTGCTATGATTTGTTTTCTTCCTCACCAAAACAAATCGTGTAATAGATCTAACGATTCAAAATTATGTGACACTTACATATAAGTTACACTGTAGTTACATGTAAGTTACAGTGTAGTTACATATAAGTTATAGTGTAATTACACTACGATTATATTATAATTACATCTGTCAATTTTTTGGTGAAAATTTTGTCGACAAATGTATAGGCAGTCCCTTTGAAGACAGATTTAAACCTCATTAGCACAAGCATTAATAATTATAAGCTTGAAACTAACAAAAAAAAATGAGGAAGTTGAAGTTTGGGGTTAGAACTGAGCCATAGTCGCACAGGCAAGGGTGAGCCTGGAGCCGAGTACAGGGCGCCGTCTGATCCATATACGTGATCTGCAACAAAATCCAATGCGGACTCAGATTTTCGCCGATACGAAGTCCGAATCGGACTGGGATAATGCGCACGTACTACCACATAAAATCCACCCGTCGTCTCCTCGCCATCGAGATCGATCGACTCCCGTCTCCAGCGATGTCTCGCCGGAAGACATCCATAGCCCTCATCGCGAACCCGCAGACGCGCGCTACGACCTACAAGAAGCGGAAGGCGGGGCTGATCAAGAAGGCCGGGGAGCTCGCCACGCTGTGCGACATCCCCGTCGCCGTCGTGTGCGCCGGGCCCGACGGCGGCGCGCCGACCGTGTGGGTGTCGCCGGAGGGCGGCGACGCCATCGAGAGGTACCGCGCGCTGCCGGCGGAGAAGCGGGCGAGGCACACGCACGTGGCTTACCTCCAGGAGGAGCTCGACAAGGAGAGGGCCAAGCTCGCCAGGCTGCGGCAGAAGGGCCGCCCCGGCGAGCTCGACCCGCCGGACGCCGTGCTGGACGGGATGTCCCAGGACGAGCTGCAGCAGCTGCTCGCGTCCATCGACGCCACGCTGCTGGCTACGGCCAAGAGGCGGGAGGCGCTCGGGTTGCTGCCCGGCGCCGACGACGACGCGGACGGCGGCGGCCGGCGGCGCGACGCCGACGTCGCCGGAACCAACTCCGTCGGCGTACACGGCTACCAGCACCAGGAGGTGCATGCACCGGCGACATGTGACCCCTTCCATCCGTACAACGCCGGCGTGACGCTGATGCAGCCAGGGTACAACAACGCCCAGTACATGGGCGGCCATGGCGCCGTGGACATGAGCGGCTACCAGCTGCAGATGCAGATGCCGGGCAATGGCAGCAACAACCACAGCCGGCTCGCGTGGGGAGGCTTCCAGCCATGCAACGCCACCTTCGTCCAGCCCGTGTACGGCAACCTCCAATGCTGGTACAACAATGTCGTCGACGGCAACGGCGAGCCCTGCGACGCCATCGTGCCATCAGCTGGTGACCCCTACATGGACATCGCCGGCAACGACGTCTACGGCAACCAGATGCAGCCGGCACCGGCGGCCAACGGCGGGTGGCACGATCCGGGCACGTGGGGCTACGACGGCGGCGAGCCGTGCAAAGCCATCGTGCCATCATTTGGTGACCCCTACATGGGCATTGGCGTCTACGGCAACCAAATGCAGCCGGCGCCGGCGCCGGCGGCCAACGGCTGCTGGCACAATCCGGCCGGCACATGGGGCAACGACGGCGAGCCGTGCAACGCCATCGTGCCATCAGCTGGTCACCCCTACATCGACATCGAGTGCGACATCGACGGCAACTACATCGACACAACCGTGTTCGATTACCAAACCACCAGCACCAGCGACAACTTCATGGACGCGCCCGTCCAGTTCATCGCCACGGGCAGTGACGAGAGCATCGTCACGAACGTGGCCGGCTGCGACGAGACGGAGTTCTCCATTGACGATCTCCTCCAGTGCTCCGACGCCTCCCAGCATTCTTCCGGCCTCGAGGAGCTGCATTATCTCAGTGATCTGGCCGATGGCTTCGACTTTGGATGCAACTTCGACGTGCTATTGGACTGAGTGATCTGCAGTAAGGTCTAGAGTAGCCGTCGCAATACGGTGAAACCCGGCAATTTTGGACGCTGGATGGCCGCCGGATTCAACTGATGTTGCCACCGCCGCCGCCAAGTTCCCGAGCAATTTTCCTGGCCAACAAGCGAGGGACATGGGGCTATCTATCTATAGGTTTGATGCAAGGAAAAGACCTTGTTGTTTTGGAAACCCGGCAGTTCAGCTCGGAGAAGACCTAGCAGTTCTGTCAGACCGGCAGCTCTGCTTGGAGAAGATCCAGCAATTTTGTAGCTCTGCTTCGATGACCCGATAATATTGTAGGTTAGATTGGATTGATCCAGCAGTTTTAGTAGTCTGGAGAAGATCCGGCAATTTTGTAAACTCTGCTTGGTTGATCCATCAGATATGTAGCCACCTGGCAATTTTGTACCTCTGCCTTGATGTAATCCTGGCAATTTTGTAATGTACAAAATACCACATGCTAATTTTATTGTTAATTTAACTCGTATCTTGTGGCAACAATATAATCAACCTTCAATATGGTTTTATACATCACATTGACAAGTTAATGCTCTGTTTAACGTCTAAGCAGTGGACTCAAAACTCATAACATGTAGTATTAAGTATAGTAAATAAAAACAGCTTACTGTTTTTCCTCATCGCAACCATTATTAAGACTAAAGTAGATTTAAGATATATTGTTACTACATGCAGAAATAATTAGCTTACAGATATTCCTTTTGGAACTGCATAAATAACAGGATGATAAAAATGTTACTTCACTTACATACAAAAGAGGCTAATTCTGTACGCTCAAACCAGTGATGTTTTTGTGCTTAAAGAATGTACTTGGCCCAATCCCACTTAATGCGTAGCAGCAGTTGTAAGGCCTTCTCCTAATCCTAAAGCTGCTGAAACCAAAGAAGACCAAACATGAACATCAGGTGTTTCTCCATGGTCGATCATCTCCTCAAGCCATAGCAATGCATCATATGTTCTACCAGCAGAACATAAACCTTCAATGACATTGTTAAATTCGCCTGCCTCAGGTCTATGATGACCCTTAACCATCCTCTCCATAATCTGTGCTGCGTCGATGAACCGGCTTTCTGAACACAAGCCGCTGATCAAGATTGAAAATGTCTCTTTCCGAGTAACACAACCAAGCTGTTTATCCATCCTTCCAAGGTATCTGAGTGCCCTCATTGATTGCATCGAGTTGCAAAGTCCCCTCATTAGCAAGTTATATGTTGTGACGGTCGGAATGAGATCATTCTTGGGTAATTCCTCCTCCAACACCTTCACAGCCTCATCCAACCTGCCTTCCCTGCATAAAGAAGTGATCTTCGCCTCATACATGTATATTGTTGGCTTGAACCCCTTCTTGCCCATCTCCTTAAACAAATTGTCTGCCTCATTCAATCTTCCCTCATCATAGAGGTCAATAACCATAACTTCAAAGCTTGCAACAGTACGCCCACCTCGAACAACCAATGCCTGATCAATGATTTCCTGGGCATCCTCAATACTAAGCCCAGCAAGCATAGGAACACGGAGAGATCGCCGGCTACCTGAGGACCTCAACCCTTTCCTAATCACCTTATCCAACACAATCTCTGCCTGCTCACCTCGGCCAGCCGCACAGAGCGCCACCAGCAATGCCCGGTACACCACAACATCTTCGTCGCATCCCTTCTGCGACACGCGCCACAGCATGGAGTAGAGAACGTGTGTGGCCTCATCGAGCATGCCAGCATCGCAGAGCGCAGGCACGATCGCGCGATAAGCGTCCTTCTCTGGTGCGAGGCACTGGTTAGACATTTCATCAAGCACCTGCAGAGCGAGTTCAGGTCTCCGCGCACGGCACAATCCAGTGATCAACGAGGTGAGGTCTTCTGACGCTAGAGAGACTTCCGGCCTCCCCGCGAAGTCCGCAAAGAGACGGGCCGCTTCGGGAAGCAAGCCATCGGAGAGGAGGCGGCGGAGGAGGGCGGAGAAGGATCGTGACCAAGACGGGGCGAGGGAGGATGGGAGGGAGGAGCGGAAGACGGAGACTGCGGCAGCGGGAGGGAGGTGCGGGATGGAGGCGGCGAGGAGGGAGTCGGCGGAGGGGGAGGACGGGAGGATGCGGCGGAGGAGGGAGGGGAGGAGATCGGAGGAGGATGCGGAGGCCGCGGCGAGGAGCGAGGAGTGGACGGCGTCGTTGTGGCGGTAGGAGGAGCGCGGGTAGCGCCGCGGCGCGTCGGCGTAGAGATGGACGGCGTCGAGGGGGCTCTTCTGCCGGCGGATGGCGCCGGCGAGGTGCGCCGGAGTCAGCACCCGCGGCCACCGCACAGGCGTGGCGACCATCGCCGTCCCGGACTTCCAGCAACTTTGGAGTGGTCGTGCACGCGATGGTTTTCGTGCTACTCGGCCCGGCCCAATCTGGTAGCTGACTCGACTTTGCTCAGCCCACCTAGTACAATATTGTACACGAACTTGGTGGGCCCAGTTGTAATATGGACCGAGAGCCTGAGTAGGCCTTAATACCGTCCAAACTCCAGAGTCCAGTCTGTTAACACCTCCCCCTAATGTAAAATCGATTTGAATCCCTGGAGATAATATGCCTTCCAAAAAATCAATTGCTTTCCTACAATAAATCTGATGACTACAGTTTCCATGAAGAAAACCTTTCTAAAACATTGGACGCAGCTAGGTATCGGGCGTCTGACTAGTGGCGAAAAAAAAATAATCAAACGTCACATGATCAAAGGAAACTGTCTATCCATTTTGTCGGGTGATTTCTCTCTAGTGAAAAAATCACTTGTAAGATGTATAGCAAAATCGTTTTAGTAATTGCAACGTCACAATAAAATATCTGTTGAAATATTTCACTGTCCGGTATAAAACACAATATTTTAACCATCTAAACATTTTTTATTAGAATATAATTACATGATATTTTGTACTAGTAGAGATTTAATTGTAACAAATAGGGCGCTGTATTCGGATTACATATTAGATAAGTATAATTTAAGATAAAATATCATTTAAAGTTCGTTAATGAAGTCGTTCGTTGCATGAAGAGGAGCGAGGATATGGAGCGCAAGAGAGAGCATGTAACATGGGAAAATACGAGAGAGAGAGAGAGAGAGAGAGAGAGAGAGAGAGAGAGAGAGAGAGAGAGAGAGAGAGAGAGAGGGAGGAAGAACTCGAACGCAAAAGGCCCGCCAACCACAATAGCAGCCAGGAGCCAACGATCGAGCAAGCTGCTAAGATCGACGAGAGAGCGAGCGATCGATCGAGCGGACATCCCGCGCGCGCGCGCCGCGGAGGCGCCGGCCGCGCGCACACTTGGCACCCTCTCCCGTCCCGCCGCGGCCGCGCGTTTCTCCTGCACGCCACGACCCTTTCCTCGCCCCCCGCGACGCACACCACGTACTTACCACCACCACCGCGCGCTCGATCGATCCCGCGGCCCTCCACCCCTCGCGCCCAGCCGCTCCCTCCCCCTCACCCATACATACGGAGCGCCACCCACCGCAGCGCGCGATCGATCGGTTAATCTGTAGGCTGCTACCTCGCTAGCTCCGTCCGCCGTCGTCCGTCCGCGAGCCACCACCAACCGGCCGGCCGCGCGCGCGCGCCCATGGACAGTAAGGACAAGGAGAAGGAGCATGAGCAGACCGCGTCGGGCAGGAACCCCGACGTGAACGACGTCGAGGAGGAGGAGGAGGACGAGGAGGGCAACAAGCGCGCCGTCGTGCTCGGCCCCCAGGTCCCCCTCAAGGAGCAGCTCGAGCTCGACAAGGTACGTAATATAATCCACTGCATTCCTCCATTGTTGTTGATCTGATGCTAATTGAGTCTGAATATAGTTTTAACTTTTCTGCGAATGCAGGATGATGAGAGCCTGAGGAGGTGGAAGGAGCAACTCCTCGGGCAGGTTGATACTGAACAGCTTGGAGGTATCTATCTACGCTTGTTTCCAATTCATCATTATATATGCTTCTCGCCTGAATTCGTTGACACATTCTTGATGTGCGATCTGTAACGACATTTTGGGCGTGCGCATGGATATGCAGAGACTGCTGAGCCGGAGGTGAAGGTGCTGAACCTGACCATCCTGTCGCCGGATAGGCCGGACCTTGTACTGCCGATCCCGTTCGTCCCCGACGAGAAGGGCTACGCCTTCGCGCTCAAGGACGGGAGCACTTACAGCTTCCGCTTCAGCTTCATCGTCTCCAACAACATCGTGTCAGGCCTCAAGTACACCAACACTGTCTGGAAGACTGGAGTAAGAGGTGACACACAACGCACGACTTGAACCTGCGTATTTTATTTTGTAGATCAGATAAAATGGCGCTTGAATTTCTAGAAACAACGGCACAAATTGATCGTTCCATTAAATTTCCCATATGATCTTCATGTATGTGCTGCAATCTCTTCATAAATATAACGACGACATGCCATTTTAGATACTGATCTTAGATCATTAGGTCATTTTATTCGAGGATTTTCCTACATTCTTCAGTAAAGAAATATGTTAATTAAGAGAAATTTAATTATGCATTTAAGGTATTCTTTTATCTATGGAACAATGAACTCCAATAATGTCATATGATGTGTCATATATGTGCATTCTGACTTGCAGTTGAGAACCAGAAGGTGATGCTGGGGACATTCAGTCCCCAGCTAGAGCCCTACACATATGAGGGTGAAGAGGAGACCACCCCAGCTGGCATGTTCGCAAGAGGTTCCTATTCTGCTAAACTAAAGGTATTCAAACTCATCAAGTTCAGCTCTGATGTGTTAATCGAGGTAATTACCTTACTAACCATGGCTGTAATTTTTTCTGTTAAATCAGTTTGTTGATGATGATGGCAAATGCTACTTGGAGATGAGTTACTACTTTGAGATTAGGAAGGAGTGGCCAACCATCCAATGATGTGTGGAACTAAAAAAGGGCTTCAGAAACATGTTAGCTGCTAGCTAAGCCAAGTCAGATGCGCTGTTGCTTCTAGAAATGATTCAATGTGTCGTCATCGTTAAACGCCTTTTAATTTGTTTTGAGCTTGTCACACTTTCTTTTTTCTCTTTTTCTTCCTGTTCTTCGGTCGCATAATGTTTATTCAAACCTATATAATCGATTCTCTATACATGGAGACGCGCTGATATATATTTATGTACTACTGAATTCTGTTGTTTACTTGTTTGCCTGAAACACACCAGCTGATCAATTCCTTTGAGCTAATGATTAATTGTCCTAGACATGCACTTTCAGATCGAATTCGTTGCTTAATTCTGAATGTCTCGGTGGTTACAGTGCAGTGGTGGTAGCTGAGTTTTCCTTTGACGAAATGATGAATGATTCTGCCTGTCAAGTCAAGATTTTTGCGTGTGATTTAAGATGGTTTTTGCACCTGGCATTGCTCTCGGCCTCTCACTCTGGTCTGCTACTGAGTATAGGGTAATTAGTGCATTAGGTGCAGGAACGCCGTTTTCTTGAGATGGATGAAAGCAAGCTTAGGAAGAGTGACATAACAGCTAATGCTCGTTACAGAGAAGCAACGCATCTCTGCTACCTGGAGGCTACTGTACTGCCGGTGGCAAAGCACCGTACGTACAGTATAAACTGAAAGTTGCGTGTCACCTGGTAGGGCTAGCTTCTAGCCTTCTACTACTCCAGTTCTTTTGTTGCAGTATGTGATCCTTGTTCTTTCGTTGCCTTGGATATCAGCCAGTGTATTTCCGCATACGATGAATTAATTAGCAAGATTGCTTTACTCAAGCCGTCAAGCGTCCCTGTGTCCGTGATTGTTTTCCGTACTAATTTGTACTCCCTCAGTTTTATTTTATATTATAAGTTGTTTTGAATTTTTCTTGGTCAAACTATTTTTTAAGTTAGATCAGTATCATAGAAAAATTTAGCAATATCTAAAACAATTAATTTTATTGAATTTAACATTGAATATATTTTATATGATTATGATTTTGTTGCTACAAACATTGTAATATATGATAAATTTAGAGTTAAAAATTAATTTTGGAAACCGTGCTAAATTTGACCGTGTCTAATTGAATGCGGGGGAGGGAGTAATATGCTTATTTTGTGTTGGAAATACTACTATATTTTTCTATAAATTTACTTTTAACTAAAAAAATCAAAACGACTTATAATATAAAATAAATAGATTAGAATATCAAATCATATTGTCCAAATAGAACTTTGTCAAACAATCCACCTAAAAATTGCATCATTCACAGTTTTAGAAATATCATATCCGAATCATGCGCTATAGCATATAACTATATTATATGCCACTCCAATTTGGTCCAATCTTCCGAATGTACATCTAGAGTAGGATATGTGTGTGTCTTTATAGGGTGAGTCTGTGTCTGCTTGCTGCTGCCCTGTTGGGCTTCTTTTGGGCTATGATCTACGGGCCGGATAGGCATAATGAGGATAGCAGGGAAAAAGTATACTTTGACTCCCTCAAGTATGGCCCGAGTATGATTCATGACCTTCAACCACAAAACTGGGTATATGGACTCTAACTATCAAAACCGATACAAACTATATCTTTTGGTGGTTTTGGAAGCGGTTTTGGTTCAAGTGGTGCCTACGTGGCGGTGTTGACCCGGTCTTTGTCCCACGTGTGTCGACGTGTCGCTTATGTTGTATTAGAATAAAAAACTAAAAGCAAAAAAATATGTGGGACCTATATGTCATTCACAAATAAATATTATGGGACACAGTGACATATGTACCCCACATGTCATCATATCTCTCATTCCCATCTTCCCCCTTCTCGCTCTCCTTATCGTTACGTCACCCTACACTGGGATGACGCTCCCCATTGTCACCTCCGTAGACGATGAAGTGGCCACGGCGGGGGTCGACGTCGTCAACGCTGAGTCGTCTCTGCTGCCGGTGGAATCGCCGAATGACGGCTTGAGGACGAGCAAGAAGGGACGGCAAGGCCGGAGCCAAGAAAAATAGAGAGGAAAAGTGGCAAGTTGGGCGCGTAAGAGATGCGGAGGGAGGGGAATGTTGGTGTGGCGGTGGCGAGCAAGGGACGGAGGTCGGCGGGGTCACCCGCGGTGAGGGAGGCAACAACGGCCTCCACCGCCATCACTCCGGCACCCTCATGTCCACCGCCGACGGTCGTCGCCGCCCGTCGCCGCTCTAGTCCTCGCTCGCCCTCCCGCCCGCCACTGCCACTCCTGCTCCCGCCCACCGCTGCCAGCGTCTCGTTGCAGAACGGGTACCCCCTTGCTCGCCGCCGCAGGAAGAGGAAGAGGAGGAAGAGGGGGGAGGAAGAGGAAGGAGAGAGAAGAGAGGAGAGGAAGAAGGGAAGGAGGAAGAGGACATGTGTCCCACTTTTTTTTTGTATGAATGATATGTCGGTCCCACATATATTTTTTACTCTAATGCCACATAAGCGACACATGAGACGAAAACCGGGTCAACACCGCCATATAGGCGCCACGTCAGCCAAAACCGCTTCCAAAACCACTCAAGGATATAGTTTGCATTGGATTTGATAGTTGAAGGAGTCGATATACCTGGTTTTATGGTTGGAGGTCATGAATCATACTCGTGTCATAGTTGAGGGAGTCAAAGTATACTTTTTCCGGATAGCAGCCAAGGTCTGCTAGGATTCTTGGTGGGCTTCGAAACTTGAGTCCTCGGGGCTCAGGCTATAGCCCACGCAGCCTTGAGGCCTCTTTCCTCTCCCGACCCTGACGTGGTTCACTTTGAGTATCGCGGCGCCGCCGTGCTCGCGATTAACCCAGCCGTCGCAGCTGCAGTCTCCGCCGCCGCCATGGCGGCTCGTGCGCTGCTCTCCCGCCTCCGCTTCGCTCCTCTCAGCCACCACCACCACCGCCACCTCGGCCGCGCTCTCTCCGCCGCCGCCACCGCCGATCCACCACCCGACGAGTCGCCCCCTCCTCCTCCGCATCCTCCACCGCCACCGACGCCGCCCTCCAACTCGAAGCTCTTCGTCGCCGGTAAAGCCTCTGCTCTCCCGCCTCCGTTTCCTTCCCCGCAATCCAATCCCCACTCTGTTCCATGGTTCTCACCTTGTTGCTTTGCTACGCTTTCTCTCTCGCGCGATTGCGCGCGCGGGCGTAGGGTTGTCGTGGTCCGCGGACGAGCGGTCGCTGACGGACGCCTTCTCCTCCTTCGGCACCGTCACCGAAGGTAATCCCCGAATCGCGACCTTTTGTCACTTGAAACAGTTTCGTTTCAGGGTCTAGAGAATAACCTATTGAGTGGTTGTCGGTGGGGGACTGGGGGAGGGTTCAGATGGTGTGCGCGGTAGGTGTTCGATGAAACGGCTCGGAGGAGGAAGTGGGTGTTCCGCTCGCGCGCGACCTCGCCAAATGTTCGATGAAATGCCTGTTAGGGATTTGGTCGCATGCTCGGCTGCAATCTACCGGCATGCGAAGAGCGGGTTGTTTGGCGAGGCTGTCAGGCTGTTTGTTGGTATGATGAGGGTGGGGGTGAGCCCCAACTCGTTCACATTGGTTGGTGCTTTAATAGCAGCTGCTGGGATGGGCAACTTGGTGCTTGCTGAGTGCATCCATGGGTGGGCTATGAAGAGCCTGTTGGAATCCAATCCTTTTGTTCGGACCGCATTGCTTGATTCCTATGCGAAATGTGGACGTCCTACGAAGGCCTGGGCATTGTTTGGTGAAATGAGGGATCCTGGTATAGTTACTTGGAATGCATTGATTTCTGGTCTAGTGCACAACGATCTGTTTGAGGAAGCATTGCTGGTTTTCAAGAGGTTGCTGTTTTCATTTGGACCAGTTCATAATGTTGTGACTATGATTAGCATTGCTCAGGCTTCTGCTGGTTGTGGTGACCTTGGATTGTGTGAGAGTGCACATGCTTATTCAGTCAAGATTGGGCTTGATTCAGATGTCTCAGTGACAAACTCAATCTTGGGTATGTACTTGAGCTTTGGTAGTCTTGCGATTGGAAGAGAGATTTTCAAAAAGATCGCTGTTAATGATGTTGTTTCTTGGACGATGATGATGGGTTTCCTTCTTGAGGAAGCCCAGGCTATTGAAGTTATACATATGTTTGTTCAGATGAGGTTGAGTGGCATAGTGCCTGATAGGGTAGCATTGGTTACAGTGGCGCAAGCTTGTGCACATCTGGGTGATGGAAGGATAGGAAAGTTGGTTCATAACGAGATTGTAATCTGTGGGTTCAGTGGTGAGCTTCCTGCAGTTAACTCGTTAATCACAATGTATTCTAAATGTGAGGATTTAAGTTCTGCAAGACTGTTGTTTGATGGTACAATGGAGAAAAGCTTGGTTTCATGGACGGCAATGGTGTCAGCGTATATAGAAAATGGATATGCCCTAGAAGGGATGTATCTCTTTGCGAAGATGAGGCATGAAGGTTCCTTTATGATTGATTCTGTGACACTGGTCACCTTATTGCTTGCTTGCTATGAGGTTGCTAAGTTTGAACTATGTATTCAACTTCATGCATATTGTTACAAATCGGGTTTGTGTCTGTACAAACCTGTTCTTAATACCCTCATTGCAGTTTATGGTAAGTGTGGATATGCGACTTTAGCGCATAAAGTGTTTGATGAGATGATTTCTCGGAATGCTGTCTCATGGAATACTATGATTTTATCCTATGGTGTAAATGGCCAAGGAGAGAAAGCAGTATCACTTTTCAATGAAATGGAGAAATCTAGCGAGGATCAAGACAGTGTGACTTATTTGAACACATTGCTAGCATGTAGCCACTCTGGACTGGTGGATGATGGGATGCTCGTCTTTAGAAGAATGGTTAATGACAAGGGAATAATTCCATGCCCAGAGCATGTCGGATGCATAGTTGATATGTTGGCAAGAGCTGGCCGCTTGGAGGAAGCAGCAGGAGTGGCTAGCTTGACTCACAATAAATTAGGAGCAAATGCTTGGAAGGCTTTGATGGGAGGAGGGCATTTGCATGGTGACATGAAATTTACTAAAGTTGCTGCAAAGAAGGTGCTCACCACGGAATCATTTGATTATGGGCATGTTGTGTTACTTTCTAATGCTTATGCATCATCTGGCAAATATAGAGCTGCTGAATCTGTCAGATCCTGTTATGCAAAGCGAATTACAAGGAAAACTTTAGGGCTTAGTTCCATTGAGATAGTGCCGTACAGCAGAAGATAGTAGAACAACTCTTACCTAGGGAAGAGAGAAGATACATCAAACAATTAGTATTCACTGTCTGTCTGTCTCAAGCTATTGGAATCTATCTCAGGCATAAGTTGAGTATTCACTTTCAGGTTGCCAAGTCTCCTGTGGAAAAAGTAAAGCATCAAGCATGATTTTCAAATGCAAGTTGATGAAATAGATGATTGCCTTGGACCTTTTTCTTTAAAAGAAAAATATGCCTTGGTCTATGGAACATGACCAACGATATCACATCTCAACTCACTATTGCTCCAGGAATCTCTAACACGTGAATATGGATTCTAATGGTACTGACACACTAAGGTCTAAGGCAGCTTGTTTAGTGCATACTCATTTTTCATTACTTCCTTTTTTTCATTTGTCTTTTTTTTTCCTTTTTAAAAGTTGCCTTGGAGTTTTTACGGTGATCCTCCATCTGACCTTATGCCCTCATCTGGATTGTGCATGTTGACTTTCCTACATGCTAGGACAACAACATACTATTGATAGTAAAAAGAATTGGTGATAGAGCCTGTAAATACCAGCTGTGGCAGTTTTTTTTTTTAAAAAAAAATGAGCAGTATATTGGGGCTGCTGGGTGTGCACCTCTACATATGTGCAAGTGTTGCTTTGCACTTCCATTTCATTTGGCAGCCTGGCAGTCCCTATTAATCAGCCACTTTAAAATTTATCTTGGATGTTTGTTCAAGGATCTAGTAGCGTTGTCCCACTTTTCTGCCTTAAAGGTGTTAACGTTTCATGCTCCCACCAACAGATATAGTTCACAAATGTTGACACTCGATAGATAATCATAGAGGAAAGCTATATTTGTTTCATGACATATATATCTACCAAGTACTAACACTTCTCTTCAATCAATGAACATTTGTCTGCTCTGTAAGTCTAAATTATCCCACATATTTGTATAGATGCTGCCATTCATGTCTTTTCATGCGTATGCCCCAGTGTCAATGGCTATTGCTTCTGTTTGAAGCAGGTTCATATGTGGCGTGATTATTTATCACCTATCATATAGTTTTATTCTGAAAGATGACATCTCAATATGCATATGCCATGGAATTATCTGGTGGAGGCATATTGGTGTTTGCCTGGTATAAGATGTGTGTGGCAACATGTGTTTTGCTATTGTTTATTCTATTTACCCCACAAATTGCAATGCTTAATCCCTTCCTTACATATTCATTACGCTGGTATTAGTGAACAGAATTATATGAAGACTATTTGATGATGCAGTGAGAATAATGTATGACAAAAACTCTGGAAGGTCAAGAGGTTTTGGGTTTGTGCACTTCTCAAACGAGTATGAAGCTAAGTGCGCCAAGGATGCTATGGATGGAAAGGTACTGTTTGATGAAGAGAAATGTCTAACAGATTGTAATATTAACTGTTTCAGTGAAAAATAAACAGGAAAATAAACATGGTCTTTCTTTTTATTCTACAGGTAATGCTAGGACGACCATTGCGGATAAGTTTTGCTCTTGACAAGGTCCGTGGTGCTCCAGTTGTTGTTCCACGACTTTCCACGGTGAGTTTAACGATTGACATGTTCATTACATTTCTGGAATGAAGATTTTTTTGGTACCATAAATTCTTTATTCTATATAAACATTTCTGTGATTTTTATCATATAACATTTTAAGCAATCAAATAAGATCTCTCCACCTGGCATGACTTTTTTTAATAAAAAAAAGTTACTTATATTAGACATTAAGTATACGAAGGATCACCCACACTGTGTGAGAATGTGAGATTACCGACAGCAATAGTTCAAAGATGACACAACTATTAATAGAGCTCACTTTTTTCTTATTACCTGATAAATGGCTAGTTACTGCAAATCATGTTCGTAAAAGCATCTATAAGAATTTCAAATATTGCACATTAAAGGCTCTAATAGAAAAAGATGGTGTATGACCTGTGCTTACTTGTCGCATAACCATTATGGACTTGTTTAAGTTTCATAAGCTATCACTCACACTCCATTACTTCGAATACAACAGGACAGGCCATTTAAACTCTTTATTCATGTTTGCTAGATAACATGTCACCCCCTTGCTATGGTACACTTGTTTTTGTCACATCCATAAGATGACACAGAGGTCTGTTTGATGTTACAAACATTAGAGCCTCTTCTAAAGTGAATTCGAAATTGGAATTTGAATATGTCACCATGTCCAAAAGTATATTCCTTGTGCCAGATCAATTAGACTCGCAGTTGCACTATTCATTTGCTAGGTGCATCTGTGTCAATGTCGATCTCTGTGGCTTCTTCTTCCTTGGTAGGTATTTTGATGGATTCTTCAGAATGGAGTGACATTACCTTATATTGGTAGAAGTGTGAGCATATAAGAAAATAAATAAGGTTCAGGACTCCCATAAGGGCAATAAAATAGAAGTAATAGTCGAGTTTGCCAAGATTAATGTTGTCTGTTAACCAGCTTGAGTGACCATCTCTGGTCGTGACCTTTCTCATGATGTTTGCCAGAGCAGTACTCAGGTAGTTTGCTCCAGCTATAGTACAGAAGAACAGAGATCCTGCTAGGGTTTGCATGTTCTCTGGAAACTGCTTATTGTAGAATTCTATTTGTCCAACTGCATTGAAGGCCTCAGCAATACCCATTAAAACAAGTTGGGGTGCAAGCCACAAGACTGACATAGGCGATATTCCTCCATTCGACAAGGCTGAGTTCCTCCTCTTACGTTCGACAAGTCCTGCTACCACCATTGAAATGGGAGAAATGGCCAATCCTATACCCTGTCTCTGTAGAAGTGTAATACCACTTTCCACTCCAGTGAATCCTCTAGCTATTGGTACTAAAATCCGGTCATAAATGGGGATGAATAGAGTTAGGGCAATAAGGGATATGGATACAACAGAGCCTGCTGGGATTTCAAAGTGCGTCCCAAAGTGACAGTCCATTGTAAATGTTTGCAAGATTATATAGGTGAATTGCTGAGCCAATGCGACAAAGCATAAGACTCCAGAAATACAAACCGGCACAATTCTTATTAAGCATTTGACCTCCTCTATTTGTTGGACGTTGCAAAGCTCCCAAGAGTTTCTTGCAGAACCATCAACATTTATATCATCACCCATTACAATTGCACCCTTGTTCAGAAACCTGAGGATGAGTAACATGCATCAAACTATGATGGCATCTAGCATATAATTCTTTGAAAGGGTCAGTATTTTGTTTGATATGACCAGCATGTTTCTTCTTAACTCCATTTAAGCATGTGGTGCATTCTATGCATTTACTAGAGGAAAAAGGGTGTATATTTACCAACAAATATGAATTTCTGCATTTTCTTGCCCAGCACATAGATAGCAATATAGCATCTATCAGTAAATATTTATGTGTGCTCGTGTTGATAAGCATACAAAATACTCGTGCAAGTTATGATATGCATGATCTATATGAGTTTAATATTCAACTGTATAAAAGGTATCTGAGTCTTACAACTTGGTAAGAGGTAATGAATAAAAATCACTAAATTCAACAACCTGATTAATTATTTGGTGTTGCTTTGCTTTGAAAACTTACAATGTTTTGGCAATAAAATAGAACAATGTCAAGAACTTATGTTTTTCAAATTTCGTTTTTTTCCACATGTACATATATACATGCAACATCATAATTTCAAATGTGCCTCGGGATTGATGCAGATATAAATTTCAAGAAAACCAACCCATATCCGATTCATTGTAATGTTCTTGCAAAAACTCCTGAAGCACACTATACGCGTAAAAGTGTGTGCACATATACATATGACAATGCATTTATCACTTCTCAGTTTGTTGGATGTTCTAATACTTTCACTATGACTAGTCATTGTTTTAGTTTTTCCTCCACTCTAAGTTGATTACATCTCTAGCTACATTAGTTCCAATTCTGTTCATCTTTAGTGGTAACAGATGTTTACCTGAACTGGGAAGTAAGTGGCAATCTGAATACGCGGTTGCCCTTGGAAGGAGGGTTGTAGAGCATCAATCCTTGTTGGTTTATATCATGAGGACAAGGAAGCTTGAGATTTCTCTTTTTAAATGAAGCCACTAAAACCTGGGCAATTCCAGCAAATATGCTTCCCTCTGGTTGTACATGGACGTACAGGTTGGTACCCAGAAATAACATGATAATGGCGAGAAACATGAGTAATGTGGGTATGCCAAATCCTATTGGCCAGCTGACATTGTTCTGGATGTAGATGATGACAATCATAGATAACACAAGGGCAGCAGTACTTGTTCCATAGTACCAATTATAATAGCTGTTTAGTCCCTTTCGACCTTCTTCGTCGGTCTTATCAAACTGGTCTACTCCAAAGGGCAAGCTACAAGGCCGGATCGCTCCTCCACCGATAATTAGAAAGCCTAGAGAAAGGTATAGCACACTTAGCTGGAGTGTTGATGGACTGTTGCAGCCTCCGCCTAGTCGGGTTTTTTCATGGCAGATCGGTGGCTTGAGAGCTGGAAGTGATGCATACAAAGTCATTCCCAGCATCCCCTGTTATTTTAGCAAATAAATAAATTAAAATGAGTTCATGTTGATGAACTACACTCCTGGGAAGAGCTTAAATCAACAAAAATGTTGGATGTGCACTATATATCAGTTTCTTGCATCAGTTGGGGCTTATTGTACATTCTTCGTTTCTAATGAAAAAAAAGCATTAAGCTATTGCTGATCTTTTTATTCGTTGGGTGAAGCCTTATTTGACAATGACAAGTGACCTTGCATTTCTTTCTGCTGCCAAGCAGGTGAAATGAAACTACTAAGAGAGATGGTTTGGTCATCATATGGACATACCAGGAGGCTGGCGAAGCATCCATAGGCTAGTGTTTTGAACCTTCCCAAGTAGACGTCGGAGATGAAGGCGCCTAGCAATGGCGCAAAGTTAAGCGTACCGAAGAATATGTTGGTAATATTAGCTGCCTCAATTTGCCCAATGTTGAAGCGCTTCACAAGATAGACCGTCAAATTTGCTACCACTCCAATTGTCGCAACCTTTTCAAATGTCTCAGTTGCTACATAGATACAATCAGAAAAGGGCATCCATTCAGTACATTATAATGAGCATTTTGATTTGATCCGCTTGAAGTACAACATAATTCATTCGTGAATCCCTTTTTGCTTTGATTTGAGGCAGGGTGTATCCTGTGCAGGGATCACCGGGTTAGAGCACCCATGTTGTCATGTCTAAATTTAGACAAAGAAGCCAAGCCAAGCCAGACCAAATCAACATATACTTGGTCTAGGCTCAGAGTCTGAAAATACTCTTATATTGAATGGATATTAGTATATGATTTACGGTAGTCATGTAGAAGTATTAATGAGATGATTCACGAATACGAGTGATTAAAAGAGTCTTCCGTACGTGCTAATCGAATACGAATACCATGGACATATACATCTATGATCTATATATATGGCCCTTCTCAGGATGCAATTTATTTTCTATATTATCAAAGGAAATGAATTGATCTTTCACATGAAACTATCTATAAAAAGGGGACTTCGGGCATGTTTAAATTGTAGCCAAAATAAACCTTGCCATTCAATATGTGTAGGTAGGTGTGCGTGTGTATACATACGTGTATTTGAGCGTTGCGTCTATCTTGTTATTTTCAAGCCTACGGTGTAGCCGTGCAGCATTTGAGAGGTCTAAGGCTGCGTTCGTTTCTTGGCTAAGGAACTCATTCCCTTCACACGTAAAACGGAGTGGTCCATTAGTGCGTGATTAATTAAGTACTAGTTATTTTTTTTCAAAATAATAGATCAATATGATTTTTAAGTAACTTTTGTATAGAAACTTTTGTAAAAACGCACTGTTTGAAAAGCGTGTACACGAAATATGAGAGGGGGAGTTGGTATTAGGTCCCTGGAAACGAACGCAGCCTAAGTAACATCAGTGACGGCAGAGGTATTAGGTCTAGTAACGTCAGCGACGGAGCTAGAAATCATTAAAGAGTGAACTTAAACTAGTGAGTTGCTTTTTTTTTCTTAAAGTTACATGGTGGTTTAAGATAATTTAACCATAATTCTGAAGACAAGTCTAAGGCTCAAGCCCTAACTACTCTAGGCCTGCCTTCGCTCCTTTAGGGCCCCTTTGATTTGGAAGAAAAACATAGAAATTTTAGAGGATTTCAATTCTATAGGAAAATTTTCTATGAAGCCATTTGAAACAAAAGATTAAATCCTATCCAATTCTTTGAAATTCCTATGGAATGCACAATCTTATAGAGATTTTAGAGAAAATTTAGCATGAGCTTTAACCTCTTGGTAATTTTTCTTTGAGTTTATCTCTCTCATCCAATTCCTGCGGTTCAATCAAACGGTAATTCATGTGTTTTTCTTACGTTTTGTAATCCTCTGTTTTACACTTATATACCTTTTTAAAATCCTGCGTTTTTCCTATTCTTATGTTTTCTTAATCCTACGATTCAAAGGGCCGTTAACATACTATACGGATCGCAAAACGTAGAAAGAAATCACTGGAACGGGAGCCTCACCTATGATGAATGGCATGCACTTCCAACCTTGCGGCGTCTTCCCCCTCTTGCCTGCCACAACTTCACCACCGACGACACCCCCGTTCTCAACGGCGCCGATCTCCATCTCCGTCTCCAAAGCGTACCCTCGCTACCACAGCAACCACCACCACCACCACCGCGCGGAACGGCGGAGGCCAACCAAAACACCGGCGAAAAACCTCGCTCTCCGCCCGCCGGTGCGCGCGCCAGCCAGCCAGCACCAGCGGCGCCGCGCGTATGTGAAAGTAGGCAATGCTACTACCACCAGTTGGTAGAAGTGGTACATCACGCTACACTGCACATATATGCGTGCGTGCGTGCGTGCGTGGGTGCGTGACGGCGTAGGAGTCTTGTCACGCTAGAGCTATTGGGTGCACCACGCGTTGTCAAGCGCCGCGGAGCGGACGGGACGGTTTTTTTTGGGTCGGCGTGATGCGATTGCTCCCGTGTGTTTATTGCGAAACGGACACATATGCGTCCGTCCGCCGAAACAGTGAGCACGTCACAGCGGCTGGGCTGGCGGACGGGCGGTTGGGTTTCCGCGGCCTTTGAGGCGGCATGACGCGTCGGCGTGTCTCATCCTGAAGATACACGTAGGTTTGGATGGAGACAGTCCATGGCGGCATCTAGGGATGGCAATTGTGCCCGTTTTTCTATTTACCCGTGGTTAAAAACCCTATTAGGATTAAATTTGTTCTCCATTTTATACCCATAGATATTTTATTGGGTTAAAAGCTATGCCTGATGGGTAAATGGGCATGGGTATGGGTAATCACTACCCATGCCCGCTTTGCCCGTTTACCCACGAAATCTAACTTACATGTAGGCTAGAAGCAAAATCCACTAGAATACATAAGCCACGTTCTTTGTTTTCTACGGTTTTCCTTTTATTTCCCTTATTATCTCTCCCTCTTACTCTATCGCCGTCAGAGGAGAGACACCACACCGAGACAGAGAATATTTGATGTTTTAAATTCGATATCGAACTTAGAAGCTTGTAGACTTTTTATTCCACTACTTTTGTAGTGGCGGGTAAACGGGCACGCCTGCGGGCACAAGGCGCCCGTGGGCGATGGGCATGGGCAACCATTCTTACCCGTCATGTAGTAATAGATATACCCACGGAAAAAAATAATCTCATGGGCACGGGTATGGATAGGCACTACCCGTACCCGTCGCACCCGATTGCCATCCCTAGCGGCATCTGATGCTTTTTGGTCATGTTGATTGTGTGCGCGCGGTACTGACAGTCCAGTCCACATTCTCCCGTGAATGAATGAAGAAAGTTTGGTTTTTAGTGAAAAAAATTATCGTGGAAATTAAACATGGAAGCTGATGAGTACTTCCTCCGTCCCAATATATAAGAACCTAAAATCGGATGGGATATTTCCTAGTACTACGAATCTGGACAGGTAGCCTATGATGTCCAGATTCATAGTACTATAAAATGTTTTATCCGGTTCTAGGTTCTTAGAGCATCCCCAGCAGCTCCTTTATCTAGTCATCCATCCGATATTTGGAGTATGGAGGAGAAAAATAGTGCTCCAGCAAAGTCACCATCACATACTCCATTTTTGGAGATTCTCCAAACCTAGCCCTTCCTATGCTAAATATGGAGGTTCTCTCTCCTCACTCCATCCTCAACTACCCACTTCCCGAGATTTTTTTTAAGTGGTGAAAGGTGAGAGGGATATGAGTAAAAATGTGTGGTAGTTGAAAAATATTAATAAAATATAGGATGTTGGTATATTTAGGATGTAATATGGATGATCTGTTGAAGTGAAAAGTTATATAGAGTGAGAATTTTTTTGGATGGCTATCCAAATGGGAGTATGGAGGATGAAATTTAGATGAGCTGCTGGGGATGCTCTTATATATTGGGACGGAGGGAGTATGTTGCAAATAATGGGCCGTGACTATCTTGGACCCACAAATTTTGTGGATGATCTCCTTTGTAGCCCATGAAGCCTTTGCACAGTTTATTGGGCCCATAACCAGTACTGGGCCTCGATCAAAGGTCGCCCATTAGACCCTGTATTTCCATGTATTATTAACCCCATGACCTAATTCTTTAATAATCATAAGAGGCATTTCCGGCCGGGACGTCCCGAAAGCTAAGACAACGCATCCATCATGCCGCGTGTTCGTACTTAACGTGCCCATGCATCCAGCAGCCGGCACCCAATCAAGCTCATGATTAACTAAAACACGTCCAAAAGTTAAAGCCTTTCTAAGATCCCCATAAAACTAAACCTTTTATTAGACCAACTAATCCTTCTTTCTGTAGCCGCTAGCTAACAATCTAAACTAATGCTATCAACTCCGGCTCAGGTGGAGGGGCCTGCACTTACTAGTACGTACGTGACCGATAATAATCATAGAGTGACAAAGTGTACCATCTGTTTGTCCTAATCCCAAATATCCCAATCCTTTCCCTTTCCTTTCGGTCTCTGTTGCACAGAATCGGGAACCGGTTGGTGAGACGTAACCAAACGTGGGTCCAGCCGGTGCCGTTTGATGACTTGGCCTCCAGGCTCCAAGTGACCGTAATTATGGCATGTTAATTCGGTTTAGTTAGTAAGCTTATTAGCCAATAAATTAACGAATTTGGTGTAAATATAGTGCCACATTTCTGACTTGACTCAATCATTTTTTAAATATGTGATTGCTAGTGTTTCTCTCTCAATCTTATCTTCCAAGTTGGTAATTATTTACTTTTATCATTATTCTCTTATATAACTTACAGTATAAATGTTGTACTTCCCTCATTTCATATTATAAGACTTTCTAATATTGTTCGTATTTATATATATGTTAACATCCATAAGTTATTTACATTGTAAATGTATGTTATTTACAATATAAATAACTTACTTAGTATAAGTTTTGAAGTGTAAATGTATGCTATTTACATTGTAACAAGATTTTAACTTTTTTTAATATGATATCATAAATATAGCTAGTCCCATAAATAAATACATAAATAAATTCAAAAAGAGAAAATAACAAATAGTTAGAAAAGTTATATCTAATAATACTGATGTACAAGGTTAACTTTGGCGAAATCTACTTTTGTAAGCGCATCACAGAAGTATTCTATACCACCATTAGCAAAGAACGGGTCTTGTCGGGCATCAGGGAAGAAGAGAGCGTGGAGCGGAGCGCGCCACCGCGCCGCGCGGCCGGCGACGGCGATGGGTGCATGGCCCATCCGTTGTCCTGGTGACCTGATCCCTGCATTGCAATCTTGCATTCGACTACTCTACATATGTTTTTTAAAAAAAATCTAAAACTGAACGTGATATATACTAGTAGAAGTATGTCTATAATTTGTTGCACTAGAATATATGATAGTATCTAGTTTTAGGTTTGTTTTTTTTAACGGATGAAGTATACTCTCTCTGTCTAGAAAAAGACCCATCCTACATACGAACTTGATATATATGTGTGTTCAGATTCGTAGCTAGCAGTATTTTTTTTTAGGACGGAGTGGTACTGTAGTAGGTCATGTGCAGTGGTTTGTTTTTCGCCGCCCGAATCATTCGCGCCATCTGGGCTCCGCCTCGGCGCGACACGATCATTGCCCGCGCACACACCCGGCCCGGTACGTCCCCGTCCTTGCCATCGCCGTTAAATCTTAATCCGGCAGCACTAGTAGTAGCTTTCACCAAACCCTTAACTAACTCGGTGCTAATCACTCGCCATTAAGATCTAAGCAAGCACGAATGATGAGTGATCAGTGGTACTGTCTCAGCCAGCCAATCATAGCTGCTCATACGCTGAAACAGCCGAGTAGTTCTGAAAATCATACAGGCTGGAACAGCAGATAATTAAGCCAAAAAAAAAACAGGCTGAATATTTCCCGATGTAGGTGACGGCTACGAGCTTGTTACAGGTGCATCCAGGTTGTGGTACATGATGAGAGCTTTAGCTCGCTCTTGTGCAATCAAATCATTCATCCATTTCCCCTTTTCTCTCCAAATCATCATCCATGCATGCAGGTTGGTGACTGATGAAAGGAAGAAAAGGGAAGGCAAACCTGGACAGCACAGACAGAGTATCTGCATCTCTCCCTTTCTTTCTTCTCGAGGTTTTCTCTGATTCTTTCGGCAGCATCCAAATGCACGACAACGATGCCACCCATGATGCGTCGATGGCGACCGAAAGCTCATCTCAGCTCAGCCTCAGCTCGCCACGGTCGAGAGGCTGCATTTCTGCAGAGATTTTCCTCTTCATGGCGAGCAGAAAGGAGAATATGTTCGCACTATGCGTACTGGAGGCGTGTGAATCCCGTATGCGCGTGTGGTGCCTGCTCTGCCTGCCCTGTGTGCGTGTTTTTGCTCGGATCAATGGGTTGATCCCCACTGCTATCATGCTGCTCCCAATGATGGCTCGCTAGCTTCCCCGACAGGTTGTGCCCATCAGGTGCAGCCTGAACTCACACCTCGCAGGGCCAACACTAGTTCACGAGATTGCTAACTACAGCTGCTAGCTACTCCCTCCGTTTCGCAATGTAAGTTATTCTAGCATTTTCCACATTCATATTGATATTAATGAATCTAGATATTCAATATGAATATGAGAAATGTTAGAATGACTTACATTGTGAAATGGAGAAAGTAATAGCTAGCCAGCTATACGGACATGTCAACCATTTTTTTTTACACGGAAATGCTAAACTACTGTTGGTAGAAAATTGAGGCTAAAATATTGTAAATTTCTACCATTAGATTTGCTTTGCGGTTCCTGCTCCGGCGACCTCACCTCTTTCTCCTCAAGCTCCAATTACCCCTTCTTCACCAGCCATGACGACCGGCGTCTTGCCGACAAGCGGTGGCCCGACGATGCATGGTGGAACTAGTGGACGGCACGGCGACATCGGAGTCACGGGGATGGAGGAAGACGGTGGACTGGTGTTGGTGGTGGAGGCAAAGCAAGTGTACAGTTAGGAGATGGTGGTGGATCCGACAATAGTGAGTCGCTGGAGATGGGGGAGACGGTGGGGCGGGGGCACCTCGCCGCCGCCACCTTGAGGAGAAATAGAGGGGGAAGGGTAGTAGGGAGGGGAGGCGGCTGGTCGAGGGAGCCTCTCTGGTGCCATTAGCGTATTTCGATCAGCTGACAAGGCCAGGGCGTTGGTGGCAACAAGAAGCGGAAGTGTTGAGCACTTCATGTGGTGATGGGGAGGAAAAAGGAAAAAAAGAAAAGGTTAGAGTTTTGAGGGCTTTGCATGAATCTCAAAACATAATTTACTACATGATATTCTATCATTAATATAGACCAGGGTTTAAGTTTTCAATAAAAACTGGTTGAGAACTGTAGTTTTTTTTTTGTTTTCACGGAGGACGGAAGCGGATTATAAGTAAAATTTCAAATGGTTTTTAAGAATTCAAAATTGAGACGATAGATTTAACTGAAATTTGAAAAAAAAACTGTCATACCGTCAAGATCGGGATTCGTCGCTCAATCGGAAATGGGAACACTGGTAATTGGTAAAAGACCAAAGCATTAACTTTGTTCAGTAGTTTTCTGAACCGGGAAACAAGGAGTATACTGTTTCGGTGCTTTTGTTTCGTCTCCTAATTAATACTGTACCTCGTTGGCTAGCTTGAGCTGGATGCAAAATTTATCTCCCGGTCATCGCGGTACACCGAGATGTCAGAATGATATACGAGGGCGCACATGCCTTGTACCAACCGGAAGCATCCAAAAACCCAGATGCACAGCTAATGCATTCACTCTATGGGGCATTGGACCAAGAGAAGAGAACACAGGACATTTTTGTTTCTTGTTCGTTTGTGCTTTTGCAATTCTGCAAAGCATTAGGGGCGTTTCACCGCGTATGTATGTACAGCGTGTTCGTGCCACGATGGTTGCGTCAGTGAGGAAAGGCAGCCCACGTTAAGTTCAGACTTCAGAGGAGAAAGAAACAAGGCTTTCTCTACACTGTGGCTGCAACAAGGGCCCCACATGACAGCAGAAGACACTGCTGCTCCACGGTCGGACTGGCATTCTCGCCGTCAATGTCGTCGTCTTCCTTCAGTTTACAACTAAAAATATATACTTGGAGTACTAGGAAAACAAGCCCAAATAGTAGGCATACATGTGACCAAAACCGAACCGGTAAAACCGCTCAGGTTTTGCATCACTCTCAAGTTTCAACAAAACTAAAACACATTCTACCATGTGGGAAGGAAAGAACGCTATGCGTGAAATTACCGCCTAAATTAAACTGTTTTGGGGGTCACCGGTCACGGGCAAATTAGCACCATCATCTCGTTCCCGTCCACTCCACCATCTTGCCCTCTAGTTGTACTTAAGTTTGCAAGTAGTAGGTGTGATCGTAGGATAGCCTACCATGCAATGGTTCTCATCCTCACCATTGTCTTCCTCGTGTTACATTCCTTTCGTTCATTCTCTCAGTGAAATGTACATTTTCATCACCCCACCTCAAATAACGGTGGTAGAAATATGGAGGGACATTATTATATATAAAAAAAAGTACGGAGAAATATAATTGAAATTTAGTAGTGGCTAAATCTCTTTTTTTTTTCTTTTTTGGCATATTTCGATTGAATATGAGTGATGCCAACGTGGATGGCCACATATCGATTAGTCAAAAAATGATAAATAATAAAGTTACCCCTAATCAATCTATCAGTAAATTACTAGTTTATCTTTATCTCTAATAACTAATGGATCAAATCATTTCTACTAGAGAGTAACGAACCATCGTCCAAACTACGAACATAATTACAAATTCACAATAGTCTCTAGTCTACAAGTAAAATTAGGGTGTGTTAAAAAAACTCAATTTGTGTCATTAAGAAAGAAGGAAACAGGCAACAAATTACATTTTTTTAGAAAGGTCAAATTACATATAATTCGTGCAAAGCCAAACTGGCTCAAGCTCCGCCACATTGGCATTAGCATTTTGAGGGCGCCCGACATTCTCATCCTCATCGTCGTCTTACTTAAGTTTTTTTTTTTATTTTTACGCAAGTCTTACTTAAGTTTCATCCATTTGTTCCATGCTTTTACGTTCAAACGGCTCCCTTATGGCCCGGTCATATGCTCCTACCATACACAACACGCTGTTCCAATGTCAGTACAAATGTTACTAAGGTACCACTGATTGCCCACATTCTCTAATAAACAGTAAGAAAGTGTTTGGCAAATGGGAAACGGAAATGATTTCCCACCATCTTTAGATTCTAACCATTCATTCTCCCTTTTCCATTTAATCCTAACCCTTCATTCATTTCCTAATCCCAATCCCACCCTCCATTTCCCATTATCCAAACACACCGTAAGGGCTTATTAAGAAATAAAAATTATTTTACAGGTAAATTTTTATATATGTGTTCTTAGTGATTTAAAACCAATGCTGAAAAAAAAACGTTCAAAATATCTTAAAATCAACTTCAAAATTATTTTTGAAAAATTTAAATTTTGGTTTTTGCCGACGGAGCTCAAACTTTGTATGAACTGCGTTTTTTTTTAAAAAAGAATCGGAACAACTTTAAGATGTAGGGCTAGCTTGGTTTGAAGTCTAAATTAGGCTTACCAATATTTGGTAATTTCAATAGTGTTTAGTGTCTATTTGGTTTGAAGCCAAATTTTAGCATGCCTAACAAAATAGGCCATTTTAATAGTGAACTTAGGCTATTTTGGCTTCAATCCAAACACAACTTTGCCTTACCAAAATTAGTAGTGCCAAAATTTGGTAAGGCCTATTTAGGCCACAAACCAAACCAACCCTTAAACTAAAATTAGGGTTAATGAACAACCTTTAGAACACAACCAAAATCGCACACTAAGGTAAAGGAACAAAACAACAAATCACGTTACACCCGCGACCAAAGCCAAAACGGAAAACGCACACCCAGCTAAGGGTTGGGCATCATTGCAGCATAACTAAACACACCGTAGAATAGAGGAGCGCTTTACGCGGAACTAATTAACTAAAATTAAACCCCGCTTTCTCGGTCACGGGCAGGTCGGTCCCACCACCCCAAGTCCCCATCCACTCCACCACCCCGGCCATTCCATTCCATTCCATTTCTTTTCTTTTCTTTCTCCCCCTCAATTATTGCCGCTTCTGTCCATCCCCTCCCCCTCCAATTCCATTCCATCTTCATCTCCATATCTTCTCCTCCTCGCGTCGGCAGTTATCTCCTCGTTGATAATGGCGTCGTCGTCGTCGTGGTGGGTGGTGATGTTGTTGATGGTGGTGGCGGCGGCGGGGTGGGGCGGGGTGGCGGCGGCGACGGCGGCGGAGGCGGCGCACGAGGTGCTGCGGGCGCACGGGCTGCCGCGGGGGCTCCTGCCGGCGGGGATCGCGGATTTCAGGCACGACGAAGGGAGCGGGAGGTTCGAGGCGGCGCTCGGGGAGTCGTGCACGGCGCAGTTCGAGGTCGGGCTGCGGTACAACGCGACGGTGGCCGGGGTCATCAGCTACGGCCGGATCGCGTCGCTGTCGGGCGTCTCCGCGCAGGACCTCTTCCTCTGGTTCCCCGTCCGCGGCATCCGCGTCGACGTCCCTTCCTCCGGCGTCATCTACTTCGACGTCGGCGTCGTGTTCAAGCACTTCCCCCTCGCCGTCTTCGAGGCCCCGCCGCCCTGCACCCCCGACCCCCTCCTCCTCCTCACGCAGGTAATCTAATCCTTCTTCCTCGAACCAATCACGAAGTGAAATCTCCACCCACCTAGTTCATCTCTGAATTGGGCGCTCACGCGGGGCAGGTGTGTGAGGACGGATCGGTCGCCGGCGGCGGCGCGGCGTCGCAATGAAGGGGACGGACTCGATGGTTGAAATCGGCGAGGCGGAAACCAAAAGAATGCGCAGTTTTGAGGCATGGGAGTGGTCGGCCGGTCCGTCGCCGGCGGGCCGGCATCTGTGCAGATAGATAGAATGAACATTCCTTTCGTTTTCTACTACTAGTTAGTAACCTTTCATTCCTCATCACTCTGTTCTTCTTGCCGTTCTTGTTGTCCAGTGCGATCAAAGCCGGCCGACGGTGGCCGGTAGAGGAGGCTGCCGGCCTCCGGTCGCCGCCACGGCGATAATTTTTCGTGGTTATGATGGTTCGGGGATTACAACGTGTTGAATCTGTTTCTTGCCGTGGGCGATGAACTTGGATCGTTCCCGGATCCAATCCAGCGTGGCGATCGGCAAAACACGCGTGTTCCGTTCCGTTGGATGATGCGGTTTTGGGTAGCACAGCAAGCGTCGCTGTCTGTCTCTCTCGGCGCTGCTGATGATGCGTCTCCTCCGGTGGCTTTCAGTGTCCTGTTGCTGCTGCTAGATGCTCCGGTGGCGCGTATCTGAGGCGAAGCCGTCCATGTTGGCATCCAATGGGATCGCGCATCCTGCGGTACTGCTACTAGTCTCCTCCTGATGCGTCAGATTCGGCGGCATTCGCCTTCTCGATCAGCTAGCGCCAGTCTCGCGAGAGAATGGGCGAGCATTGTGATCTGTGCCCATCCATGACCAAATTGACCATATGCCTTCCCTAGCTTGCAGTACCTCTCTCCCTCCCTCTCGCCATTGGCTCTTCTCTGACATGTCTCGCCAAAAGTGAGCTCGCTTTGTGCGCGCGGGGGCGGGGGGGCGGCGATTGGATAAGATTGGACCATTCACCGCGCCACGGCGCCAGCGAGGCATGTGTTTGACTGCTGGGTGGTGTGTGACCCGTTCTTGTCTGTGAAATGTGAATACTGGCATACTGCACGCACGGTGAGCGCCATGTAAATGCTCTCTGCTCGCGTACACGGTTTTCTTCTCGCGCACACGGAATTCTTCTCGAGGTGTAAACCCCGTTTGGTAACTTTGGGGTATCAATCAAAGCGGCGAAACCGTGCACCGCTATGTGCCACATGGGCGCAGCATTCTTCCCGAGCTCCGAATTGATAAGTTGGATCTGGTACGGCGTAGCGTACGCATTGCATGTTGCGATCGATCGATCGATCGAAGTCCCGGCCTGGGCAATAATTCGCTGCTGCACATCCACACACACCGCAAGCTGACAGCGGCTGGCTGACGTGGTGGAACCACCAATCGGCATTACGAACAGCTCGGCAACGCCCAGGATGACTCGTCACTGACACGTGGATCCCATAGGGCACATCACGATCTTTTCTTAGAGAAGGGTATTTTTTATCGGCCTCTACATCCGACCGGATATATGCAATATTTTTAAATTATAAATTTAGCCTAACCCAATCTAAAATTTGCTATCATGAATATGCTACTTAAGTCAATGCAACCGCTAAACTACATGTGGCACGTCACAATCCTGCCTGCGTTGCATAGTGTTCTTTGTGACACCAATGCCACAGTTGGTAACGAACGAACTAGTCGGGGGCAAGGGGCAAGACAGCATGTTTCGCATAGCGCTTGGGAGTGAACTGGTGAAGTTACACAGGAACAGCGAGCGACAGAGAGGGGGAGAGGATCAGGCGAGCGATTGCGTATTTTGCATTACGGGAGAGGGAGAAATGGGTGGATTGGAGGAGCAGCGGCATGTGCTATGGGGGAAAGCTAATGATGGGAAAGAGACAAGCGTATCAACTGCAGCGCCTTCCTGCAGCTGCCGGGTTGGTGGAGTAGGTGACGACCACCCGCGCCTGGGTGGGAGTGGGATGCCGGCGCGGGGCAAGTGATCGATCGATTGACCATGGTAGGAGCCACACAGGCCACAGCCACCTGGGTAACTAGTGTCATCAGCTGCATTTTGCTCAGTTGCTGCTTGCCATCGTCGTCGACTTGTTGCCCTCCTCTTTTTTCACTGTCCGTTGCTGCTTCTTGGGTTCACTTTTGGTGCGTTTGGAACTTTGGATAGAGTATTAGGTGATCTGGATAGGCACGAGGAGGAAGCCATGCGATGCAATGGGATAATATGCAATGGGTGATGAGGTGTTTGGGTGTCCACCTGTTGAAACTGTGTCATTGTTGGACGGGTGACATGTCACATGCTGATGGGGTGGCGTCAGTCAATCATGTTTTTGTAGATTAACCGGAGTGAAGAATGGGGTCTGATGTTCTATCTGATCTGATCTGATCATCTCTTGTGGATCATCATGGTTAGGCTTGGCATGATATATGAATCTTGGTCCAGTCAGCAAGTGGGGGTTTTTATTGGTAAATTGCTTTGGTAAGTTAAGAGGTCACATCACTAAACATTTGCTATGCAAATGTGAATGCGTATGATCCCTACTTGGCAAAAACTTGGAACGTGCTGTTTGCGTGTCTTCGCATTCATGCATTTCTATCCGTCGTTAGACAACCAATCGCCAGGTCAATTGTAGTGCCGGATGGCTAGCTGGTTGGATGACACTGATCATAGCTTGAACTTTACGTATTTATTTTTGGAGCAGATGTTCGTATGGTAAAATGCCTTAATGGTATACGATCTATTTGACATCAGATACAACTTTCTGATATTGATTCCAATTCCATTCAGGGAAAGAGCCAGAGTGCCGTACAATTTGCACACAGAGGTGTGTCCAAAAGAACTTTTTTGCAGTAAAAATGTGAAATATAGGGAGACATGAACCATTAGGCATTTGTCACCCGTGTGCCTGTGTGTGTCACTCTTCTCATGATCTCATCACACCAGTAAACTGCATATTAACGCCTGAATTCATTGGTAGTGCCAAATTCTAGGTAAACTCCGGCACTATCAAAATATTGTAGGGTAAAGTTATTTAGCTAATATTTGGATTGCTACCAATATAAAACCAAACTCTTATAGTATAGAGGAGAAACTTCTAGAATATGACCAAATAAGGTAGGCACTACCAAATATTTGGTGTTAGTCCAAACTAACACACATATTATTCAGTTTGCCAACAAAGTGGAAAGGCATGTTTTGGTATCAAACCAAAACGGCCCTAATTAAAAACAAGGAGGGACAGGTAAATTAATTGGGCCGTCAAACTCAGGAAAAGCCCAGTCTGGTTCAAAAGGCCCAAGATACAAAAAAAAACCGCAACCCCAACTACACGTCTCCGGCACAGTGGAAGTCTACTTTGCCTCCCTTATTTCTTGCTCCTGACTCAATCGCCTCCACCGACCACAGCTGGGCCACCTCCCATGGCGTCCCAGCACGGCGGCGACCCGCGCCTCGACCGCCTCTCGCGTGCCCTCGCCTCCGACCACCCGCCGCCGGCGGCCGCCGCGGTCCACGCGCATCTCGTCCGCGCGCACGCCGGCACGCCGCCCCCCGTCATCCGGTCCCTCCTCAACCGCGCCATTCGCCGCCTCTCCAAGCCGCACCCGCGCGCCGCGCTCCGCCTGCTCCTCCTCATGCCGCGCCTCCCCGTCTCCCCCGACCACTTCTCCCTCCCCTTCGCGCTCAACGCCGCCGCGTCGCTCCGGTTGCTCCCGCTCGGCGCCTCCCTGCACGCGCTCGCCCTCCGCCTCGCGCTCCTCCCCTGCCGCCTCCCCGTCGCCAACGCGCTCGTTGATCTCTACGCCAAGTGCGACGATCTCCCCGCCGCACACACCGCGCTCGCCGACATCGCGGCCCCCGACGCCGTCTCGTTCAACTCGCTCCTCTGCGCGCACGCCCGCCTCGCCTCCGTGCCCGACGCCGAGTCCCTCTTTGTTGCCATGCCATCCAGAACCCAGGTATCGTGGAACGCCATGGTGGTCGTCTACGTCAATGCAGGGGACGTCTCTTCTGCTCGCCGCGTGTTCGATCAAATGCCTACCAGGGACTCCACCTCGTGGTCGGTGCTGATTGTTGGGTACTGCAAGTGTGGTTCAATGCGGAGTGCACGAGAGGTGTTCGATAGAATGCCGGCAAAGAATCTTGTGGCATGGACAGCGATGATCAATGGGTATGCGCAGAGTGGGGTGCCAAAGGAATCACTTGCGCTGTTTAGAGAAATGGAGGCTGCTGGGATTGAGCCTGATGCAGCAACTATGGTCGGCGTTATATCTGCTGCCTCGCAGATTGGCAGCACGGAGTTGGCTGGGTGGGTTGGAAGTTATGTTGACAAGAAGAGGATTGAAAGGAACGATAAAGTTCTTACAGCACTTGTAGATATGCATGCTAAGTGTGGGAATGTTGACGAGGCTCTCAGTGCTTTTAGGGAGATTGCACAGCCAGATGCATACCCTTATACTGCACTTATTAGTGGGCTGGCAGCTCATGGTCATGCAAAATTAGCGCTTCAAGTGTTTGAAAGGATGCAAGCTCAGTCAGTTTGGCCTGATCCAATCACTTTCGTCGGTGTGCTTACCGCATGCAGCCATGCAGGACTTGTCGATAAAGGTTTGGATTACTGGGAGGCAATGGTGAAGTACTATGGGATGGAGCGTCGAGCTGATCACTATGCTTGTGTAGTTGACATGCTTGGCCGAGCGGGGAGGCTTGAGGAGGCTTTTGAAATGGTGCAAACGATGCCAATGGGCCCCCACCCAGGGGCTCTTGGTGCATTGCTTAGTGCCTGCAAGACGCATGGCAATGTTGAGATTGCTGAAATTGTTGCAAACAAACTTTTTGAGTTGGAACCTCACAACACTGGGAACTATATAATGTTGTCAAATATATATGCTGAGAAAGAACAATGGGAGGAGGCAGAAAGAATTAGATCAGTTATGAGAACAAGACTGCCCTTCAAACAGCCAGGCTCTAGTTGGGTGGAGGATCGACAGAGGGAGCGTGGCAGGTTTCCTTTGAGGAGCTGAAAACCCGAACACATATCTCTCTTTGTTTCAAATGTAAATTTTCAGATGATGCCAAACAGATCTTATTGAACTGCCAGAAATGCAGGAGCTACTGATGCCATTAAGGTACTTTCACTTCTTTACAGTTCATGTTATATCTGAAAGATCCCAATGCAAATTATTTTGTGGAAGTATTCAGATAACTTTATTGCTTTAGTAAGTTTGGCATCTCAATGAATTGATGCGGTACAGCATAATACCAACACTTGTATTTTAACCTCTATATCTTAGATAATTGTTTGGCAAGATATTTTAATAAATGGTGTGGGGTAAGCAAATAAGGCAATTTGCAATCCATATCTTAATGCTTGTAACTGCAAGAGTTTAGAAAGAAAATTTTCTGTAATCTAGTATGCAGAAAATGCTCAGGCAAGAGCATGTCGATCGCTTCCAAATCAATAATTTCAGAAAGTAACAGTCTCCTCACGAAGACATGAAGTATGGAACGATTATTTGCATCACCATCATGCATGATTGTATTTTGTTCTGAATGTTTGGTAAATCATGTGCAGAAGAACTAGAACAATAGTTTTTTCTCCATGTTCATTATCCACTTTCACGAAAGGATGCTAATTGGTGCAATTATTCTGGGTATTATTGATCAGCCTGATTTCACTCTTGACAGCGGGAGCATAGTAGTCTGACTACAAGGAATTGATAGACAATTCTCGTTGCTGCAAGATTGTTAACTTTTCTGAGATGCTGCAAGCTAAGCTGGTTTTAAACAAGCTAATTATCAGGGGCGGATGATCTATGGATCAGTTTGTCGTTAAGGTAACTTCAATTCTTCATGGTTCATGTCATGTCTGAAATTTGCCATGATAAATTACTTTGATCCTTTTATGTGTTCATTGAGCCATGTTTTTTTTTAAAAAAATATGCTTGTTTATCTCTAGAAGAATTGAGTATAGTTTCATGACACTTGCAATTTAAGCTCGTCATCTTAGGTAGGTATCTGTGTTATCAAGAATTTAAGATGTGTCATAAAAAAAAACCGGCATCCGAATGTTTAAACTATGATGGTTCAGCTGGAAATTTGTTGATATATTTTGAAATTTTGCTAACCATGAATACAATGTTCACTTGCAAATCAGTAAGATTAGAAAACAGATCATCATGACGTTGGAAATAGTTATTTACATGGTGCATTCCATATAAATGGCCGTATATTGTTCTGGATGCTTGATAAATCATCATAGGCAGAAGAACTAGATTAACTGTTTGTCTCCATGTCGAATACCCACTTCAATAACTGGTGGTTCACCCATAACGTACACTAGTGACAACAAGCTAACTGATGCAAATTTTCAGGGCATTCCTCAGCTTGACTTCACCGTCTCGATCGCTTGGATTAATTCATCTAGTTTGGCACCTGTGACCTCCTTGACGACCTTCCCGTCCTTGAGAATCTTGAATGTTGGCACAACCTTTATGCCCAGCTCCTTTGCAAGAGACTGCGAATCGCACGCACCAAGGAGGCTTAGCACGATTTATTCAGGAAAACAGCAGATACATTCCAATCGAATAATGGTGGGTGGAGCGTAGACAAGAGAAAGAAAATCAGTTCTAACTGACCTTGTTGTCTTGATTGCAGTCGAGTTTGAGGAACACAACGTCCTGGTCCTTCTCGGACATCTCCTGGAATTTCGGTGCCATCACCTTGCAAGGGCCGCACCTGCAAATCAACCAGTCAGTTTTACAGTTATTACACTGAGCAGTGGGATGAGATCTGTTCCCTTTCTTATTCACGCCGCTCATTTCAAAATAAATCCAGCTCGTGATAAGACTGAAGAATTCATGCGAGGCAACAGTTCATCAATGGAGATTGACGCGAAGAGATCAGTGGAGTTTTGTGGCTTTTGTGAAGTACCATTGGGTGTACATGTCGAGGACGACGACCTTGGGCCCTGCCGACTTGACAATTGGCCAGAAGGTATCCTTGTTCACCTCCGTCACCTGCCCGGTCACGGCCACCGCCTCCGCCTCGGCCCCAACAGTGGCGGTGTCCGAGCCGCTCGACCTCACGGGGATCACCGCCCTTGTCTCAGGGCCAGACACCACCGTCAGGCTCCTCCTCTGAGAAGCCACACCGCCGCCGAGCAAGGCGGGGAAGCGCCCGCAGGCGGCGGGGCGGCATGTGGAGATGGCCGGCGAGGAAGCCGGCCCGTGCGAGGAGGAGACGGAGAGGCGTAGCGCCATTGGATGGGAGAATTTTGGAAGGTAATGGCCTAATTGGGTGGCGAGTTGGTGCTAGGAAGGAAGGATGTGCGTTTTTCTTCAGCAGCGGCAGCGGCAGATGAGTGGTGAGCTTGAAAGGATATCTTGCATTGCTTGGCGGTATTCATAGCCTTTCTAGTGGAGATAGTTTCTTGGCGGGGAAATGACATGGCTGCCCCAGGTAATTCCTGCACTTTTGTGGTGGCACTCCACCTATAGCTTTCTGTGGGATGGGGCATTTCCGGTATCTGAAAGATCGGGTTGTGTGGTGCCTGCGCATCTCTGAGGTTTCATGGAGGAGAGAGCTTGTCTAACATTTGTAGATGGCTCTTTGTGTCTGGAACTGATGGCCTCACGATTGACGGTAACATGGAATCAGTATCATAGATGTCATAGATCCTTTTACATTTACACATATGCTATGTTAGATTGCTAGAGACCCTAATGAAGTAAAGATTAGAAACTGCACACAAAAGGTTGTGTTGTATAGTGGTTGAATTGGAGTTAGGCGCTATAGCGTTGTGAACTTACCAACATGATGCTGGGCCAGTATTACTTGGAAACCATAGTAATTGAATTATGTTGACAGTGTAGACTTTTAACTAGCCGAATTATGTTAACAGTGAAACCATAGTATTACTCCTTTTCTGGTTGTTGAAAACGGGATATGTTTCTTATACAATTTTACAGCTCCAGCACATGCTTGATACAATTTAACAGCTCGAGTAGATGCTATAACAGATATTTATCTCGTTTTTTTTGGGTTATTTCCAGTCTATGACAAACACATCAGCAATTCAGCATCGTTTTCTACTATTTGTATGTCTTCCCTTTGAGCAGTGAACAAACAAGTGTTCCAAATGCACTGTACCATCAAAGAATCAGTACCACGTGAAAAGAAAAAAAAAATCACCAGCGTCTCTAGCGAAAAGCCAATCCAGCTGCACAAACACATCAGCATCATCGCCACGTTTTGCGAATTCTACCCTACTCGACACAATCTCGTTAGTCAAACTCCAGCCGCCAGATATTGAACAATAATTGTGGACTGCTCGTTTCTGGCTTGGAAAAAAAACAGAGGAATATTCCTGAGATATTGTAGGTAAATGCCAGATGTCACAATGAGTAGTATCATGTATTACATGGATATTTTCTCTTTGCTCATTGTCGGAAATGCACAGGTAGAAGGTTTAGTGAACCAATGCAATCAGGTTCATTTTCTTTTTGCACTAACTATCTTGCTTCGAGAGTTTGAGTTTGAGAACAAATTTCACAGGCTCGTGAATGGTAGTATCAAGTTTCTGAATAACCTCATCTCAAAATAATAATAATAATAATAATAATAATAATAATAATAATAATAATAATAATAATAATAATAATAATAATAAAGATTCTAAATAACCTACTAGTCAAATTCCCAAACCGACACAAAATGACAACATGCCAAGAAGGCGAAGATGAGGCCCAAAAACATGCATCCGGCCCAAACATAGCCCCAAATGTAGCTGCTAGGCAAGGCCCAACATATACGGTGGAAGAGACGGCCCATGTGCAGAGGCGGCTTAGAGCACGCATCTGGCAAAGCGAATGCCCCTGTTACTCGATCAGGCAACTAAGGACCTGTTGAAGCTTATTTTGTCATGACACATCCGGTATATTTATAGCAGCTAGCGCTATGGTTTGGGAGGGGATACCGGGATATCTAATCCAACTCAATTGAGATCCTTTAGGTTACTGCATATCGCTCACTGACATGTGAGCCGGAGAGTGACCTACATCCGATCCAACTACATTAGAAGCTCTTGCTTGCAATGAAGGACCTGCCATCGCCATGGACTGCAACGTCCTGAAGGTCTGTATAGATTCAGATTGTCATGAAAGTTATTTCGAGTATTGCTACAAGATCAAAATGCAGATACTTGGCAGTCCTTAATGACACCAATATAAGAAGACGTCAATTTGTTAAAGCAGAATTTTGTCATGAAAGTTGGGATCTAAATGTAGATGCACATAATTTGGCTAAGTTTGCATGTACTTTAAATTATGAGGGGCGTTACATGTGGCTGTTAAAATACTTTCCCTCCCATTAATGCCTTATTCGATTAATACAGGAGGATGGATTGAAGGGGATTGATGGGATTAATTCCATGCACCTTAGTGGATGTAGAACAAATCTCCCTCGGAATCAAGGTGTGGAATGAATCACCCTCGAAGATCGATCACCTTGAGATTAACCGAAAAAAACCTTAAGAAATAACGTGTTTTTTTTCGTAAATTTCTTAACCCATTCATGATTTCAAATGTTTAGTAAACCCTAGTAATTCTATGTGGCATGCTGTGAGATGGATCTATCTCCTACCATGCATGAAACCAGTTAGTTTCATAGAACTACCTCATAGGAGAAAAAAAGCATCTCCTTTACTGGAAAACCTCACCTGTTTTGTCAACTGTGTGGGGAAATTGAATCAATTAACCATATTATCTTTGATTGCCCCATTGTTTTTTTTTTTGTTTGGTGTGCCTGGAGAGATGCCATGAGTTGGGGGCAGACTGCCAGGAGTTTTGATGACATTTTTTTACTGGTAGAGATGAACTCAATTGCTAAGAGCAAATCTGTTAAGATGTGTTTAATTGCTGCAACTGCCTGGTCACTTTGGTTGACAAGAAATGCAATGATTTTTAGAGAAAAAATCGTTTACTATCCTCTAAACATTCCTTTTCAAATCATTTCCCTTATGCTGCAGTTGAAACCTCTGCTTCACCCTGATCAGAAACAAAGTCTGGAGATGCTGATGACCCACCTTAGGGAGACGAGATCAGGCCTACGCTCAAGAACTGGGATTGGTTAACACTGTGTCCTTCTGAACCTGATTTTCTATTTAGCTGTCCTCGTTAGGTGATGTTTAGAGCTAGTTTCATGAGAGTTTTTGGTTGGAGTTAGCCTGGAGTTGTTTCTGTTTGGTTCATTGATACTTGCAATCCCTATCAAGCCGGGGTGTGGCCCATTAATGTTTTTTTTTTTTCTGCTTTTGTGCTGAACCTCTGTCAAGCTGGCATCCCCAGCAGACTCGTGGCCCGTGATGGTTTTCAATAGAAGCCGGGTCCTTGGACCTTTTTCTAAAAAAAAAAACTCACATGCTGGATATATATATGGTAATGTGGAACTGAAATTGGGCATATATGGCTAACAAAGTTTCTGTACAAAAAATACACATATATGAAACTGAAATTGAAATTGGGCAAATGTATAGTCAACAATTTTCTCTTTTTACAAACCAGAACACATAAGTACGTACATGTTTTGAGGTCGCCGTATTTTGATCTTAACGACTTAACCAATTGCTAGATCAGTGGTGATCGAATTCTTGTACAACACATGCGTCCTTGTTCCTACAAGGTTAAAAAGAAATTAGAAATACCGACGGGGTTACCGGTGATGACAGCACCAACGGTGCAGATGGTCCACAGCAACGCTTTCACGACCGGGCTGTCCATCGTCCACGGCGACGGCGACGACTCCTCCGGCACGCCGGTCGGCAGCTGAGGGAGGATCATGACGCCGCCGCCGCCGCCGGTCGCCGCTCCTCTCAGCATATTCACCAGACGCGCCTTGAGCCTTTCCACCCTTGTGCGCTGCTGCTGCTGCAGGCGCGCGCCCTCGTACTCCTCGCGGAAGAGGTCGTTGGCGCAGGCGACATGGATCTGGACGACACCGGCGCCGCCGCCGCCGTCGGAGACGTACCCCCAGGTGTGCCTCCTGTCGCCGAGCTTGACGTGCCTGCACTTGCAGCACGGCGACCTGAGCTTCCGCGTGAGCCGCAGCTTCGTCACGCTGCCCTCGGCTTCGATCACCTTCGGCAGCGCCGCGCAGCAGGGGTGCAGGACCCTGCCGCGTTTGAGCAGGGTGCGCAACCTTCCGATGTCCCGCACGTACGCATAACCATTCACCTGCAAGCGTGCACAACTGATTACACGTACGTATACTAGCTTAGAGTTTTCTGCGATGTAGCCAAAATCTTTTATATTTGGGGACGGAAGATCTTCCGAATCATACATATATAAAACAACATGCCCCTCTCAAAAAAAAAAACATGCCAAGTATCGTATATTTCGAGAATTGCATGTAGGTATTGAGAAAAAAGAAACACCTAAAACCAACTAAGACACGATCGACAACATCCGTGTTTCAAAAGTTTTTATTTGGACGAAGCTAATTAAGGTAGTAGATGAAAAATAAGAAAACATCGATCGATGACAAGAAACATGATCAAGAGAAGGAGAGATATAATGGGAAACTATTTTAATTTCTTAAGGGGATATCCTCTCGTTTTGTGCATGTCACTCAAATGTTTATGAAAAATGTGAAAAAAAAAATCTGAGAATATGTATTAACACGTGGTCTATCACTCCACAAACATGCAAGTTTAAATTCAACTTCTACATCTCGCAACGGAAAACCAAATTAAACTATAACTAGTTAACGTATATTCACAGTTAAATTTGTTTTTTTCGTTGCGAGATATAGAAATTGAATTTGAACTTGCATATTTGTGGAGTGATGTACCACATGTTAATATATCTTTTCAGATTATTTTTTCATAATTATTTGAGTGACATGCAATTAACGAGGGGATATCGCACGAGATATAATCTAGAAAGAGGTGACTTACGTTGCCTCCGCATCCATCGCAGCGAACGTCGTCCTGCACTGTACCTGGGAAGAGATTTATGGAACACGAGGCTGTAACGCTTGAAGGGATCCTGGTAAGAATCCCCGAACCTGTGCTGCGCGCACGCCTCGTGGAGATGGAACCCCGCGCGACACCCTCCCAGCTTGCACACGTATCTCATGTGGTACCCGTGCTCCTTGCAGCCATCGCACCGGAATGACTCCTTCCCGGCCGTCAGTGTGAGCTCATGGTCGTGGTGCTCGGGAGCTCGAAGCTTACTGTGCCCCGTCATCTCGCAAAAACAATGAAATCAAGTGAAGCGGCCGGCTAGCTATGATATCTACGTGCAGGTGCATATGCATCACATATATGCAACAATATAATCGGATTGGGAACTCTAAAAGCAAGCGTTATACTTGGAGAGCAAGAACGTAGAGCATGCTGCTATCATGCTACTCCGTGATCCCCTCTTTATATACTATATAAGACCTGGCCTTTTGGTTTGTTTTAAGTCGCACTTTTTAAAGTTGATCAACTTAATTTATAGAATGAATGTAGCAACGACATTTCTTAAAAAAAACAAATAGGCTGTAAAAAATTCAATGGTGGTGATGAAACTAATTTTATGTTGTAGATTTCGATTTTTTTTTATAAACCTTATGTACTTAAAGAAGTTTAACTCAGAATAAACTCAAAATATCTTATACTTCCTCCATTTCACAATGTAAGTCTAACATTTTCCACATTTATATTAGTGGTAATGAATCTAGATAAATATATATGTCTAGATTCATTAACATCAACTAGCTGGGTGGCCCGCGCAATTGCGCGGCTAGTACCCAAACAAAATCATATATTTTTTTAGTATGATTTTACTTAAAATTTATTAAATAGCTATCTCATTGTCTTAAGATTTTGAAAGATCAAACCTTATCATCCTCGTGTTTCTAATTATATAGTTTTTAAAAGTCACACCAGTTGCTACCCCTTATGTCATCTACTTCTTTATTTGCTTGCTCGATCTACCAATATTTCTATTCATTCTTCTTGGAACCTTTAAAAATTGGATTTTATAGTTTTTAGAGTTTATTGTCACATTGGGTTTCATTTTTATAATTTCTAGATGTTCCGTCAAACGTTACCATTATACTCCTGTGTGACATGTCCACTGTCTCTTCTCTTTATTGTCATTGAGATTTTAAAAATTGAACATAATTATCGTTTGGGTTCATTTTTTACTTTCTAGTAGTCCCGCCAAACCGTCAGCGGCTTTGCTATTGTACTCCTCTACGGCTTGCCCGTTGCCTTCCTTCTTTATTGTCATTGAGATTTTAAAATCGAACATGATAATAATTGTTTTTTTTTTACTTTTTAGAAGTTCTGAACCTTAAAAAATTGAACTTGTAGTTTTATTTTTTATAATTTTTAGAAGTCCCATCAAACGATGCCACTATGCTCCTGTACAGTCCGTCCGCCACCTACTCTTTATTGTCATTGTGATTCTAAAAATCGAATATAACTATCGTTGGAATTCATTTTTTATTTTCTAGAAGTCCCGTCAACCGTCGACAGCTCTGCAACTATACTCTTATGCACCCCGCCCGCTGCTTCTCCTTTTTATTGTCATTGAGATTTTAAAAATCAAATATGATTATCAATGGGTTTTTTTTACTTTCTAGAAGTCCCGGCAACCGCCTTACTTGTTTACTTCACGGTCTGCCTGATATCCCTTCTTTTAATCATTATTAGGATTCAATTTGGTGTTTTATTAACAATTTTTATATGTCGTACCAACCGCCACCACTCTACTCCTTTATAGGCCTGTTAATTAATTTATCTCGTCATGTGTTTTAGATGGTCTTTTCTTAACAACCGACACCTTGTAAGCTTCGATGCCTCGTGAGCATGGACTCGTTTCAATGATATTTTTTCCGTATTGAAAATCCAATTTGAAATTTATTTCATATTTTATTATAAATATAATTAATCTCATTTTGAATTTTAGATGGTCTGTGTAAAACTTATAACCTATAAGCCTTATATTTTAGGCTTAACTACATTAATTAACACTAAATTATGCTCCGAGGTGAATACAGCTCCGAGCTGAATACGTTTAAAATAAATTTACACGATTATGATTATAATTTGTTGTCAGTTGCCAATGTGGCCGGACGCTTCTGGGTGGGTTGCATGCATTGCTGGTCTGGAATGCTGGTTGCAGCTTTGCTTTGTTTGCTTTACCTATTGGGGGCGATGGTAATCAACTTTGCTTGTCACTTGTTCTGCCGCAGCAGCCCAAGTATATCTACTTCATATATCTGCGTTTTATATGTGCGGTAACAATGCATATATACTTGCGTTTTGGAATCATAACAAATTCTGTACCGTATTGTATCCCGCTTGAATTTTTGATACCGTATAGTAATCCAATTGGATTTTTCTAAACGGACAGGACTTTTTAATCTATATCAAAGCTCTATAATTCTTTATTTTTTCTATAGCAAATCTAAACCGTTGTAATCTAAATCTATTATAATCCAACGGTGTATAATTTTCTCTTTTTCTCCGATTAATGTGAGAATTTCTAGCCCCCACAGTGAACGTGGTGCCTTCTTTTCGAGCTGTCTTAATAATATAATAGAAGATATGAATGTGGGAAATGCTAGAATGACTAATATTGTGAAATAGAGGGAGTAATATGGAACGAAGGGGATTGTGTGATGTTGCCTTAAGACAAGTTGGACCACTACCTTGAGTTATGTGAGAAAAATCACACCTCTCTACGCGTGGTATTAACTAAGTACGCGTAATCAAAAAATAATATAAATTTCTTAGGGATATATATCTATCGTGAGAAAGTACTATTTGTGTCCCTACTAAAGATATCATCATCGCAAATGGGTGATAATATAATCCTCATTTGTAATGGGTATCCACTAGAGTATAAGTTTGGATGTCCATGAAAATGACCTTGACTCGAGACTTTAAGCTATTTTCACAGCTTATGCGAGAAAAATCAAGCTCTTCTCCGTGTGGCATCAACTACATACGCGCAATCGAAAAATCAATGGAATTAAATTTCTGGGTGATGTGTCTATCGTGAGACGAGTTATAATTAATATTGGTGTGTAGTGTGGTCTTGAAATTTGAGTGCATCATTTGATCCAGTAGAGTTTAAGTATGTGTGAATATGACTTAGCTTCAAGACAAGTTGGGCTATTTTCTCAGCTTGTGTGAGAAAAATCACACCTTTCTCCATATAGCACTAACCATATGGATGCACAATCGAAAAAAAAAATATTGATACTATTCGGTCAACGTATATGGTGAGAAGAAGTATCATAGGTGTTGAGTTAAGTTTAAGTATGTACATCACTTCATCCATTAGAGTTTAAATAATAAATATATAAGAATATGCGTTGGCTCATATGACATAAGTAATACTTCTAGAATAAAATACGTCATGTAATAATATTTAATTTTAAGTGTGATTTCTCAATTACATGGAATTCAACTAGTTTAAATAAAATATAACAGGGAAACTTTTAAGTTTCTGCTAACAAATGAGTTACTGAATTTCTACCTTGCGAGTTTGCGAGGACAATGTATAGAAGAATTATATGGATAGCGCCACACAAGAAAACTCATCTAATTTCCTTAGTGTACGTACTAGCACCTGTTTATATATAACGTACGAATCCGGGACTAGAGAGTCCCAGGACTGCCGTAAGATAGGGAGCGGCAGTCCCGGTTGGTCCATTTTTCTTTTTTTTTTTCCCTTCCAAATTGAGTGAGATGTATATACCTAAATCAAACACCAGATCCCCAAATCGTGTGCTATGCATATACCTAAATCAAACCCCAAATCAACGTAACATCCCAAATCATTCACATCACAAATACAAATCCTAAGTTACTTACACACAAATCAACTACATCACAAATCTTAAAAAAAATTACACACAAATCAAATGCATCATAGATCGATTATACATATCAGATCCATGCAATAAATCACAAATTGTAATAAAAGAAATTATACATCTCTTAATCACAAATTATTAAAAAAACGGAGAGGAGAACCGGCGCGTTGCCTCCCGCCTGCTGCCGCTCACCACGGCCGGCACGCTGTCGCCCCGTGCGCGGCCCCGCTGGCCGCCGCCGCGTGCTGCCCCACCACCCGCTAGCCGCTTGCTCGCCGACGCTGCCCGCCAGATGTGAGGAGGAGAGGGGAAGAGGAGGAAGGGGGGAGGAGAGGGGAGGGGAGGAAGGAAATACGAGGGATAGAAGGAGGATATGATCTTATCTAAATATTTTGGTGAGGAGGAAATATCATCTGGGACTTAACCGATCAGATATGGAGAGAAATATTTACTTCCGGTTGGTAGTATCAACCGGGACTACTTTAGTGCCGATTGATACCTCAGCCTCCTGACATGCCTCTGACAGGGGTTTGTGTTACTAACCGGGACTAAAGATCAAAATTTTTATAACCGGGACTACCGGTTCTTATTGGAACCGGTATTATTGTGGAAAACAGCCGATCCAGCAAAGATCATTTTTCTAGTAGTGTAGTTTTATCTCATGTCAAATTTATATTCGACTTTATTCAGTTAACGCGTTGTTAATTCGTGGTCGATCGATCTAGTTTGTAGGTGTAGCTGCCGCAAGATAATATGCACAAGCACATGGATCAGATTAATAGCTGTCGTTTTAGGCACTACGCCATTTATGTGGATCAGGACACATGTTGCAACTTGCAAGTGACATGACCGCAAGTATATGCATTGAACTAGTCTAAAAATAATAATAATAAAAATAGTCTAAAAAAGTAGTATATGCATTGAACCAGTCAAGTAAACGCAAGTAAACTAGGTACTTTGATAGTCTGATTGACACAGACATATGTAGCAACTAACCGGAGTGTGTATGGGGCACAACGTACGCATTCAAAACGTTGGGCATTCAGGCATTTCAGGGTTATGGGTCGTAAGTGAAAAAAAAATGTGACCACTAATGGAAAAACGCAGTTAATTTACAGCAAGACTTTTATACCCTTACCTTTAGTTAGTGGACCAAAAGATATAGCTAAGTGATAAAACGATGAAAAATTCCCAATAAATCCTAAGAGTACGCTTTAAAACTCAACATTATTAATTGTCTTTGAAACAAGCAAGCCTAATCAACAATTCTGATTTTTTTTTTGGTGGATGGCACATGGAGCAGTGTTGATATGCTTAGATCGAGGTCGTGCGTTTGGCGGCGACCTTCGTGAGCGTGGTTAGCGGACGGGAACCGCGGCAGGATGTGGTGTGTACTTTGTGGCAGTATCCTTGCCTAGTCGGCTTTGATGACTTTGGAGGTGGTAATATCTAGGTCAACGACTGATATTCTCCGATGTTACTCCAGTTCTATTTAGGTTCGATGTCAGATGTGAGCAAAATTCGATTAGCACAATAATCAGCCGCTGATTTCACAGAAGATAAGGACTTCATACAACACAAAATTCGATTAGCACAATAATCAACCACTGATTTCATAGAAGATAAAGACTTCATGCAACTTATAAGCCATTGAGCAGAAACAACGAATGGCTATGTAGATTCTCGCCAAACATAGATTAAAGTTTAGCAATACCTATTATCTTTATCTTAAGGTTGGTATTTTTAATTCGTAGCCATTCGATCCAGCCACAACCTACGTAATAATTGGTTATAGCTTCTTTGTAGCATATGTTGGGATGAATTTCATTTTAAAAAATGTGTATTGCTAGATTCCAAGAGCATAAAAATTTGCGAAAATTAGGTCACCTAAAAATTACACATTCATAAGCCTAAAACTGCATCGGTATGCAATATACAATTTTACTTATTTTTAACTATAATATTATTCTTATATATAGTTTTGATTTATTAATTTGTATCTGAGCTTGAGTACTTCTAAAAAAAAATTAAATCTTTATCTTTCATGTAGTTTGGTAATATTTATTTTTTAGGTTAGAATAGTTTACAAAGTAGCGTGCCTCGCTATAAGACATGTCACGTGTGTTTGTCATCTTTATATATGATATCCTTATAACATGCTTTAAGGCATGTTATACTTGAGTATGAAGTATGAATCTTTTCACTCCCCCCCCCCTCTCTTCTTATTCCCCTTTCCCTTTTAAAAGTTGCCAACTATGCAAGGTCAATTAGCAGCACTTCTCTCACGCATATGCAAGTAGCTAGTAGTGCATGTGCATGGGCGACTGACAAGGAGCATTCTCGTAAGAATAATCAACACCTTATCCCTATCGATGCCTATCGATGTACTCGTTTACTTGGAAGTTTGGAAGTTCACTTGCCGGTTCTTACATTCTAAACCCCGCGTGGTACGCGACGTTATTAGATACTACATATACTGTGTACCTATATGTTTCTCCCACTAGCTAGCTAATTAATTAATCTCTCGTACGTTTCTATATATATAAGTGACCGCGAGATCGATCCAAGCCACGGTATGCTATGAGCTACTGAAACCTACCTAGCTACTCAAAAGATCGATCTAGCTTGGCGAGCGTGAGGTGGTGAGGTACGTTTACGTACGTACGTATACTCAGCATGGCCGGGTACACCGAAATTTTGGACACCAACCATCACGAGCACAAGGTGTGCTTGGTTCGCAAGGACGAACCTTTCATTTGCTCTGGCTGCAAAGAGCTCGGCTTCGAGCTCCGGTACGCTTGCCACACTGCGGGCTGCAACCATCAGTACCACAGGTCCTGTACACTGCAGCCTCTCAACACTCGCGTGCCAGCTCCCTTCTACAAGCACGACTTCTTCTTCTTCAAGTCGGTCAGTACAGCTGGTGCCCGTTGCGAGGCATGCGCTGCTGAGGTCTCCGCTCTCTTATTCTTAATTACTAATTCCTCCTGGCAAGGTTTATGATTAGATATACTTAAGTCTGGCTTGTATATATTTATATTTGCACGTATTTCGAATAACATAAATACATATTTAAAAACCAAAGTAATTTTGAATAAGATAAATGCATATTTAAAAAAAATCAAAGGAGTCATCCATCATAAAATTAAGCCGGTGATAATACCTCCGAAACATGAGAAACTATTTTTATCCCTTGAGGGATGTTCCCTCATTGTTTATATGTTACTTATGTTACTTAAATAGTTATGAAAAAAATTGAGAAGATATATTAACATGTGATATACCACTCTACAAACATGTAAGTTTAAATTCAACTTATGCATCTCGCAAAAAAATTAAATTATAGCTAGTTAACATATATTCACAGTCAATTTTATTTTTTTTCTTTGCTAGATATAGAAATTGAATTTGAACTTGCATGTTCGTGGAGTGATATATCACATGTTAATATATCTTCTCTTTTTTTTTAAATTTTTTTCATAATTATTTAAGTGACATACAAACAACGATGAGACATCTCCTCGAGTTATCAGAATCCACTCCCCCGAAACATATGTTGATGTTTCTTTCCTTGGATGGCGAGGCATGCGCTACTGAGGTCCTCGCTCTCTCCATTCTTAATACTTCCTTCCGGCAAGGTTGACCTTGACTGCAAATTAATACTCTCTATGACTTTTTAGTAAAGAACGTCGTTTTGATTTTTTACATAGATTTCATCATTTGACTTATTAAAATTTTATATAATTATGATTTCTTTATTATGGTTTGGTTTATGATTACAGTTACTTAAGTATGACTTGTATTTTTACATATTTGTACATATTTTGAATAAGGTAAATGCATATTAAAAAAAGAGACGTCATCCGATCCATTGTAAAAGCCGGCGATAATACCTCCAAAACATATGGAGTTGTTTCTTTTCTTTGGATGTCCCTCGTTTCTTACATATCATCCAAACAATATAAATTATTTTTGACAACATTAATCAATATGTAATATATATATATATATCATTATGTAAACATGTAAGTTTAAATTTGACTCATACAAGTTGAAAAAAAGATAATGAAACTAACTAGCAAGCTAGTGTATTGTTCACATATTCACAGTCATATTTATTATTTCTATTCCAACTTAATTTGTATATAGGTTGAATTTAACTTTAATGTTTCTGAAATAACATACCACCTTTGATCTATATTATTAGATATATTTTTTTATTTAAGATGGCATCGAAGAAACGATGCCTTAAGGAGAAAAATGACTTTCCATGAAATATATATGTATTCACGAAAATAGTATTAGTAGATTTTTTTTCCTCAAAACTACTCCTTCAATTTAATCTTTTAGAAGAATAAAGATTAAAAGGTGCTAGCCATATACATTGAGAATAAAAAAGTTGAGAAGATATATTAATATGTGATATATCACTCCACAAACATGCAAGTTCAAATTCAATATAGAAGTTGAATTTGAACTTACATGGTTTAATTTGTTTTTTTCGTTGCGAGGTGTAGAAGTTGAATTTGAACTTACATATTTGTAGAGTGATATATATATCACATGTTAATACATCTTCTCAAATTTTTTCAATTTTTTATAGCTATTTGGGTAATATATAAATAACGAGAGGATATCCTCTCGATGAAAATAGTTTCCCAGTAGAAAACCCTTTCCCGCCGTTAATTTACACCATGCTTTAGGAAGCTCGCAGGTGCGAGGTTACGTGTACTACTGCCCGGACAAGAAGGTCAGCCTGCACCCTTGCTGCGCAGATCTCCCCCGCGTGATAACCACCGAGACGGTGCAGCTGAAACTGGAGAGGAAGATCACCAAGAAATGCGGCATGTGCCACGAGCGGAATCAGGGGAGCTTCAGCAACCCATGGGCCTACGCCTCCAGCGAGAAGATGATCCAGCTGCACGTCGCCTGCGTCCGGAAAGCTCTCGTTTCGCAGTTCGAGTCGAGGCTTTACGGCGTGCAAAAGCCGAAGATGCTGCTGCCGCCGCCGCCTGCTGCTGGAGCAAGCGCTGCTTCTTCAACTAGTAGTTCGACTGCCATTGTGGAATGCAACAGCTTCCCCGTGCTCGAGGTGGATAAGTACCGGAGGAAATCGGCCGGGTTCCTCGATACGTTCAGGCGGATCGTCAGGGCAGTCATGGCCATGGTCTCGGCGGTGATCACCGGGAACCATTTGGAGATATACATGGCTTTCATAGAATTCTTCAAACCGAACTGAGCTGACAACATTTGCATCTTTGCGGTTTGGAGCTCGTGTGTTTGTGCGCAGCACCAGTTTCTCCCTTTAAATTATAGATTTGCTTTCAGAACTTGAAAATGGGTTTGGGTGGTGTGTGGTGGTTCTTGCAAGTTGTAATAAGGGGGAAAAAAAGGAACACATTTGTTCGTACAATTTTCAACATATATGTATAAGACGATCAGTTTAACTGGATAAGGTGGTTGTTTAAGCTGCAGAGATGTTTTTGGATTTTGAGTTATGACAACATGCAAATGATTTTCCGAATGTAAATTATAATTAAATTTTCTTTCAGAACTTGAAAATGGGTGGTGTAAAAAAAAACATATTCTTCATGCAAGGGAACCGTGAATAGTTCAAAGTATAGCTCAGGTGACATGGTGCGAGGGTGTTCGCCCAGTCAACCTGGGTCCTGGTTTTGAATCCTAAATCAGACTTGTCGGGCCTGTTCACTTTAATGTCATTTTCAACCTTACCAAGTTTTAATAAAGTTGCCAAAAAAATGGCTACATTTAGTTTGTAGCTAAATTTTGGTAACTATATAAAAAATCCTGCCAAAATTTTGGCAAGTTACCAAAATTTTCGCAATGCCAAAATTTGGTAAGGTTTTTTTTTTATCAAAGTGAATAGGCCCGTCATCTCATGGTGTTTCTTGTACCCCTTATTCTTAATACAAAGATAGCCAGCTCCGTTATTCCTCTTTTTTTTTTTTGACCAAACGTTATTCCTCTTTTGTTTCCAAAAAAAAAAGGAAGCGCAATCTGGCATACATGCATGCAAACACGAACCACTTAACAGTTGGAACATCTGAAAACCCCGGCCAGCCAGATGCTGAATCAACTGTCGATCATGCCGCTGATAGGATTTCGTTAGAAATAGATACACACACATATATGCATACACTGATACACAAAAGCTTGACCTGGAGAATCAGGCCAGAGTATCAGGTTGAGTTGGGACTGTGGGAGCTAGTACAATCACAGAGTCGTTCTCAAAAACTGTACAATGAAGTAGAGAACGGCCAGGAAAAGCGCAATCTGGTACACATCTTGGTTCAATCCATCATCCGGCCTTTGGAAGAACTGCAATATTGAACACAAAAGCTCAAAAAGTTGAAAACACTATCACTGGATAGCTACAGATAAGTGGGTGGGTTTATATAAAGTGACATCAATTTTTGCAATGTATGATTCATGTACCTTAGTAGGATCCCCTGAGGGATCTGGATAAACCTCCAAGTTCTCATCTTTCTTTGATGATAGCCGAGATGCTGTACCCTTTGCAGCTTCGATTGTGTCCTTTCCGGCTTCAACAGTGGAGAAGGCCCTCCTGGACAACCAAAAGTAGGCCTGGGCAGGAGGAGACGAGGCAGAGAGGTCCCATGAGTCGACCTGTTCGAGCACTTGGCCGCTAATCTGGTTCAATACGAACTGTGAGGTAACAGAGACGATCAGGTCTCCTCCGATGGTTGCGAAGATTGGATTCTTAGGTTTGCCTCTGAATGTCCATTTGATGGTCAGGTTGCTTGTCGATTGCATTGACATTTCCTGGACTGTCTGACGCAATAACACGAATGCTGATTAGATAGTCAGACTGGAATCAATCCAAACTCATGAGCATGCCAATGTGAAATAAGGAGAGAGGCATTCTTTGTTTGAATTTGAACTGACAAAGTCCTTTTTCTTTTGGACAGTATGTTATGCAACTTGTTTGGGTTAGATATCTTACAACAGAGTTCTAACTTCATGGATATGGTATAGAATTGCAGCAATCCTTACCACTGTAGGGTTTTCGAGTGCCTTGGTGATCCACAATGGCCTCTTGTACTTCTCCCGTCCAACAAATGTTCTGACCGGGTCCTGAAAAAAAAAGAAAGGCACGAAACCACAAGGTGATGTCAAGTAGCTCATCAGTTATTGTATCTGCATCTGGACATCCTAATCTGTCACTAGTTCAGTAGTTTGTTTCTTGCTGTTGTTTGAGTGGTACTTTCGTTGCTATTCTTCTTAATATAAAATCAGCATCAGCCTGGCTAAAACTTCTGAAAATGGAGGCATGTTACCTACTTAAACATTCATCAGATTTCCTCGGGGAAAAAAAACATTCATCAGCTAACAGCAGTATTTTGTGTTGGTTCATAGAGCTTTTGCAAGAGCTTCTCGGGGTCTACTCTGTGCCTGAAACTATTCTTGTTGGTGTTGCTAAACCTTCGGAGCGAATACGCAAAAGCGTTACTCGCTGATTGAAATGGCATAGCTCTATTTTTCCCTTCCAAGAAAAAAAAAACAGATAGTACTGTTAAAAAAAAAACTACAGATAGTGTTTGCCACAGTTCATGGAATCCCATGATCATATCAGACTCGTAGCTTACATGTTTGCTAGATTAACTTGAAAGGAGATGCAAAGCATTGGTGCGAGATTGGTACCAAATTAATGTCTGAATTACTGATAACACATAGTACGGAGTAGCAGTAAAGTGGTAATTGGTGGTACAAGGGTGATGCGCACACCTTGTATTTGACGGAGACGGCGTAGCAGGTGAAGGCGCGGTTGTCGTCGCGGAGGTCGAGGATGTCGCGGGCGAGCTGCCTCGCGGTGGCCTCCACGTAGGGGCTGCTTATGCACTCGAAGTCGTTGCAGAGCTCCCCGAAGTCCATCCCGTCCACCAGCTTGTCCGTCTGCGACCTCTCCTCCGCACCATCTCCGGCAGCCGTCTCTACCTCCTTGGAATCATCCACAACTGCAATCACGCACAGAGCCGGGAGTTAATTAGATCACGTACGTGCGAGCTGGACCGCACGGCGAGATCGCATTGGTGAGATGAGATCTTCACCGTGCAGGGGGGCGAGGCGGCGTTGGAGCGCGGGAGCATGGCGGCGGGAGAGGAAGCCGGTGACGGCGGCGGGGATGCCTCGCCGTCGCCGTCGCCGGGGGGAGGAGGAGGGGGAAAGGGTGCGGGAGGAGAAGAGAGCGGCGGCGGTGGCGGTGGCGGTGGCCATTGGTGGCCCATGGCGCGGTCGGCGTGGCGGGACGTGAAAAGGCGGGAGGATAAGGCGCGGCGCTCCACGGCCTCTCGTTGCCACATGTGGCCTCCGCTCCATTAGCCCTGGCCCAACAACTGCTAGTCCATTCCATTTCTCATTTCTCTTCTATTTTTCCTCAATTTTTTTAAGGGAAAACAAAATTGGCCCGTGCCAACTACTATAGGTCTAGTATTTTCTAGTGGACTGCCTTCTTCTAGGCCCAACGAGGAAGATGTATCCCAGGATGGGCATGACTTTCCTGAGCTTTCACGTGCCTCTAGCTTCGTGTTTTGTTGAAGAACACAATGTTTTCTTATAGAAACTGTTCTAGAAAATCATGCGTCACTTATGTAATTCTTGTATTCTGCCCTCTCTGTTTCATATTCATTTTACGAGTTACTTTGATTAAGTATATAAAAAATATCATAGTATTTTCAACACAAAACAAACGTATTATTGTAACATATTGAATATTAGATTTGATAAAACTAATTTAATGTATTAGATATTGCTGAATTTATTTATAAATTTGATCAAACTTAAAAAGTCAAAGGTACATGTAATATGAAACAGAGAAAGCAGATGGGACTGCAAATGGGAGATGATTTTGTGGATGAAGTATAGGTCCTGTTTGGGGGAGCTTTTAGCAGCTGCAGCTTCTCCTAGAATCTTCAGTTGCCAGAAGCTCCCCCAAACAGTTCATCTTTTAATCTAGATTTTGAGAATCTGTAGTTGTAGAATCTGAAAAATGAACTAGAAGCTAGAAGCTGGGACCCAGCTTCTCCAGATTCTCACTAGCTAGCTTCTCAGCAGCTCATTCTCAGAATCTTAAGCTCCCCAAACAGGCCCATAGACACGAAGAATACCTCTGTTGCTCCAAAACTGCCCAGTTTACGGACAACAAATCGAAAGATGCACCTGTGATCCGGGCTACATGCAACAGATAAAATATACTTGCATCGAAGAGTACTTTACTCCTGGAGGTAATCATATACAGTATGGTGATAAAGTAGTGAGTTGTCCTCTTTGTAGTGGAGGAGGTAGTAGCATTTGTCGCAGAAATAACAGGGATTGTTCAGAGTCCACTTGTCGTCCACCGTCATCTTCGTGGCATGGAAGATCTGGCACACCGAACACTTCTGTAGCCGCCTCTGCATCTGGAATGTCATGAGAGGGTATTCCGCTTGGTTCTGTGTGTCCTCCGGGTGGATCAACCTCATGTCCCTGATCACAATCATGTGTTTGCAGTTTCCCTGAAAACGTATGTGCAGGGTATTGTCAGAAACATGGGGGAAAGGGTTGTAGATCTCTACCTCAACCATCATACATTACTACAGCTTCAAGTTAATCGATTTTAGATTTCATCACAAAACATAGATAACAAACAACACAAGGTTTGATTGTGACTAAATGACGATTTGATTTCCACAAAAAAAGTGATGCAGAAACATCACAACAATAAAGGCATAAGGAGAATAGATAAGAACCTGATGACAGTAGAGGTACCCAGCACCGAGACGGAAGTTCAGATCAGAAAAGCGAGTCTTTTCCATTTTTGCAGATTTAAAATCAGGAACATTTGAAACATTCAAACCCATCAGTAAATCCTTTTGTCGTTTCTTCAGCACACCAGAAGTAATGGCATCCCACTTCTCTTCCGCCTCATTTCTGGAATTTTTAATCCAGTCAAGTATAGGTTTACTATAATCAACAGTAGAACGCCTTGTGTCATTATAGAATGTGTCCTGACAATAGAGAGCGTTGATTAATACAGTTGCAATTCTTTAAGAACACACAGCAAATTTCTGTTCACAGATGCATACCTCAATAAGAAAATAACCAGAATGAACGTGTTGCTTTGCCACATTCATCAGCTTGTCTTTGAAACAGTAAATATTGTCTCTAAGATCTGTAAGGAGCTGGCTTCCCAACACTAGAAATTCCTGGCTCTGCAAGGAAAGGAGATCACCAAAAAATTTATTCCCCACATATTTCACCCTACAAATAAGTATACCAAAAAATATATGTATATAAGTCATTACTTTCACAGAGCCATATCTCTTCTCATAAACTTCCACACACAGAAGTACTTCTGGATAGACTACAGGTCTGTGCTCCCCAGGTTTGAAAGTTTTGTTCTGGGATAACAAAAATGGTTAGTGTGAAATTTGAGACAAATGAGCCACTTGTGTAAAAGAGCAAATGAAATAGGCTATAGTTTTTAATGCAAACCTTCCAAGTTGTGCTGATGTACCTAAGAGATTTTGCAACATCAACTTTCTCAGCTGATGGCTTAGAAACTTTGGCCAACACAGAATCACCACTGCGTTCAAAAAAATATGTTTATAGAAGGCTGTAATGAAAACAATATAACAGATAAAATCAAATCATCTAGTTATGGCCATAAGTGCATAGCCTGGACAGCTGTATTTTATACTTATCTTATTCTCTAGTGGCTCAGTTATAAAAAGGAAGCAAACTATTCCTACCGGGCATACCATATATGATTTACATAAATGGGCTAATAAATAGGATACATGAGTAAATGTATGGGCTAATCAAAATCCAGTATTAAGGGGAGGTAAATTTCTATACCTAGTTAGTTCAGCCAGCACAGAAGTACCAATTTTTTACTGAAACATGAATCTAGCCAAACTGGGCTGCATCCTGCTATCATCTGAACCACAAAGAACGATTTACATTACTTTTACACTGTTATTTGCCACAGCCCATCAGTAAAAGTTCAAATTACTTATCAACAGAAATTCCACAGCTCTTCAGCAAAGCTGTGATAACACCATCCCATTCGGTAGAAAATTAAATAATATATATCTATGAGCTTATGGCACAATCAGAAAATGGAATTACTAACAATACATACCCACAAATCAAGGTCAAATAAATACATGCCCACAAAGTTAACTGTTTTACCTGAATGAGTGCAAGCTGGCTGCATGTTTGTCTTCCTCTTGTTTGGCCTTAATTTCTGCCATCTTCACTGCTTTAGTAAGATAGCTCCCCTAGTTATAGCCATGCCACAACATATGATGACGCAAAACCATGGTCAGATTTTCCAGAGATTAACAATAGATGCAAGAAGAAGAGGGAAATATGTATATATATTTTTTTAGAGAAAACTACTATACAAGATAAATTCATCAGAAAATGCATGCAATTAAGCAGAGATGCAACATTAGGGTAAGGCATACTTGTAAAATATGTGCTCGAACTTCTCTATCAAAATGCCTGCCTCTCTTTTTGCCCTTTCCGCATTTTGTATCTCCATCTGCGCCTGCAGCATCATGTGAAACAACTTCCAGATCCTCGACAGGTGGTACAGACTCATGTGAAACAACTTCCAGATTCTCGCCTAATGAATTTGAAGTGGTATTTCCACCTTTTTTCATTCTTCCTCTGGATTTCCCCTTCATGCCACCTGTTTTCCCTTCGATGCCTTGTTGTGGTACGTATGGTACAACTGCCGTGTCAACAGATGGTCCAGGTATCTCCGTTTCAACTGACGAATTTAAGGTCGGAGTGACATTTTTTCGCTTCCTGCCTCTAGTTTCCCCTTTTACCCCTCTTGTTTTACCGTTGTTTCCATGCACATGTGGTATGCTTGCCGTATCCTCAGTAGGTGATCTGGAAGTCTCTCTCTCACCTGATGAGCTTGATGTGATAGCACCATTTCCAAAGGTGGAACTAGCTGACATTCTGCATGTGATAGTTCGAAAGAACATCAGACCCTATCATTTTGTGAGCCACATAAGACATGAATATTAAATATAATAATATGAAAAGAAAATTTAGATGCCAGGAATTCAGCTACAAGCCATAAAAATTGAAAAGAGATGATTTGGTGCATAAAGTGCAAACCGCTGTTCCATGCTACCAATTCACAATAGAACTTTCTTTATGAGTTGGCATGGAATGACGCTATCCAACAATTAACCGTCCGTGTTGCATCTAATTCCAACTCGCATAAAAGAAGCACCAATCAAGCAAAAATAGCTTACCCTCCATCAATCCTCTGATCCTCCAGCTGTGACAAAGCAGTGGAATCCCAGCCCTCCTAAAAACACCAAATAACAGAGACATCACATCAAAATATTGTTCACAAAACTAGAACTACAATTAAGCACATTAGCATAAGCTCGATAGGAACGGTCACCTCCATAGCCTCCCGGAGAGCGCGCTCCACCAGCTCCTCCTCTGAGAGGACCCTCAACTCATCTACGCTGCAGAATCCACAAAATGTACAAACCAGAACACGAATAAGCATATGAACAACATGACAGACACTGGGGGATTTCTCCACCTGATACGGCGGAATTTGGGGGGCTTACCAGAGCTCTTCGTCGAATTCATCACCAGGATCGCCCAATTCATCTTTCAGCGACTGCTCGCAAAGTAACACAGAACGCGATTACACCAAAGCAAGGGCACGGATTGAAGAGCTAGGGTTTGGCGGTGTGCTCAAGGGGATTCGAACCTGCAGCTCGTGGAGCGCGGAGGACATGAACTCGGGGACCGTGGAGACGGGTCCGACCATGAAGGGGACGAACACGGGCCCGCCACGAGCGAAGGGCATGCGCCGCTGCTCGCCGGCGGCAGAGCTCTCCGCCTCCTCCCCCGCCGCCGCCGCCGCCATCGCCGTGTGTCCGCCTCTTTCGCTGGTTGGGGGGGTTTTCGGCGCCAATGCGGTGGGAAGAAGGCTAAAAGCTACTGGGCCCAGTATAAAGCCCAATATGAAGAATCACTACTGGGCCGTCGTCGTCTCCGTCGAGTATCGTCTCGCTCCAGAGCACTCGGCTGGCGGGCGAATTTTTTTTTTAATATTTACAGAAATAATCTATCGACCAAAAAAATTGCAGAAATAGCCCCTGCCGCCCCAATGGTGGGCGGCAAGCTGACGTGGCAGACGGTGGGTCGACCACGCCGTCTGCCGCCGTCGGCCAAAATTGCGATTAGACCCTAGGGCGGCAAGGGGCTAATTGCAATTTTGGCCGCCCATAAAGAGCTTGCGGCCGTAATTTTTTCATCTGGGTCCCTTGCCGCCCCAATAGAGAGCGACAAGGGACCCAAATGAAAAAAGTACGGCCAAAAGATATTTCTATGTTATGTTAATAATAAATAAAGAAGTATTTATTGGTAAAACTTGTTAATATTGTTATAAAAATGTATTGAAGTTGGTTGTTGCGCAATTTCATATGTTAAGTGAGGTATTATTTTGTACCTTATTCGATGTATTAGTACTCAGATAATTTATATAGGCCTATCGCAGTCTGGGTCATAGAAACATTATATGGACTTAAACAAGGAGAATTATGTAACATGAAGAAATAGTAGTACAATTTGAACATGATACAACTATTTCCATTGCGGTTACATAGATGATATTAGATTCGAACTAGGAGGGAGGTAGTGCAATAGTTGAACACAACGACGATATAGTAATGGGACAAGGAAGCATGACAGTAGAAATTTCAATATGCTAAGTTGTCCGATAATAGCTAACCCCTACGTGAGGATCCCTCTCCTCTCTCAAACCGCGCTTTAGTAACCCTGTATTGCTCTGGTAGTTCAAGCTGCACAACACGGCTAGGTGGAGTTAGAACCCTTCTGGTATCTATCCATTCTCTGTATTGACATCTCCTTGGTGGTTCCTGGGAGGAAAGATTAAATGTAAAGCAAGCAAAGTTAGTAAATGTTGTGAGAAAATAAGGATTCATGTAATCAAAATATTCTTACCATGAAATCGTCGTCAAGAATATTTGGACAAACAAAGAACCTTCGACCCAATGTTGTAGGATTTATGGAACAAAGAACCTGACAACGATCACCACACCTGCATCTTGGACGGGCTTCCCATGGAGGGAGTGCCGTAGTTAGCACCCGCCAGTCGCTCTGTTGTTCACGACATTGTCGTTCATAAGCCGCTTTTCTCTGTAAGTATTGCTCAGTACTTTCGGATGCGAAATACCAGCAACCTTCTTGTAAACAAGTGGTTAGGTCGAGAACGGGATTTTCTGTATCGACCCACTCGATGTATGCACAAGCCGTAGTGCGGGTCTGCCGAATAGAGTAGTGTTACGAAGAATAAAGCGATTGCCCATACGGAATGAATAAGCATATGCAGATAATAAAATACCTCACGGTCATAGTTAGGGCACCTAAAAAAGCGCCTTCCTCGAATATCAGGATTCCTCGAAGCCATTAATTGGCATCGATCACCGCATAGGCAGAGAGGACGCTGGCACCAAGGTGGTAGTAGGTATACACAAGGATCGCTACGCCAGTTTGGATCCTCAACACCCCGGCGTCTAGCCATTGACGAAAGCCGGTTGGATTTGTAATGAAGCAAGTGGGGAAGAGAGTACTGAATGTGACTGAGTTCTGAAAGATTGTGAGGCCTCACTCGTTAAGGCGACTTATATAGGCGCAAAAAATCGAGTGATACCCCTGACATGTGAACGTGGTGGGGTATGGTGGGTACGCCTGATTGGCGCCGAAAGTTACATGCATGATCGGCGCCGAAAGTTACATTGGTCGTATGCGCCAAATGGCGGGCAAATATCGTATCGCACGCGAATAAAGGAGGCTGCATCGGTGCGGCAGAAAGTAGTCATGCATGCGCCGAAAGGTATCGTGCATGCGCCGAAAGGTATCGTGCACATATAACAACAACGTAGTCATTACACAAGCATACAGTACTGAAAAGTGAAGCAAATAAACAAAGAGAAGATTGCTCTACTGGCCCTGCCCCGCGCCGCGACCACGCTTGGTCCTCCGGGCCTGTGCTCGCACGTAGTCCTGGGAGTAGGTGAAACGATCCGGTGGCACAGCACGGGTAGCACGAGTGTCCCGCGGAGGAGTGGCCTGCGCCTGGTCCTGCGTCTGCACCGGCGGTGCGCCTCCCAGCTGTGAGGGGCCGATGACATCCTCTGTCGAGCCTGAAGCGAAGTCGAAGTCAAAGTCAGTGATGTCGAAGAGCAAGGTGGAAGGCAGCAAGCGGTCCGACGAGGTCCCAGCATGGTCCAGTGGTGGACCCTGACTCGACGTGCCGGCTGCCTGTGATGAAGTCCCGGTGTACTGCCAGAACTGCGCTAAGTGCGAGGTCGACGCAGCTGCCTGAGACGCTGACCTTGCAGCCTGGGAGAAGTGGGCGGCCTGCGTCATAGCGAACTGGGCGAAACCTACACATCGACAACGGGACCCTTGTAAGCTAAGACATAATGCATGTAAATTGATTGTCGAAGTAATGTTGTTTTTTTAAGTACCTGTGGGGGGCACAACAGAAGGCCTAGCCGAGGAAGGCGGGGTGCTGAACGGTGCACGAAACCCTGAAGCAATCGGCAGGTGAAACGGCTCACTTATATGTGCGAGGCATGTACAGAAATAGTAATAAAAATACTTACCTCCGTGCGGAGGGGGAGTCGGCCTAGGAACGTGCGCAGCTGGACGGGGACCAGTCAGTACGGGTGGCCGCTGTACAGCTGCGTCTGCCCGAGCAACGTCGTCTGCACGACAGGTGAGCACTCGGAGAATCGAGCGCATCGACTCCACCATCCGCGTGTACGTCGTCAGGTGCTCCTCTACGGGTACCGGAATCCCCGCGCCTAAATGTTGGATCGTCGTTGAACCATCAACGACGACCCGGTTGATGTCGTCGACCTGCATGGTTAATTTGTTCGTAAATATTCGTAAAATTTGATGAAGAGAAAGACATGAAAACATAAAGGAATGGTGCGATGCAGGGTACTCACAGCACGAGCGAAGTCCTGGTCGTGGTGCCTGGCGTAGAGGTCTCTAGTGCTCGCAACGTGGGGCTGCTGCTCCAAGGGAGCGAAGGTGACCCTAGTACGGGTGCGTGGCTGGTACCAGCGTAGGTAGGCCTGGTACGCCTCCTCAGTGTGTGGCTCTCCCTCGTGGTCCACGACCTCCTCGGTTGCGAGGAACCAGTCCTCAACAAAAGTCGCCAACGTTACTAGTGCGAAACGTGCCGTCAGATCGTCCTACCAGTCCACAGCCGTGGTCACTGGCCCAACAGCGTCTCCCGCGAGCGGTAGCCCCAACAAGTACGATACGTCCTGCAGGGTAGGGGCTACCTCACCGCACGGCAAGTGAAAAGTGTGTGACTCTGGCCTCCATCGGTCGACCAAAGCTGCTAGGAGGGACCTGTCCACAGTCTATTGTCTGGCCGGGTCCGCGTCGCCGGCGGCAGCCTCCACCAGCCGACACATCGGTAGGAGGCCGGCCTCACGCAGCCTGCAATAACAAATTAATATGTCATTATAAAAAATATTACAGCGCAACTAACTTATAGTAATACACTGTTCGTACCTCTCGACAAAGGAGTCGTGAACCGTGAGTAGCTCACCGCACGTCCGTGCCCGGAACGTCCCAAGCTGAGCCCCCTGCACCGCAGTAAGGTGAGACCGGTGTCGGTGATCTATCGCCGGGTCCAACAACTGAGGTGTATACTGACGTGCCATCTCTGAAAAATATAGTGTTTCGTGTTAGAACAATTCAGAAAGTAGTAATGTAAAACAAAAGATAATTTGCAAAATTATGAAATAGTAATAAAATCATGAGAATAATTATGTACAACAAGAGTACAGGCTATTTAAATATAGCAAACGTTACTAATGGTACACTCCGATGACGTGCAATTTAACATATATGTAGAGCTCGATAATATAACATAACATTACGTGTCGAAGTCCGACATACATCAGCATACCTAAAGACGTTAGGCGCCTTAGTCCGACGTTACATCACGAGACCAAAAGACATGACATGCCGAAGTCTGACATTACACGACGAAACATAGAACATAAGAACTACACCACGGAGCCAGACGTGGCACGACGACGCCTAGGACGTGGTCGAGTGGAGGTAGTGCCTTCACCCGTAGGGCGAGCTCCATCTGCTGTTGATCCTGATAGTCCTGCCTCCGCCGCACTTGGTTTCTCCTTGTCTTTAGGACAATGCTTGTAGGTGTGCCCATGTTCATCGCATTTGCTGCAACGCTTCACCCTGCCAGCCTCCGACTCGTCCATATCGTTGCGGATGCGACGAGTCCTCCTCCTTCCAGCCTTGCCTCGGAGCTTCGATGGGTCAGGAATATTGAGTACTTCATCGTTAGTCTCTGTGAACTCCCCAGCTATGCCGAACCCATAAATCTCGCCGCTCCATGTATGATATATTGCTTGCTTACTGAAGTACTATGACACATATATTGCATCTGGTATGCCACACTCCGCTGCGGCAGCAATGACATGGGTGCATGGCCTGTGGAGCAGCTTCGGCTTTGCACAAGAGCAATGACATGTGCCGTCGGCTTTGAGAACACACTCCTGCTTCACTCTCTTGCGGTAGATACTCATGCCTGCCTTATCTTGACATAGTATCTCAAACCTGTGCTGTTGGGTACCTTGCACTAGAGCTCGATGTTTCATGGCCTTTTTATGCAACTCCTCTAGCTTTTTCTGCATGAAAGCTCCAAACAAAATGCTGTTATTCGGCATAGAGGGAAGAACTGCCTGGAACCGATCCCTAAAATACCTGCATGTCCCATGTAAAATGAACTCCACTATGCCAACTAGTGGCAGTCCACGGACACCGCGCATCACCCAGTTGTAAACTTCTGCCAAATTTGTTGTCATTATTCCATATCTAGCACCACCTGTGTCATACGCCTTGGCCCATTTCTCTTTTGGTTCATGCAGAATCCACTGAGAAAATTTCCGAATCTCCAATCCAGTTCTTCTAACCAATGTTGGACTATCCGTTGGGAGAGGTCCAAGAGCTTGAGGAGGGTCAGCAACGGCGGTCGATGGAGCTGCTGCACGCTGATCACTGCATTTGGCTGTCAACTCATCTAATCTCTTCCAAAGCTCATTGAATTTTTTCTCCTGGTTATGATTGCACAGCCTCTTGAACATGTTCATGAGCTCCTTGTTCTTGAATTGCTTGAAGAAATCAGCCCCCATATGACGCATGCCCCACCTACTCTATACATCTTCCCAAACACCGGGGTATCCTCGTTCCATACTCCCAAACTGCAACTCTTCTATCGCTCGCAGAATGCCAACGTGCCTATCATGTATCATGCTCACATTTGGCCTCATACCAACAACTTTTGTTTTAACCAATTTCAGGAACCAGTACCAGCTGTCGGTATTCTCACTCTCAACAAAAGCAAATGCCAAGGGCAATACCTGATTGTTCCCATCTACCCCTATTGCTGTTAGTATCTGGCCCCGATACTTTCCTGTCAAGAATGTCCCATCAATGCAGAGAACAGGACGACAGTTCACGAATGCTATCTTGCATGCATGTAGAGCTAAGAACGCCCTTTGCAGCACACTCTTGCCAGGATGTTCAATTGAGGGGAATTTCTTCACTTCGTAAGAGCTCTCAGGGTTTCTTTCCTCGATAACACCAAGCAGGCGTGGCAAATTGTCATACGAGGCTTCGTAAGTTCCAAATCTCATCTCTATTATTTTCTGTTTGGCCCTCCAGGCCTTGGCATAGCTAATAGTATACTTGTATGTCTCTTCGATGTGTCGGATTATTGACCTTGGTTCATATGTGAGATTATCGATGACATGCGCATACATCTCAGATGCAACAAATGCACATGTAATGTTCCTGTGGTATTTCTGAACACCAGGTAGAAAACATGTATGCTTGGTAACGACTGACACTGTCCAATAATCCTTCCATTTCCCCTTATATGCGTGCACTCTCCAGGGACAACCATCTTTTTTCTTAACACACCGAACTTCATATTGCGACCGGTTCGACTTGGCAACCCAAAACTCTCTATGAAGTGACACTGCAAAATGTTTTACTGCTTCCTTCATATCTTCTTCTCTACTATAAATCGCTCCCTGAATAACCTCATTTTCTTTGTGCTCCCATCTCACACTATCCTCTTCAGAGACGATCAGCCCAGAAAAATCCTCACTAGCCCATTCTGCTGGATTAATATCCGTCTCATCATCTGACGAATCACCTTCCTCTACACGCTCGTTGTCAGAATCCTCCCTCTCCATTTCATCCACAATGGCACCGACAGTCTCCCCCTCGTCGGCCACTTCACCTGGTTGAATGCCCACTGGAGCTACTACGCCCCCGTCCTCTCGTGCGTTGACCTCCTCCACAGAAGTCTCATTTACTTCAGCACTTGGTCCCTCGCCATCATCCATGTTCATCTGCACACCTGGATCCTTCGGGTGAACAAACGGAACCAAAGCTAGAGGCCACCCGCGTTGCAATGCATTTTCCAAATACCATCTCCACACTCGAGAGTTTTGAACTGGCATTAGTTCCCAATAAAAACCCTCAGTTGCCCGACTTACTATAACATTGATTGTTATGTCACTTGTCTGTGGATCAACTCTCAAGCCCCTCATTAACTATCCTTTTATAGAAGGTACACTCCTCTCAGCCGGTCTATCAATTCCCCTTTCTGATACAATAAAATCTGACAGATCTACCCCAGTTGGCCCGTAACGGACGTTTCCTGGTCCATGGTAAACTTGGAATATTTGTTTGTTCGACATATCTGTCAATGAAATAACTAGATCATATTACTCTTTCATGCAATAAACATCTACAACGTAATATCTTCTTGTGTAAGCCAATGCAACGGTAATGTATTGATTCCAAACTAGCAGATCTACGTAGTTACCGATATCTACAATACGCACTTCTAGATTAGTACAACTAAAACCCTAAAAATATAATGCATTTATTCAAACAAATTTTTAAAGAATACACACTATTTAACTCAATAGTCACATATAGGATCTATGAATATTACCTGAAATCGGCGTCTGAATCTGGCAGGGCTTCGCCCCTTCTTCTCTTCTCCTCCCCTCTCTTCTTTTTTTTTTCACTGGAATTGAGGAGGGAAGAATGAGGGCTGGGGGCTAGGCGGCAGGCCTTTTATAGGCAGCGAGGCCTGCCGCCCGGCTAGAGGGCGGCAAGGGGCCGCCTGCAAAATGGCCGGCCCCGACTGGCTTTTTTGCATTCGGGCCCCTTGCCGCCCCACCAGAGGGCGGCAAGGGTTTTCCTGCAAAAAAACCCTCCCTCCGTCACCGCCCGTTCCTCCCCCGTTTGCCACGTCAACTTGCCGCCCTAGAGGTGGGCGGTATGGTCTATTTTTGTAATTTTTTTGGCCGATAGATTATTTCTGTAAATATTTTAAAAAAAATCTAAAACCGAAAAAAATTCGCTGGCGGGCTGGGTGCTCTCCACCGCCGACCCGTGACTCGGCCCGGTCGCAACGCCGCCAAGCTACTCCACTATATCCAGTATTATGGTTCATTGATACCGATTAGATTTAGCTACTAGATGTTAAGAGAGTTACAGTAAACTTATTCCTATTTTTATTGAAATTGAATTATTCTTTTATGAAATTGAATAAAGACTGTTAAATTCGCATACCCAAGGGTACTAAGGCCCTGTTTGTTTTAGTTTAAAATTATTGTAATCTAGATTATTGAGTCAGATTATTATAAGTTGGATTATAAAAAGCCTACATAGAATAAGCTGTTAGCTGTTTGTTTCTCTGAATCATTAGCTCTACATAGAATAAGTTGTTAGCTGTTTGTTTCTCTGAATTATTAGCTAGTTGTTAGGTGTTAGCCACCCAGTATAGCTGTTTGTTTCTCGGAATTATTAGCTAGTTGTTAGGTGTTAGCCACCCAGTAATCTAAAAAAACACCTTTAGAGTGGATAACTAGATTATAGTAATCTAGCTTATAGATTATAATAATCTATCAAAATAAGCTATCTGTTTGTTTCATCTTACTTCTATTAATCTATATTATAATAGAAGTAAGATGAAACAAACATATAGCTTATTATGATAGATTATTACAATCTATAAATCCACTCTAAATGTGTTTTTCTTAGATTATTGAGTGACTAACAGCTAACAAACAGTTAATAATCAAGAGAAAGAGAAACAAACAATCAGGTTTGGAAATTCCAGTCATTTCGGACCTCCTTTGATACGATATTATTTCGGCCAAAATTTTATTTTTTTTAACTTTTCATGAATTTCAGTAATATTTGTTCAAAATTTCGGACTAAAATTTCAGAAAATTTGGTCTATCGGTGACCTCCGATACAGTCGGTCAATCCAATAAATTAAACCCTGCAAACAGTTTATTCTATATCAGCTTGTTATAATACAGCTTATAGTAATCTAGATCAATAATCTAGATTACAATTAAGTTAAAACAAATAGAGCCTGAATCAATAAGCATGTAAAATGGATCTCAACCATAATAGATTTACAAAGTCATGTTTATGCGTCACTTACAAAGTTATGCTTATGCGTCATGTCCAAATACGTGCTCATTCAAATAATTGGTTTCGATAAGCAGGTTTCCGTTGCTACAAAGAGAAAAGAAGATCTATCAGGTTTCCGTTGCACAAAGAGAAAAGAAGTTCCCATGAGTCATCGCTTGTCAAACGTTGTTTGACGATATCCTTCTCCCAATTATTATCCATGAGCGCCAATTATCATCCATAAGTCATCGCTTGTTGTTTGACGATATCTTCTCCTAATTATTATCTCGTTTTCAATCTAAGATAATTTTCCGTGAAAACTCGATAAAAAAGAGGAAACTCGGTAAAAAAAAAAAGAGTACTGGGATTGCTGGTTCTCGTTCTAGTTCGTTGAACATCAATTTCACAAATAAGATAATCCAATTCATGAACATCAATTTCACAAAAAAGATAATCCTTACACTGCTATCTAATCAAAGTATAACCCTCCAGTCTCTCCAGGATTGCTATCTAATCAGTCTCTCCAGGTTTGCTATCTAATCAAAGTATCGATCGAAAATCCATCAGTTTATCCAGGATTTCATCAACACAGAAGTCCAGCGAGCTCTGATCGTCCCCTCCTCGCAGCGGCTTTTTCCATCTCTGCATAAATCAAACTACTATATACACAAAACATTCTCAAAAACAAAATCTTTAGTCAAAAAAACACTCACGGTTCAAATGACTACCGTTTCGCCGTCGTCGAACGACCACAGCCGCAGCGGTTCGCCGCCGTCGTCGTCCGGCAAGACTACCGTTTCGCCGTCGTCGAACGACCACAGCCGCAGCGGTTCGCCGCCGTCGTCGTCCGGCAGGAGGCTTTGTGGAGGAGGGATCGCGTGTTCGCGCCAGATTGCTTCGAATCGGTTGTGCTCGATCATGTACCCGCCCAAGTTGATGTGCTCGCCGTCGTACGCGACGCCGTTCCCGCTCGCCGCCGGCGGCGGCGCGGCATCCTCCTGGGAGTCCACCATGAGCGCGCCCGCGTGAGCGTGCGCGTGCGCGCGCTCGAGCGAGACACTTTGTTCAGCCTCGTCGGCGGCCTTCTGGATCGTGTCGCTCGCGGCGGCCAGGGAGACGTCGATGGATCGGAGAAGCTCCAGTAGCTCCACGTCGGGCATGGCGGCGATGCCGTCCACCTGCGCCGCCGCCATGGCCAACTCGCCGCCGCCGCCGCCGGGTCCTTGCTTTGCGGCGGCTTGGTTCTCGCAGTAGGAGGCGTTGTCCACGGAGTGCTTCCGCCGATCCTTCTCCGGCAGCGATTTGTACCGAGTGGCGATCGCCCAGACCTCCTCCTTCGACGGCCACCACGTCGGCTCGCCCCCGGCGCCGACGCCCGGGCAGATCACGGCGACGGGGACGTCGCACCGCGTCGCGAGCGAGCTCGCCTTCCTCACCAGCCTCTCCTTCCTCATCTCCAACGCCGCGCGCCGCTGCTCGCCGGCGACGGCGGGGGTGACACGAGCCTCTCCGCCGCCGCCGCCGCCGCGCGGCATCGGTGCTCCCATCATCTCAAACGTGTGCGTGTGCTAGCAGATGAATCTTGTGCTAGCAGATGAATCTCCTCTCGCGCGAGTTTTGTAGGCTGCTCCCCTTCCGGGCCCAAGAAGCGCACGGGGTTGGGCCTGAACACGACCCGGAGTTCCCTTCTTTTTTTTTTTTTTGGAAAAAGTCCACTTAGACTCCCTTAATTGTTTACCAAATCTAATTGGTGACCATTAACTGAAACACCGGATAGGATGACTCCCCGAATTATTGAAACTAGTGCAATTTGACTCCTCCAACGGTTTTACAGGACGGTTTTGCTGACGTGGCGGTGCTAACCCGATTTTCATTCTACGTGGCGCTTTCGTGTCATTAGAATTAAAAAATTGTTTGTGGGACCCATTTGTCACACACAAGAATATTATGGGACCCACCGACATGTGGGGCCCACATGTCATCCTTTCTCCTTCCCTTCTTCCTCCTCCCTCTGTCTCCCTTCTCTCTCTTTTCTCTCCCCCTTCTCTGATCTGATCTCCCGGGGGCGCCTCTTCGGCCTCACTCGACAGCAACTCGGCGAGATCGGCGAGCGTGGTGACCGACGGGCGGCGGCATCCATGAGAGCAGGCTCCCGGGGGCGCCTCTTCGGCCTCCCTCGACAGCAACTCGGCGAGACCGGCGTGCGTGGTGACCGACGGGCGGCGGCATCCATGAGAGCAGGCCGGGCGGCGCAGATGGAGTCGGCGGCGACGCGGCGTGGATCTCTGGTGGTGGTGGAAGCGGGGCGGAGCCCGAACCGTCCTGGCTCGCGGAGGATGGCCGGCGGCCGGTCGGCAACGGGCGCAAACACCCGGCTCTGGCGGCGAGGCCCTCCAGGGCGGGCGCCGGTCGGCGACGGGCGCTCATCCCCCTGGTCTCCGGCGAATGGCGTCTTTCTCTCAGATCAATCAGCACCATCTTTTCACAAGATGGCCGGATCGAGTCAAACTAGAAAGCAACATTGTATCACCGGGGAGATTCCACGCCATTTGCAGCTCGACGACATAGACACGGGCACACGGCCGATATTACGCGTACAGCAATCTGACAAACGCGTTGTTATTCCCCTCTCCAACCTTCCTCGATCGTATATATGGCAGCAGCGCAGCACGTCGTCATCCGGCCATGGACGTCACGGGAGCTGGTCGCCTGGTCAGGCCATGGCGGAGCAGGGAGCGGAGGGGTCGATGGCGGCGTTGAGACGAGGCGATGCGCTCGGAGCCGAGGACGCCGTGGGAGCAACGCGGCGGAGGGGGCCCGACGACGCCGGCCGTGGACCTCGGCGCAGAGGGCGGAGGAGATCCGGCGGAGACCGAATAAGGGAAGGAGATCAGATCAGAGAAAAGGGGGAGAGAAAAGAGAGAGGAGGGAGAGAGAGGGAGGAGGAAGAAGGGGAGGAGAAAGGATGATACGTGGGTCCCACATGTCGGTGGGTCCCATAATATATTCTTGTGTATGAATGACAGATGGGTCCCACAAATAATTTTTTAATTTTAATGCCACATAAGCGCCACGTGGAATGAAAACCGGGTTAGCACCGCCACGTCAGCGCCACATAAGCCAAACCACACTCTAAAACCGCTGGAGGAGTCAAATTGTACTGGTTTTAATAATTCAGGGAGTCATCCTACCCGGTTTTCTAGTTAAGGGTCACAAATTAGATTCAATGAACTATTAAGGGAGTCTAAGGGGACTTTTTCCTTTTTTTTTTTGGCAATTGCTTATTTGACCCTGTTTTGCCGATTTGACCCTACCTTTTGAACTTTGCTTATTTGACCCTCCTTTTCGAGTACGAAGGTTCCGTCTGACCCTCTTTCGCTGACTCCGTTAGGGTTCAATTTTTTTTTAAAAAAGAAAATGTTTCCAGAGTTCCTAATGGCAAAAATACCCTCCAAAGCCAAACCCTATTCTGACTCTCTCTCTCTCACTCGTGCGTACCTCTCTCTCACTTGTGTGTGCGGCGGCGGCTAGCTAAGGGGGCGGCGGCGACGGCGAGCTGAGGGGGCGGCGGCGGCGTCAAGCACAGCCCCGCCGGCGCCCGCTCGTTGTGGTGGAGGGCAGCGGCGGCGGCGAGCTGAGGCGGTGGCGACGACGTGATGTACAGCCACGCCGGCGCCCTGTCACGCCCCGAACTAGTCCCGACTGGAACTAGCCCGTGACGCTCCAAATTAACCTGTTAATCGATACCAGTCCCAGAAAACAGTGCTGGTATCACAGGAAGACAGAATATCACAGCAACAGAGGTCTCTTTATTATAGAGTAGTAGTACAGTTATGTTGGGCTGCGGACAGACCCCGAGCTCACAACTGCATTACAAAAGGAAAACGGAAGCAGGACTTGGACCAAACAATACAGGCACGACTTGGGAACTAGGCCGAAACCCTAAAACTCATCGTAGCCGGCTTGCTCCTGGAAGAACTCCTCATCAGCAGGATCCGCTTCATCTTCTTCAGCAACTAGGGGGGAATTATTTATATAGGGCAAGGGTGAGTACGGGAGTACTCAGCAAGCCAGGGGAAATAAGTGTTTAATGCAGGCTTCAAGGAGAGACTGGTGTTTTTGCAATTGATTTTATTTGAACTCTTTTCTGAAACAACTAAGTGAGTGCTTCTCAAACGACACGGATGAGACAGTGCGTCTCGTCCGGTCGGAGTATGTGCCATGTATCAGTCTTTAGAAATGAAAACAAGGTTGGCACCCGGCCAACAGCTTTTCAACGGTCACCCGGGCCAACAACTTTTCAAACGGCCACCCGGGCCTAGCTGATCCCATCAGCTACAGATTTTCAAACGTCGAACCCCTTTTCACAACAGCAATTTCACAAGCAGTAGTCAAACAAAACTACGCTAGGAATCACCTCACATCCGCCCATGACCGTGGGCACGGCTGTTCGAACAGTTTGTTAACCTCTGCAGAGGGGGTACACTTTACCCACACGACATTACTAACCCGGATCACCCAGCCCGTGGGGATCAGCCACGTCGGGAGACCTCCAAGCTTTCATGACAAGATATTTCCAAAGCCGACACAGGTTTACCATATGCCGACGAGAGGGGTCCCAGACCAACAACAGGTTAGGTCCCAGACCATACTGTGCCAGGAAGCCCAGGGGTCCTCCCAGACACCACCCCGGTGAATCCACATGTCTCCCATTCCACCCATGTGGTCGTACTTGTCTTATGTTTGGATGAAATTCCAAGGAAACAGTCCTTAAGTGCAAGAGCGGGAAACCGTACACCCGGTACGTTCCCCGGTCCGCGGTTTTGGAAATTCATTTAGTTCGCAAGCACCGACCCAGGTGTCGGGTTTTCCAAGTCTTTTGCAAAACCCAAGTTTTACCCAAGTTGTTACTCAGATTTTAAGTTTGAAGGCATCCGTTGATACTCGCGCAGGGTGCACGAATATCGAGACGCAACTAGATGGTTACAAGGGGACATGGTATCGCAATTAACAAAGGGAGGATCAAATGCAACAAAATTAGGTAGGTCTGCCAATCTGCCTTGCAGACGGGACAAGCAGATCAAGTGCGATCCTATCAATGCATAATATTTTGCAAGCAATATAATTAAATTTCAAATATAGGCTCAAGATGTTCAAAGGTGGCTTGCCTTGCTCGAGAGCTGAAGCTTGATCCTCGAAATCCTCGCACTGCGGGTCTTAGGGCTCCGAAACTACACGCGAAACGGGACAACTCAACAAACGGCGAAAATAAAGCCCTATTAATGACCTCTAAGCGTGCTATTAGATAGATCTCGAGATTTGAGGAATTTTGGAAGTTGAACGGAGTCAAACGGATCTACGGTTGGGAGGATATTGAATTTCTAAGATTCTTGGATTTTTCGTCTAAAGGAAAAGGATTTAATTAAATCCTTATTGGAAAAGAAAAGAAAAGAAAAGAAAAGAGGGATGGAAATTAGACTTCCCTCGGGCGGCTAGGGCGCGGCCCGAGAGAAAAGGGGCGGCTCGGCCGAGCTTAACGGGCCGGCCGGCCCAAGAAGGCGGCTCAGAACGGCCCAAGACGCGCGCGCGCGGGAGGGAGGAGAGAGAGAGCCGGTGGACCGGGCTCACCACGCGCGGTCCCGGGTGGGACCCGCTTGTCAGCGGCTTGGCTCACCGTGCGGAGGGAGCACGCGACGCGGCGCTAGGGTGGGGGGAAGGACGCGGGTGCGGCGGGCCCACGCGTAGCCTCACGGCTCGTGGTGGAGCGCGCGCACGGGAAGGGACTGACCGGGGTCGGCTCGACCCGGTCTAGGCTGAGCTGGCGCCGACGTGGCGCCTACGTGGCTGCCACGCGGGCCGGCGGGAGGTAGACGACGACGCCGGCCGGAACGGACGGCGGTCGACAGCGGCGAGCGGCGGAGCGAACCACGGCGATACCGGCGAAAGCGAGCACACCGGGTGGTTGCACGAGACGAGGGGAGACGAGCCAACGGCTCGGATTCGCCGGAGGAAGCTTGACGGCGGCGAATCGCGGCGGCGGCAACCGGCGGGGAGGGAAGAGGGAAACGGCGACGAGGTCACGAGGGGCCAATTCCCGGCGGCGAGAGCATCTATGCGGCTACGGGAATCCGATGCTAGCGTCGGATTGGGCGGAGCTACGCCGAGCGAGGCTGGCGACGAGCGGGTGCTACGGAGCTCGGGCGGCGACGGCGGCGGGCACACGGCGAGTGACGGCAACGGTCGGGGCGGCGCCGGCTAGCTACGGGGAGGCTACTCGTGCTACCACCGAAAACTAAGGGGGGGAGATGGAGCGAGGAGGAAGAACGGAGGGAGGCACTACCGCGAAGAGGAGGGGCGCTGAGACGAGAGGCCGACGGCGCGGGAGTAATCTCTCCGGCCTCGGGCCGGGGAAGAGGAAGGAGAGGGCGCGGCCGAAGTCCCCTTCCGCGTCCTAGTGCGCACCGGCTCCTCCGGCACACACGTGACGGCTGCGGTCGGCGAGAGGGACGACAATGGCGCGGGCGAGAAACAGAGAAGATTGGGAGGGGAAAAAGGGGAAGGGCGGGCGCCTGGGTTTATAGGGGGCGGCAATGTCGGTTTGGAAACCGACTTTGGCGGTCAAGGCGCGGGCTGGCGCTCCGGCTAGCGGCCAAAACGGCGACAGGAGGGAGGGAGGATGACGCCGGCGGGAGGAAAACGGGAAAAAGGAGGGGGAGAAAGGGGGCTTGCCCCCTTGCCGATTTGGGAAAAAGGAGGAGGGAGGCGGAGGCGTCGCGGCAGAGGGAGGAGGGCTCGGCCTCCGTCCCTTGGCGGCTTGCGCGCGGAGTGGCGGGGCCGAGGCGATGACGGCGGGGATGACAGCGGGGCGGTTTGGAGCGGCGCGACGACACGGGCGACAGGCGCGGGCTGGCGCGGCAGAGGGTGACGGCGGCGGCGACCAGACGGTCGGCCACTCGGCACGCGCACGCGGCTTGCAGCGGGAGGGCGCGGCGGATGGAGAGGCGCGGCTCGAGCACGCGCGCTGGCTGCGGGGCCGAGCGGCTGCTGGCGCGGCAGGGTAGCGGGGCCGGGCGGCGCAGACGCGATGCGGGCGAGGACCACGCGGGCGCGCGCGCGCGAACGACGCGCGGGGAGCGGAAAGGAGGGGCGGAAAGGAGGGCTCGGCTCGGCGCGGGCGGCTCACGCACGCGCGGACAGAGCGGTGGGAGCGGAGGAGGGGCGTTCTGCGCGGCTTGCGCGCTCGCGCACGCAGCGCGCGCGGCGCGCGGGCGGGGCGGAGCGGAGGGAGAGAGAGAGAGGGCGCCGGGGAGGGAGGGGGAGATGGGCCGAGAGGGATTCGGCCCATCGAACCCGGGGGAGGCAAACTTGACTTTTGTGGAGGAATTTGATTTGGAGGGATTTGGATTCGGAATTGAACTCGATGATAGATCGGGGATTGAGATCTTGAGATGGCACGGACACTAGACGACAAGCGAAGAAACAAATTTCACAATTAGGGTTTTTAAGAGATAATTTTCCCGCTAGGCGCCACGACGGAACGGGCGATACAGACCAACCCCCTAACAAGAATCTCGACCCCGAGATTCAGCACCTAAGGGAGCAGCTCCGGGAACTCGGCGTGGAGAAGATCTTCTCGCTCCCAGGTCGCCTCATCTTCAGAATGGTTGCTCCATTGGACTTTGTAGAACTTGATGGTCTTCCTTCGAGTTTGACGTTCTGCCTCTTCAAGAACCTTGATTGGTCTTTCCTTGTAGGTCAGATTCTTTTCCAGCTCGATATTACCCAGGGGGACTTGCTCTTCTGGAACTCGAAGACATTTCTTTAACTGAGATACGTGGAACACGTTGTGCACATCTGCGAGACCTTCAGGTAACTCAAGCTGATAAGCCACTTCGCCTCGTCTGGCAGTTATGAGGTAGGGGCCGATGTAGCGGGGTGCTAACTTGCCGGACATCCCAAACCTCCTCATACCACGGAGGGGTGATACCCGCAGGTACACATGATCTCCTTTTTCGAACTTAAGGTCACGCCTCCGATTGTCAGCGTAATTCTTCTGACGGTTCTGCGCTGTCTTTAAATGTTCTCGGATTAGCTTAACTTGTTCTTCTGCTGCCTTGAGTATGTCAGGACCGAATACCAGCGCTTCGCCCACCTCATTCCAGCACAAGGGGGTGCGGCACTTTCTTCCGAACATTGCCTCATTCGGCGACATCTAAATACTGGCCTGGTAACTGTTGTTGTATAAGAACTCAGCATACGGCAAACAACGATCCCAAGTGCCTTCGAAATCCAGGGCACACGCACGTAGCATGTCTTC